TAGGGCCAAAGAGGCGTGTTGCTGTGGTGGTTACCAACAGCTCAACCTCCAGGATCCCTTCATCCCTCCGCACGGGTCTCCACGCACGGCAAACACGCGGGTGGTCATTTCAACCTGCCATCCTGGTTTTTTGGATGACTGGCCCATGTCGGCGTGACCACATCGTCGATTATGGCGGATTACGAGAGGGAAGATTGGAAGTGGGATAGGTGAGGAATTCTACGGGGAAATGCGTCAGGTAGTTTCGGTTGCACTCTTCATCAAAAGGATGAACAATGCGTAACAGGTGGCAACCGCGGGAAGGAGAACATACCTGGCTTGCCTTAGGGATCTTCACGACTGTAGCGCTCTCCCCTAAAGCCATATGCCTAATCACACATCGGACAGGTGTGTGAAAAAGGGGCACTCTTAGACCAACCCTGCTTAAAGGAAACTTTACTGGTGCTAAGCTCACCCCCACCCATTCATAGTGCCTTATCGGAGCCTCTGTGGTCTGATAAGCAAACCCCCCCCCCCCCCCACCGGTGTTAAAATTGAAAGAAAAACAATCGAATTTTATTATAGTACGTATAATCAAAAACAAAAAAAGGACCTGTAAATTCACAAATTGCTATATTATATGTATAATGAAAAGAAAATAGCTGTGATTTCTGTCACTAAAAAAGTGTTCATTAATATTACATTCATAATTAAATTGTTAATTAAAAAGATCGAAATCTTAAACAATTTAAAAGTATGAAACTTTTCAGATTTGTATTACTTGAATTTTAATCATTAAAAAACATTATACCCACTTATGTTAACTTGAATCTGAAACGTAGTTAGCGGCTGCCATTGGCATGCTTCACTCAAGATTATAATTGTAGAAGAGGTTACGTCCGTCTTTTTTCAGGTGGTTTCAAATAGGTATACACAGTACAGACAGAATAATAGTGTTACACTTGAATAAATCAAATACAGTTAAGCGAAAAGCACAATAAACGGCGAATCAATCACAGTTCCTAACAATATGGTCGCTAAATAAATAACTATGAAACAAAACAAAGCGCAAAATATACAGAGTCACAGATTGGAAAGAATTTAAATATGCCAGTTACTGACTTTATAACAACGCAATAAGGCATTTGACAGTATTAAAAATAAAGTGCCAAAATAACGAAAAAGATATTAGTTTTCTTATCTATTGTCACGTAACCCAAAACGCTTGGGATTGGCGGAGCCTAAAATGACGTCACACGCAAGTAAAGTATCAGTGTCATTACATTGTATCGTTTGACGTTTTAATAAGTCGTGTGACGTCACACACTAGTAAGACGCCATATTGTCCAGAGAAACGTTTTCGCGGCAACTTGAAAATGGAGTTTTTGATTTGATTATTTTTCCTGAAATACACGACAGAATGATGAATATCCACTTTTTCCATGGCCATAGTGGCAGCAGGCAACCTGCTTAAACTACACTGTATATTTCTCGCGCTTGTTTTCTGAGTCTGAATCTGAATCTGAGTGCACTCTGGCCGTACCCATAGGGTATACCCATACCTATTTTGGACAAGATTCTTTCCCATACTGTGGATTTTATTTCATTGTATCTACTATTTATGATATTGTGATCAAAGAGGGATATGGAATAAAAAATATTAAAGGGTTTCATATTTAAATAATATCCCATGAATACACTATTAGAAATCCTTCTTTTATTTGAAATTGTTAAGTACGCATAGTCATTGTATTCGAACTCAATAACCCTTGTCCGTTATGTATTATTAAATTAATTTAATTATATTTAATTAATTAAGAATTTCGACGCAGGCGGTCAGTACCTACTCGCGCTAATTAAACATTAAAAAAAACTTTTTTTTTCGTCACTTATCTACGGGGCCGGTATACTTAAATAGTTCCGTTCCACTTATTTTTTATTTTGATATAAAAATACTCTTGAAAACACTTTTATAATTCGTTTTTGTATTACTTGGTATGACATAATCTCTAAATCTTCAAAGTAGAATATCTATAAATCTAGACTTACTCTATATTTTAACATGCAATTCATTTATAGACGTAAAAAAATTTTTAAGAAAAATTTGTATGACTGTTCGCCACTGTCCTTTGCAAAATATGTGACGTCACACTAGAGAGGGGGGTCTCACAAATGTGACCAGCTGTGATAAGGACGGGGGAGGTGTAAAAAATTGGGAAATTTTACCTGAAAATAAAATTTTAATTAAGCTACTTACCCTATTCCAAGCTTTTAAAATTGAGATGGCAACCCTGTTTTGACATATGAACACGCACAAAGGCGCCCCCTAGCGGCCGCATTCGTCATCAGTTGTCCTCTACTATCTATGGCACTCCCCCCACCATAGGGTAGGGCCAGAGTGCACTCAGATTCAGAGTCAGATTCAGATTCTGAAAACAAGCGCGAGAAATAAACAGTGTAGTCTAAGCAGGTTGCCTGCTTTTTCTCGCGCTTTGTTTTCTGAGTCTGAATCTGAATCTGAATCAGGAGTGCAATCTGGCCGTACCCTTCGACTACACTGTTTATTTCTCGCGCTTGTTTTCGAAATCTGAATCTGAATCTGAATCTGAGTGCACTCTGGCCGCACCCTATGGGTGCACCCTATGGGTTTCAGATTCGGACTCAGAAAACAAAGCGCGAGAAAAAGCAGGCAACCTGCTTAGACTACACTGTTTATTTCTCGCGCTTGTTTTCAGAATCTGAATCTGACTCTGAATCTGAGTGCACTCTGGCCGCACCCATACACAATATCCAGCAGCCGTGCGCGGCTGGCGCGATCGGCTCATTGGATCTCAATTTTACAGAACAGTCTTGTTATGAGAAGAACGAGACAGACTGTGTTGCCACAGTATAGTATGTACTGGTGGCGATAACGTTAGGTAGGCATGTGAGCCGTGCCATGGGCGAACCCGCTGTTCACCACCTACTGGAAAAAGATCCTGCAACTATTATACTTATAGCTAAGAAATTAATAACAATTGACATACCTCTATCCTGAAACCTGTAATCAAAGTCTATTAAACAGCAGGCAGCAATATAAATAAGGCTTGGAATAGGGTAAGTAGCTTAATTAAAATTTTATTTTCAGGTAAAATTTCCCAATTAAGCTTCTGTCCCCTATCCAAGCCTTTAAAATTGAGAAGTGTTTGTTATCGGCTGCTGGGGAAAATCAAGAAACGCCAATGTGAAAAATACTTCTTATTAAAATAATCAGTATTTAGCTAATCTAATAAGTAAATTAAGGAAATAAATATATATATATTTAATATCAGGTTATGTGCCAAACAAAGCTAATCAACGTGATGTAATCAGAGTAATGATCAATAACAATTATATTCACTGGAGTAATAAAATGAACGAAAATAGCAAATTCATCCTTATGTCCTAATCTACAATTGGTTGAAAACAACTAGATAAATTATTAGAACTAAATTGACGGTCACGAAGCACTTCTTTTTTATAATATTTGTGAAATGCCGTCGCACATTTCCAATTACCACGGGACAAAATATCATCTATGTTATGATAGTCTAGCCAATTTGCCGAAGCTACAGCTGACCTAACACTGCCGGGGGTACTTTCTATCCTAGCATCACTGAGAACGGATTTCACCCAATTTCCTATAACAGTACGCGTAGCCGGCTTTGTTACACCAGTTGCAGTAATAAAAAGATTATTTAAATTACCGCGCCTGGACTGGGAGACTAAAATCAATTTCTTTAACCAAAAAACAGGATCTATGTTTTTGTTTTCTTGGCATTCTAGTAATCTCCAACCCGACTGTCGGTATGTGGCTGAATCAGTCTTGGAGCCAAATGTAGGCCATAATACCACCTGATTCTCACTAACTAAGCAGTTCTGATCACCTATTTTCAAAAGAGTCAAATCATGAACCCTACGACCAGAACACAACAACAACAATATAGCACTCCGTTTAGATACTTCATATAAACTATTACTGATAGGTTCATTAGATTTAAGATAATCACACAATATTTTTACATCCCATATAGGCCGCCTAGATGACTTAGGCTTGCGCAAGCCATTAGCTTTAAAGGTCAGTTTAATAATCGTGTATGAGCTAAGGGGAGGCTGTTGTGGGCAGAACATAGATACGACTGATCTGTGAAGGGCAATTGAGCTATATGACAACCTCTCTTTCAAACATAAATCTGTCAAAAATCTGGCTAAATCTTGGGGATTGGGATTACATGCTAGCACATTATTAGCGTTAGCCCAACTACACCATCTATGCCATGCTGGTTTATAGGACTGTAAGGCAGATTTTCTCCAACTGCTTGACAATAAAAGTTTTTGATCATCGTTCCAAGAGTCTAACATGGTATTCCACCCCGTATTTTCCAAACTTCTAAAGTCATTCGCTTGACATTCGGTGGTGGATTCTGAGTTCTTACATCTATCAACAATCGTGAAGATTGTTGATTTCTATTGGAGACGCCAGGGCTCGACTTTCCAGGTCGCTGCGCCAAAACACCTTCTTCCATCTGGGAACCACAAAGAGGTAAATCCCTGTCGCTTTGTTCAAATGGGCCAGGACACGTGGGACGAGACTGGGTGGAGGGAACAGCCATGCAATACTGTAGTTCCACGTTTGGCTGAACGCGTTCACAAACACTGCCCGAGGATCGGTCTGATCGAGAGTTACGTACCTTGGGACTACATGCGCTTTTCGAGACGCAAATAAGTCGATCTCTGGAGTCCCTAAAGCATGAAACAATTGATGTGTCAGTTGTTCCAATAAATGCCACTCTACCTGCGCATGGGACCTTGATAGACTGTCCGCTACTGTGTTGAAGCGACCCGGCAGATAATTTATCACCATTTGTACCTGAACCTCATCCAATAACTTCAGTATTCGACAAGTCATTTGAAGCATCGGTAAAGACCTCGTTGCGGAGGTATGAGACAACTGTTCGGTTGTCTGATAAAATTTGCATAGAGGTCCCCGAGAATTGAGATTTCTGAGAAAGAATTACCTTTTCTATTGACAACATTTCCAAAAGATTGCAATGAAGAGCCCTTTCCTGTACCTTCCATGTCCCCGAAAGATAAAGGTCGTTCAATTGCGCGCCCCAGCCCTGGGCGCTGGCGTCGGTCGTCAGGAATACTTGCGGAGAGGCGAAGTGAAATGGCGTTTGCTTCGCAGCGTGAGTTATCCACCATTTTAGAACAGGAACAAGATAATGTGGTAGGGGTCTCAACATCGAAGGATGGTCGCTCAGAATCTGATGGCTGTAGAGAAGGAGAGATCTGCTGTTGAGGCGACCTCTTGGGACAACAAAGCTTGGGAAGTTGCACAGGCCTATGAATGACTGCACTTGCCTTAATGATGCCTTCATCCATGACAGAAGTTTGGGACTTTGCTGTCGAATTTTTAGCACCTTGTCGGAGGGAAGATATTTTCTGTTGTTCCAGGGATCCCGCTGGATGCCCAGAAACTTTATGGATCGTTGCGGAATCAAAACAGATTTTTGGAAATTTATTGTCAGGCCCAGTTCGCGGAAAAAAGTTATTGCAAATGTTGCCTGTTGTTGCAGTACCCTTGGATTCTGATGTGCGAAACAGAAATCGTCCAAATATACCAGGACCCTGATACCCCTGCTGCGGAGTACCTCCGCCACTCAATTCGTTATCGTTGCAAAAACTTTTGGAGCTGTTGATAACCCGAATGGGAGGCAGGTCATTTGCCACCGAGGGTGCCGCTCGTATGGCAATATTACTCGGAGGAAGCGACGGTGTTCCGGTTTTACAGAGACGTGAAAATATGCGTTGTGAAGGTCTAATTTTACTAACCAGTCGTTTGGTTGGAGAAAGTCGGGAACTCTGAACATGTTGACTAATCGAAATTTGCTTGTGTGGACAAAATTGTTTAAACGTTTTAAATTGAAAACTGGTCGCATTGCGCCATTTGTTTTTGGTACTAGAAAAATGTTCGACATAAAGCTGGGTGTTACAGGAGCTGGCTCCAGAACACCCTGGCGTTGCAGTAGTTTTACCTCCTTTATTATAGAAAATTTTTTGCTCGTGTGAAATAGAGTCGATATTCGATGTGGATGCACTAACGGAGGTTTTTTTATAAATGGTATTCTGTATTCCTATATAATTTTTAGGACATGATTCGGTGCTCCCCACTTTCTTCAATGAGTTAGATAACGTTCCAATCGACCCGCTTGAAATGACGGGTAGTCAATCATTACGTCTTTGGGAACGCTTACCTTGTTGATTTTTATAATATTTGTCACCTTTGGACCGAAAGGGCTCTGCTCTGCGCTTTTTCCCTTGCACAGGGGGCGCGAAGGTAGCAGTGCTAGTTGATGGTCCACTCGTAACGTGCACCCGGCTATGTGATGAATCAAAAGGTTTACGCGACCTTCCTTGCGAAGCTCTTTGCGCAAGAGCTTTCTTGGAACTAAGTGAACCAGGTGGCACATTAGTACTCTGCATGAATACTTTATCAACACCGCCGTTTTTTGTGACACATTCTGAAAACCTTTTATCATCGAAAAGATTCTCCAAAGTTGGAGGGATCTTCCATAAGCACTCCTTAACATACTTATCCTTTACGTAATGTAAAAGGCTATCGCGACGCTGTTGTATAATGTCAGCACGACACCCACATACTATTTGTAATAGATCAAGGTTAGCCGTAATTTGTTGGTGAGACTCCATCCAAGAAACTAAATTCAAAAAACCTTGTTGGAGATGTTCATTTTGAATAATCAAGCCATGACAAAGAGCAGCTAGTGTCTTTTCTGTAGCCGCTAACGATTTATTACGTTCAAACCTTTTCAGCATGTCATTACTTTCTAATTCGATAAAACCTGGACTAGATAAATAGCGTTTCTGGGCTTCCGTAAAACGAACCTGACACCAATCGTCATTATCAAAATGTTGCAATTTCAATAACATTTCCGCGTGTGCATCAGAAGTTTTTGCACCCGATGATTTGAGGGTAGTTTCTTGCTTAAAGTTCAAATTAGAGCATGGCAAATCAATTTGTTGATCAGAGTTATCGACCAAATCATCAGGGGCGAAAAGTGATAACACGTCAGCGTCACTTTCACGTAATTCACTATTCTCTCGATTACGGGCATGCAAAGCACTCACCGACGTGGCAAGATCTTTTACCACTTTTTCCAACTTCTTCAACCTGCTTACACTATGGCGCCGACGGCGATGGCGGCGCCGACGTCGCGGGCTGCGATGGCTGGACTGCGAATCAAAGTTGCTCGTTGAACGTGATGATGACGACCGCGATGACTCAGGAGCAGTAAATTTGGGGGATAACTTCACCTTCGAGTTAATTGTTGCACCGTTTTCAAAGTTCTCCATTTTTGAAACAACTTTAAAATGGAATTTATTTAACTACCTTCAAGAAAATAATCTTTTTTTTTTATTATTATTTAGAGGTGCAGCAATTAACTTTATGCGTGTTGCTTCTTTCAGACAAGAAACGCCAATGAGCCGATCGCGCCAGCCACGCACGGCTGCTGGATATTGTGTAAGGGTGCGGCCAGAGTGCACTCAGATTCAGACTCAGATTCAGATTTCGAAAACAAGCGCGAGAAATAAACAGTGTAGTCTAAGCAGGTTGCTTGCTTTTTCTCGCGCTTTGTTTTCTGAGTCTGAATCTGAATCTGAATCAGGAGTGCAATCTGGCCGTACCCTTCGACTACACTGTTTATTTCTCGCGCTTGTTTTCAGAATCTGAATCTGACTCTGAATCTGAGTGCACTCTGGCCGCACCCTATGGGTACGGCCAGAGTGCACTCAGATCCAGATTCCGAAAACAAGCGCGAGAAATAAAGTGTAGTTAAAGCAGGGTGGCCATAGTGGCAGCAGGCAACCTGCTTGAACTACACTGTATGGGTGCGGCCAGAGTGCACTCAGATTCAGATTCTGAAAACAAGCGCGAGAAATAAACAGTGTAGTCTAAGCAGGTTGCCTGCTTTTTCTCGCGCTTTGTTTTCCGAGTCTGAATCTGAATCAGGAGTGCACTCTGGCCGTACCCTTCGACTACACTGTTTATTTCTCGCGCTTGTTTTCGGAATCTGAGTGCACTCTGGCCGCACCCTATATTTCTCGCGCTTGTTTTCTGAGTCTGAATCTGAGTGCACTCTGGCCCTACCCTATGGTGGGGGGAGTGCCATAGATAGTAGAGGACAACTGATGACGAATGCGGCCGCTAGGGGGCGCCTTTGTGCGTGTTCATATGTCAAGACAGGGTTGCCATCTCAATTTTAAAGGCTTGGAATAGGGGACAGAAGCTTAATCATGAAAGTGTGACGTAATTTATGGATGACCCCGAATTACAAAACAGTCAGCCCTGCGGTACACAGGCAGTTTTGTACTGCCGGCTTCCTTACGGCCGGTCTTAATCCACTCATGGTATACAGAATAACATTCCTGTGACTTCAGGCCCATATCACTATTATAAACTTACCCATGACACAAAATAAGCATAATCTATACTGTAAAAAATTGTAAAGCAATTTTTTTTTGAAATGCAGGCATAGCTTTTATGTATTTAAAATAAAGGTGGTGTACTAAGGTGGTGCTCATACTGTGTCAAATTACAGCCTGGGTTCAGGCACATTTCCCCACAATATTCACACTCTAGTACATTCCTAAATTAGACAGCCTATTAAAGGTTTCACTAATGGAGCTTAAATAATAAACAAAGCATAATAGAAATAAATAAATATAATTCTGTAGATAATGTTTACATCTTAAAAACTTTTGGCATCATTATAAGAGAGTCCGTAACTGAAACAAAAAGGTTATGAATTAATTAAACAATTATTAAAAAAAAATGGATTTAAATTAGTCACTCACAATTTTCTCCTAAAATGTTGCTCAAAATCAGTCCATGAAAGGTGTTTGTTTTAGAGTCATTTCCATTTTTAGTACTTTCAAATGTCCAACCCAGTTGTTGCCCACAATGTGGGCAGGCACATATGCGCCAGGCATATCCTGGAAACCAGGAATCTGCTCCTTGAGGCTGGTTTATAAACAAAGAACAATTAGTTTTCTCCATCAATACTTTTGTGATAACAAACACACACCACCTTATTCCAAAACGCAAACTAGTTAATCTTGGTTTAAAACTGATGTTGTCTCTGTCTTCTTTTTAGCACACAAAACTGACAGCATCAGTTTTAATCCAGGTTTAACTTAAGTCTATATTTTGTAATAATGTTGACATAGTTTATTAACTTACATTTCCAATGTTATCACATTTTGCTTTTTCAATTGTAATAATTTCAAATTTTATTCCAAAGGGATTAACTAAGGATTGTATAGTTACATTATGTTTACCAAACATATTTTGTTTTTCCGTAAGTCGAGCACCTGGACTCTGTTTATTGAACAGGTAATATGAATCAGCCACATCAGCCCCACACTTACGGCAAAGTAGCAACTCTAAAAAGAAACGTTTAAATCTTCACATTGTTACTCTATCATAGGATTTGGACATGAGAGGTCTCAAAAAATTACCTTGACCATTTCTTTCAGATTTATCGATATTTTCAGCACACGTATAAATATTATGACAACATGAACTAAGAATAAGAAACAAAAAATAACTGTACATCCCTTCGAAAGTTAAAGAAGCAAATCAATTAGACTCTGATTTTAATTTTAGACTTGACACTCAAACTTAAATTAAAATTAGGTGGTAACATTTATATTATTAAATATTCAATGAAATCGGAAAAAACATTGTAAATCGAAACATCCTGTACCAATAAACTTTATTTAGAGCTAAATTGTGTAGTTAGCACCGTATCACAAAAATAAAGTTAAAACAAATGCAACATGAATAAAGGTTATTGACAGATGTCAATGTCATTGTCAGTCTAACTTAAAGCCGGATTTACAATTGTCTGACGTGTTGTGATGTACACAGAACGGTATCGACCCCATAAATAATGTAAATTCTAGCAAGATTCTCTAAACTTAAATTCTCTTCAACTTTTTAGATTAGTCATTCTGTATTCCTTTGGTATACTTACTTTACTCTTTGTTCTGTATAGAGAATGACAAGGATTGTTGTTAAATTTAGCTTTAGATTTAGAGAATCATGCTTATGGTGTCGATTTTGACATGTGATTCCAAACCTAAACTTAAATTTGACAATAGTGTGTTTTTCTTTAAAGAATGAAAAGGAGAGACTGAAGTTAAATTTAGTTAAAAGTTAAGTGAATTATGCAAGAATCGACACCATTACTGTTGATTATAGCATGATTACCAAAACTTAATACTAAATTTAACATAAGTCTCTCCTCTTCATTCTGTATAGCTCTTGGTAGTACTAGTACCGACACCACAGATTCAGCTTTGTTTGTTTGTTTATATGTCAAACGTTATGTCATGTCAGTGTAAAATGGTGTGCAAAATAAAAAAAAAACGTAGAAGTGACTTTAATAAATAAACATCCTTAACTTTTTTATCTTAATGAATGCTAATTTTACATTAATTTCAACAGTTATGTGTGATGTAATATATTATTAAATTGCTTATAAACTTAGTGAGGACAACAAATAGACATGTCTTTCTTCAAGAACGTAGCGTCCGGATTCAATGTTCGTAACCGTGACACTATTTTAAAGGAATCTTTGATAAACAATCTATCAGAATGCGTAAAAGACATTCAATATAACAATCAGTTCGAAGAGAACTTCCACAGCGTTTTAGGGTCAACAGATTCTACAAACACCTTGTGTGTGGCTTTGGAGGCAGTATTTCTTCATGGATTAAAAGATACATTTTTGAGGAAGGCCAAGAATGCTTTATCAGGTGATTCAGATCACCGACCACAGCCTAATTTTTGGCCATTAATTCTTGTGTTATCACATAGACAGAATATAGATCAAATATCATCATTGCCTCAAATCAATACTGAAATAGGGCAATGTCGTGCTTGGCTCCGCATTGCTTTAAACGAATGTCTTTTGTCATCCTACATGTCTACTCTATTGAAAAACATATCTGCTGTTAAACCATTCTACAATAAAACTGCATTTGTTTGTGATTCAGAGATTCTGGAAGTTGCACAAAGACTTATTGAAGGTTTGGAATCATGTATACATTTCAATTTGCCTATAAATTCAAGTCTCCTTAATCAATGGCCTGAGCAAGTGTTAATGCTCGCAGGAATTTGGATTCCTAAAACAAAGATTGCCCCAATAAGTACAGCTTTAGATGTTGCAAGTACAATCACTGATGAAGATGTGAAACCTAAATTAGCATCTACACCTACACACTCTTCTAACATAACAGGGTTAGGAAGAATGCTTGCATTGAATGAAGATGAGGCACTTGATTTTATACTATCTAAAGATTCAAAAGATATTACATCCAAAGCCCGTGAAACAGATATACCAAAAGAGAATGATCTAGAGCCAGTTCAAACAGTTAAAGAAGAATCAGGTCCTTTAGAGATAGAAAAACCATCAACTAGTCAAGAGAAGGCAGTATCATCTCCTTGCTCATCATCTTTGGATTTGGGAGACTTCATTGCTCCTACTGATCTAATAGTTACTGGTAACTCCCTGTGTGGGAAGGGTTGGTCCAATGAGATTGATGAATTGAATACATCCATACATTCAAATTCTTCACATGGAAGTAGTATGATTAAAACTCCAGAACTAAAGAGCTTATCTTCACTTGTAGATAACAATACAAACTTTTCTGAAACTCACAACACACCTAATTTAAGAGATATTATGAAGGATATAGAGAGAGAATTAAAACTAACAGATGATACTGAAGTCTGTGATTTGGTCGTTGAATCTGTCTCCACAGAAGATCCAATGTTGCAATGTTTGGATTTTGAAGTAGTTCCCAATTCAATCTCTGGTTCATTCACTGCTCAAGAGTTACAGAAAATGAAGTTACAGCTGGGAGCACTCTCCAGAGAACAAGGGCTTGACCACCAAAACTATCAGTGCAAGGGCTGCCAAGATCTCCTGGGCAGTACCATATCCAAAGCAAAGGTGTGCGCTTTCACTGGAGAATACTATTGTTCCAATTGCATGGATCCAAATGTTTTTATTATACCAGCTAGAGTCATACATAATTGGGATTTTAAAAGATATCCAGTTTCCAAAAAATCGGCTCTATTTCTCTTAGAATTTCAACACCATCCCTGGATAGATATGAAAAAATTAAATCCAAAGATATACTGTGGTGTTTCAGACATGGCACATCTGCAAGATTTAAGAATACAACTAAACTTTCTCAGAGCATATATATTTACATGTAGAGAACATGTAATTGAGGAGTTGCAGAAACGTGTCTGGCCTAGGGAATATTTGTATGAACATTTGCATTTGTATACTATATCTGATTTAGCACAAATACCAAATGGGTCACTTCAATTGCAGCTAGAAAAAGTGGTATGTTTTGCCAAATCACATGTTTTAGATTGCTGGCTTTGTAGCCAAAAGGGATTTATTTGTGAAGTATGTCAAGATACTAAAATACTATATCCCTTTGAGACAAGTTCTACATATCGATGTGATATATGTTCAAGTGTCTTTCATTCTAAATGCCTCAATGCAAACCTACCCTGCCCCAAATGTAAAAGAAAACAAAATAGGACAAGTAATTCTTCATTGATTGATGCTGTACATGCACACTTTAGTAAATAATTATTGTGACATTTATTGAAGAAAATTATTAATGTACATATATATAATTTTGAAATAAAATATTTTTTCCCATATAATATATATGCCAATTAGGGATTAATTTCCTTTTAGAAAACTTATTTATTTTTATAATGAAATTAGACTAAAATCAAGCATATCTTATGATTTTGACTCTTTATTATATAAGACATGTAATGTGATATAGTAACTTGTAATAGATTAAGTTGATATCTAAATGTTTTATGTAAGTATTTTATAGCAGATTATGAATTAATAAATCTTAAGCGCAACACATACTCAAGATTGCTGCTCTGGTGGCCTATAAGAAAATAATCATGCGCTTGCGCGAGCTACCGGCCGCCTTGTTGGTGACTTGCGTACTCGCCCATTGCTCGGATCCTGAAGTCACCCAAGCGGTAACTTCCAAAAGTGGTCTACTCTTGCCACCAAAGCAGCGAAGCCGCCAACTAGCCTGCCGGCAAAAAATTACCGACAAAAGTTGGTGGGTCGTCGGCTTTGGTATGAATTGCGCTGTGACTAGTTTGCGATTATATTAAAAATTTATGCCTAAAATATAAAAAATGTATGTTAAATTAAAATTATTACTCTAGACTGTATTTTAATAGTTGTTATTTGTTATCATCTGGGGCTTTATCATTATGGCTCTGTAAGTAGGGCTAACATCTAGAGCTCGAGAATAGATATGTATAAAACATAGTAATGAGCTGTCCATTACTGCACATGGTCACGTTGTGCCCAATAACTTTGTTGTTGTTTGTCCTATATGGATTTCGTCCACAATCGCATTTCAAACAAAGTACAATTTAATGTGGAGCTAAAACATGTTCTGTATGTAATAGATAAGATTAAATTTAATTACAATACCTAGTTTTGTAATTGATCTGTTTTTTGTGTAGCTGTTGTGGAAGAAGAAACTTATTGTTATATAATTTTGTGGATTATAAGACAAATAATCAAATTATAAAAGAAATAAAAGTTAAATTAAATTTTTTTATTTCATAAATAAAAAATATTACATTATTTTTACATTATTCATTTGGTAACAAATAAATCACATTACATTTAGTTGAGACAAATGTATCTAGTTATAAAGTTACACGTAGGTACTTATTTTTATACATCAACATATATAAATATTAGTAGTGAGAAAAATATCTCTAAATATTTATATTATGGGTGCTTTTCACACCAAGAGCAAACGTGTGCTTTGTGTGTATGACGCGCTGCGCAATGCTTTAGTGGTACTTTACACTTTAAAGTGAATTCTGATACAGTAATTTTAAACAGGCGTATCGCGTCCCTTTTAGCTTGGTAGTAACACCGCGCCTCTCCCGGTGTGCGCTGCGCCTAACCGTCGTATTTAAAAACAGTTAAGTAATGACTTAAGCATTTTTTTTATTTCATTCTTAAGAAATTTATCAAATAATGATCTCTCAAAAATGAGAACTCTTATAAATCGATCCATTATTTAAACGAATCCAAAATGCTAACGCAAGACTTTCTCTCTCGCTCGTTACTAAGGACAACATCAGCGGAATGTCTGACTGGTTTTATTTATTGGTGCGTGTGTAGACTACACCGAAGCGATACGATAGTAAATAATAATTTAAGAAAGTAGATAGGTGATCAAATAACTTTGTGGCAGTTGAGATTTCAACTTTTAGTTTAAATATCGGTATACCACCAGCTTATTAATAATTTAATTTCAATGAACTTAAAAAAAAATACAGTACTGGGATGTTAGCTAGTTCTATTGGAATTCAAGATGTCGCTTAGAAAACTTTCTACTTCTTTTTTATTCTTATAATTAGCTTTTTTGTGACCCCAATCTTGCTTTGCCACCTTATTTACAGTACCATGGTTAAATGAAGGATCGTCCACAGAGAATTCTTCAAAGCATTGGTCTAGAAGTTTATCAGGCTCATCTGTTTTTGGCTTGGCTTTCTTCTTTGGTTGATAGCTCAGAGATTCTTTATCGAAATCTAAAGGTACAATCCCCAGGTCACCACTGTATCGGTTTTTTGCAACTTGCAAATACTTTTTTCCACGAACTGCTGTCAAACGCTTGTCCTGTAGTTTAAATTAATTTTATTAAATTTATGTAGCAGCTTTAACTAATTAAAGAACGAGAATCCAATACATATACATCATACGAGGAGGTCCATGGCAAAGGAGCTCGATGACGCAAGTGGTTAGCGCGTTCGGCTGCGATAGTTGAAGTTAAGCAACTTTCGCAGTTGTCGGTCATTGGATGGGTGACCAAAAAACTTTTCTAACTCGAGCTCCTCCGTGCTTCGGAAGGCACGCTAAGCCGTTGGTCCCGGCTGCATCTGCAGTCGTTAGCACCCACCAATTCGCACTGAGCCCGCGTGGTGGGTCATGGCCCAATCTCCCTATTCCATCCATAGGGAAGGCCTCAGCAGTGGGGCCTAATGGCCCTATTAATATAGGCTGATGATGATGAACTTTCGCAGTGGTCGGTCATTAGATGGGTGACCAAAAATTTACTATCTCGAGTTCCTCCGTCCTTCCGACCAAGACTGGGAAGATGAGATATCCGCGTTTCCGGATTTAGCTGACTGGACAACTGCACGCAAAATCATTAAAATCAACACATTAACTTGGGCCATCAAAAGCTTCCTCCCTTTTAAAGCAGCTGGACTCAGTGGCGGCGCTAGGCGTCGGCGACGTCGGCCAACGCCAACGGCCTCGCGCCTGAGAGGGCCTCGCAAAAAAATTTTACATGTTACCTATTTATTTTCGTTTCTCCGGGCCTGGCTTAGGTAGCCGACCCCGAACAATTCGGGGGAAAAGCTAAGCAGATGATAATGACTTTTATTAATTTCGAACACGTGCGTGATGGAAGCGAGTAGTACTTTACGGGTATTCAGAATCGTCTGTCTGGCAACACTATGAATCAATAATAAATCTCGTTTACTCATACGTTATTTTATAATTTGGCTCACTTAATTTAAGGGTTGTTTACTGCGAAGTAAAAAAGGCCTCGCGAACTTGATGTCGCCGACGTCCACATGTGGTCTAGCGCCGCCACTGGCTGGACTGGATGGCATCTTTCCGGGCCTACTGCAATGGTGCGAGGAATCGATACTCGAGCACCTACTGCGAATCTACACAGGATGCCTTGCCTATCGGTACATACCCACCAAGTGGAGAGAGGTTAAAGTTATATTCATACCCAAACCAGGCAAAAGTGACTACACGCAACCTAAAGCATTCAGACCGATAAGTCTCACATCATTCCTCCTAAAGGTGCTGGAGAGAATGTGTGACAGGAACTTGAGAGATGATGCTCTAAAGCGTGTACCACTTCATGCAAATCAACACGCCTACAGCATGGGCAAGTCCACCGAATCCACATTACACAACGTAGTCAGACAAATAGAACGTGGATTATCACCAAAACAATCAACGCTCGGGGTCTTCATTGACATTGAAGGCGCCTTTGATAAAACAAACTTTACCAGCATCAGCCAAGCACTTGTCAGACATGGAGTTGACCCCACGACTGCGGGGTGGATCAACAACATGCTAAAATACAGAGCAATACAAGTGACTGTGAACACTACGAAGAGAGCTGTAGTGGCACGTGGTTGCCCACAGGGAGGCGTTTTATCCCCTCTCCTGTGGAACATTGTGGTTGACGAATTAATTTGCCAACTCAATCAACGCAACTACTACACAGTTGGCTATGTGGACGACCTAGTTATCTTCATAAGCGGGTCATTCCAGAATGTGCTGTGCAACTTAATGAGTAACGCTCTCAAGATAGTTGAAACCTGGTGTACTAAACACCAACTATCGGTGAATCCGACCAAAACAGAGATGGTCATGTTCACGAAAAAACGAGACTTGGATACCGTTAAATTGCCCAAGTTATTTAATACCGAACTGTCTATGTCAAGCGAGGTCAAATATCTAGGCATAGTTCTTGATCATAAGCTAACATGGAACAGCCACTTAGACCAAAAGATAAACAAAGCCTGTATCACGTTTTGGCAATGCAAAAGACTACTTGGTAAAACCTGGGGTCTTGCACCAAAAATCACAAAATGGCTTTACACAACCATAATCAGACCACTCATCACCTACGGTGCAATAGTTTGGTGGCCTAGAACCGAACTTAACACCGCAATTAATAAACTGCAGCGTTTTCAAAGACTAGCATGCTCTGCTATAACAGGCTGCATGAAATCCACACCCACAAATGCCGTAGAAATAGCGCTTGACCTCCCGCCACTCGACCTGTTTATACAACAGGAAGCAACTATAGCAGCGCTAAGAATGTATCATCTGGGCTTGTGGACGGAAAACCAGGGCCCTCACTCCAAAATTCTGGAAAGGGCTATACAATACCAACCTATGGTAACAGCCCGCTGTGATAAAATCCCGACTACTCATACATTTCACAGAAGATATCAAATAGAACTACTAGAAACCAACAAGGACTGGTCGGGCACAGACGAACTACGCATTTACACTGATGGATCCAAAATACCAGGATTCGGATCAGGCGCAGGAGTCTTCTCACTGGACCTTAACATCCATATATCAACAGCACTGGGTAATCACAGCTCAATATTCCAATGTGAATGTATAGCCATTACTCAGGCCGCCACCGCTGTCATTAATAGGAAAGTCAAAAACTACTAGATACGTATATTATCTGATAGTATGGCTGTCCTAAGAGCCCTAGATAGTAACAGCAAAACTTCTGGTATACGAATGTCACCTGGCATTGGTGTACATAGCAACGGATAGCAAGGTTATCCTCTAATGGATCAAGGGACATAGCGGTTCTGTGGGTAATGACGCAGCCGACGAACTAGCTAGAAGGGGATCATCACAGAAAGTGGAAGGCCCTGAGCCACTTCTGCCATTAACTTTCAATCAGTTTCGTACATGGGTGCGGCAACGAACCACACAGAACCATAATACCCGTTGGGCGAATACCGAGGGCTGCAGGCAATCTAAGGATATTTTTCCCAACCTCAACCCCAGACTAACTAGAAAACTACTAAATCTTAACCGAAATGATCTCCGAGTAATGCTAGGCACCATAACAGGGCACTGCCCACTTAACAAGCATTTACTAACCATACGCGTTACAGATAGCTCTCTATGCAGAGGATGTCTGGAAGCAGATGAAACGGATCCTGGAATGCACGAGCGTTGCAGAACACCGGGCATCAATCCTCAGGAAGCCGAGGACGCTCCTAGAAGCCTGTGAGAGCCCCAGGAGGCTACTGCGCTTCTGGAAGGAGCTGGGCTGGCTGAGCTAGCTAGCCCAACATACCCTGCACGCACAATGGACCAAGTACGGAGTCTACGTGCGGAAACGGGGGCCCACAACAAGTAACTCCTCCGTTCTGCAAAAGATACGTTAAGGCTGCATCTGCAGCTGTTAGCACCCACCAATCCGCACTAGGCCTGCGTGGTGGATCATGGCCACACCTGCCTATTGCATCCATAAGAAAGGCCTGAGGCCCAGCAGAACGGACATTATTAGGCTGATGATGATGAACTAACTAATTCAAAGATGTGATTTTTCTGATAGACATGGTTGAGTTAATCGTTTTTTTGTCTTACGCGTAAAGTGAGCCAAAAAGTTAATTTTATAATTTTTTTTGTGTAATGAACATGACGTTTGATATTATTATACAAACCACATCGTCATGGGCGACTTCAACACTGACCTTCTAAAAGATAGCGCCCAGTCTCGTAAGTTTAGATCCTTAATTGAGTCGGTCAACTTCTCAATTCTTCACCTTGAACCAACTCACCATAATCATACCACTTCGGACTCATGGATCGATCTCATTTTAATAACTTCTCATGACCGTGTCATTATACATGGTCAACTTCCGGCACCTGGCTTCTCCAGACATGACCTTCTTTTCCTAGCATATAAAGCTAAACCTCCGAAGTCTAAGCCTCAAATCGTCCGAATGCGAAACTTTGCGTGACTGGATGTGGAGAAATTGAAAAGTGATGCGAATTGTATAGACTGGAAACCCCTTTGCGAGGCAGCTACGATTGATAACATGGTCTCTTATTTTAATAATGCCATCACGAGACTTTTTGACCGTCATGCACCTAAAAAGTGCGTCAAATTGAAACGCATGGCCATGCGGAAGCGTAATAAGTGCTTTCGTACGTACAAACGGTGCCGCACTGATTACAATTGGGAGGCTTTTAAAACTGCCAGGAATCAGATGGTGAGAGCTGCAAAACGCCAATTCATTCATCAGAACATTTTGAATTCAAGTCCTGCCAATACATGGAAGTTTCTACGATCTCTCGATTTCGGTAAATCCTCTCCTAAACATATCTCTTCTGTTTCACCTAATGAACTTAATAAGCATTTCTCGTCTGTCCCTTCTCTCCCAACTTCAGTTACTCTTTCTACAGTTTCTGCTATCACTTCCATGGCTCCTTCTACAAACGATTCTTTCTGCTTTCGTCCTTTGACCGAGGAGGAGGTTCGTAAGATCGTGCTCTCCATAAAATCCAAAGCAGTCGGTTGTGATGACATTGGAAGGGCTATGATTATGTTGATACTTGAATGTATACTTCCAAGCCTAACATTAATTTTAAATTTTTCTCTTACTTCAAGTACCTTCCTTTCTATCTGGCGACACTCTCTTACTATCCCCATTCCTAAAAATACGTCACCATCCTCTCTAAATCACTACAGGCCCATATCAATATTACCTTTTCTATCTAAGATTTTAGAAAGTGCTGTACATAACCAACTGTCTACTTTTATCTTTCGCCATAACATACTTAGTCCTTTACAATCTGGGTTTCGACCCGGTCACAGTACAACCACTGCTCTCCTTAATGTTCTGGACGACGTTCGGAGCGGCATGGAGAAGTCGCAGTTGACAATAATGGTCGTGATCGATTTTTCTAACGCATTTAATATGGTCAACTACGACATTCTCATTGCAATCCTTACTCACATGGGAGCCTCTTCTTCGGCGAGGACCTGGTTCTCTTCGTATCTTCGTGGACGCCAGCAGGCTGTTCGAATCGATCAGACTATTTCAAGCTGGGCTGATATCACTGCTGGTGTTCCACAGGGCGGTATTCTTTCTCCTCTTCTTTTTTCACTTTTTATTAATTTCCTCACCACTCTAATTCAATGCTCTTACCATCTGTATGCCTCCAACTCTACGTTCAAGCTGATAAGCATAACTTAGACGTACGCTTAAACCAAGACCTACAAAGACTTTCCGATTGGTCCAAGTGTTATGGTATCTTTGTAAATCCATCGAAATGCCAGGCTATTATTTTAGGTAGTTCTCGTCAATTAGCTACGCTTGATCTGAGTAACTTGAATGCGGTAATTTATAATGGTAATGTTATCCAGTATCTACCCAGCGTTAGAAATCTAGGCTTATTTATCGATACTACTCTCAGCTGGGAAGTTCATGTTCAAGAAGTTAGTCGCAAGGTGATTAACACACTTCGAGCACTGTATTGTCTTAAGCACTTTTTCCCTTCCTGTACCAAAGTCGCACTCGTCCAGTCTCTTATTCTCCCTATTCTCGACTACGCCGACATCTGCTATTCTGACATCACTCAAAACCTTCTTATCAAATTGGATCGTTTGCTCAACAGCGGTATTCGCTTCATTTTCGGGTTACATAAATACGACCACATTTCTCCCTTTAGAAAACAACTTCAATGGTTGCCAATCAATGGCCGAAGAAACCTTAGATTACTTTGCATACTCTTCAAGCTTTTATACGATCCATGTGCCCCAGAGTACCTGAAATCTAGATTTCAATTTCTGGGCACTTCCAATCAACGTGATCTTCGCTCGTGCAGAAATCTTATACTACAAATCCCCGTTAATCATTCTGGGTTTGGATCCAAATCGTTCACTATTACTGCCATACGCCTGTGGAATGCTCTACCACTAAGCATACGTAGTACTGAAAATAAGTTTGAGTTCAAAAAACTTGTGCGTGAACACTACCTGACTACGTGATTTTTCCCTATAGTTTGCATCGATATATATTATATTTATTGTATTTTATGTATGTTATGCATATGTATATATATATATATATATTTATTTATATGTGTATGTTTATGTATGGTTATATGAGTATTTTATATATGTGCATCAATTTGTATTTAAGTATTATTATTTTATTGCTGTTATTTTGATATTGTTCATTTTATTTAATTTTAGCAACTTTGCTCTATCGCCATACTATTTGTCTCCAACAATCATACTGGTTGACTGGTAGAGAATGCCTATGGCATTAAGTCCGCCGTTTACTTATGTTTGGCAATAAAGTTTAAATAAATAAAAAATAAAATAAAATTATTGAATTAGCAAAACTAATATGCTCATATAAGATTGAGTTTGATTTAAAAGTGCGTGAATCAATGGTGCACTGCATGTATTTCATGTTATTCAGCTCGTCCAATTTAACGTTTGCTTCTTGAGTGAGAAATTAAAGTGTCTTTATTAACGTTTGGTCTATTGCCGCCATTGGTTAGGATACCGAGTTGAATCAGCAAAATTATTTTATTTAGTCAAAACCAATGCGTGAATACAACGGATATATGTCTGCATTGATAAGATTAGGATTTATTTACCTGAACAATAAGAACATTGTCCGCTTCTTGCGAGGCTTTAGCGCTGCCAAATATCGAGCTGGTGGATAAATCTTCAGATTCGCGTTCCTGTAATTTTTTTGTATTAAATAATAATAAGTTACTTTTTTTTAGTATTTTTTTTTAAATATTAATACGTTATGCTTTTATTCTAGTAATATTTTCTTTAGATTTAAACATCTAGCAGTTAAATGCTTAAAAAATAAATAATATGTTACAATTTTTCATCATGTAACTGCTCGATGTTTAAATCTAAAGAAAATAACCTAGAAAAAAATCCACGCTGACCAGGGGGCCAATCGCCTAACGGAAATGCTTTGGGAAACGCTAACGCTTACGATTTTATATTGTTATTTCTAGCCGCCTGAGGTTTTCGAATACCTCACGCTCATTTTTTTTAATATTGTTATTACCAATGCAAAAGAAAAAGAAAGAGCGCGAGGCATTTGAATACCTCAGGCGGCTAGAAATAACAAAATAAAATCGTAAGCGTTAGCGTTTTCCAAAGCATTTCCGCTAGGCGATTGGCCCCCAGGAAGGATAATATAACCTCGCCCAATAGAAAAGACATGTTGGGGGATTATAACTCGGTTAGAATAGATCCAGTCGCCACAGTTTACATTTAACCATGTTTTTACCATGTCTAACTGTCATAGTTCATAGTAATTGAAAAATTTAGCGAGATAAAAACGAGTTAAATGTCATATAGCGGCGCTCATGTCAGGGGGCAGGAGTAGATAGGTGATATGTCCAGCACGAATTGAAGCGCTTGTTTGGATAAACAAACTTAAACTTATAAAATACTTTCTGTAAGGTGTAGTATGCTTCTTCAGAGACGCTATTCCGTACAATTTTAATGCTGGTACTTCACTTGGGTATTCGTGTTTGCTATTTGTAAACTTGAAATCTTCTGTCCTTTTCATTCCTTATAAAGCATGATAGCAGGTATATATAATAGGGCAGACTGTTGTCCAGCGTTGATTTCGCCGGCGCCGCGGCGGCGCCAGGATAGCATACTACCTATTCCCTGCCGGCCAGCAAAGCTGTATTGTATATGTATTGTAGCTGTGTGTGTGGTGGCTCGATTACACTTGGTGGCTAGCCCTAATACGATTGCCACTGGAATTCGGGTAAACGACTAAGTGTAAATGAACGCAGTCGAGTATGCCGGACACCGTCTTTTAGCCCGCATTCCAGTGTAAAAATTGCTTCGGGTGCCTGAATTCCAGTAATGTCTTTCGGGCACCCATAAAGCCCCCAAGCCTTTGCTAGAGGCAGGGTATAAACCGGCACCAGTGCCTACCGGTGCAGTAGAAAAACGAAGCGCCGTTGCGAAGGTGTGGAAGGCGGCGATAACCTCGTCCTTCCGGTTCTACTGCCTGTAGGGAGCATCATTCTGAGGCGCTCACCTTCCTCGGTTGAATGACGAGGGTCACGTGGCAGTGCTGCAACATGGCGAAAGTGCGGAGGGCGGCGATGACCGCGTGCTGCCATTTCTACTGCCTGCAGGGAGCATCATTCTGAGGCGCTCACCTTCCTCGGGTGCATGACGAGGGTCACGTGACAGTGCCGCGCCGTGGCGAAGGTGCGGAAGGCGGCGATGACCGCGTCCTGCCGATGGAAGCGGTCCCCGTCGCGCTCCTCACCCAGCCCCAGCATGAACTGCACGTTATCTACCACCACGTGCGATATGTCGTGCATGTAGCGCGCGTGTTCTACCGCCTGCAGGTAAGGTTAATGTACAGAACTAACAACCACGAATTTGAACGCGTCTAATGTATACCTGTCAAAGTCCATAGTAATTCTATATCAAGCGTTATAAAAACGTTGTATTTAGGGATGCAGTCTTTTGAAATATCGATATTTATATCGAAGTCAGGAAAATATCGATATCCGATATATCGACCATTTAACTCTATATTATCGATATTTTTGACGTGACAACGTCTTAAATTAGGTTGCGGCTGGGAGTCACTTATGAAAAAGTGTAACGCTCGGTAACGTTACGATGAGTCTCTCGTGTTAAGTTTAAGTTTACATGTACAATGTTTTAGTAAACAAAATATATTTCTATAGTTAAAATTTGTGCAATTCTTATTTTCATTCAATTCCTTGTTCCTATTGTGCAATTTAATTATATTCATATCAATAAATATTCTACCGAGAAAAAGACGTTGTCACGTAAAATCTTCGCCCGTAAAACCGACTTTACAGGCAACCATTTTTTTCCTTTTTATTTTTATTGACATTAGAATACGGTGTGAGTGTGACACATTCATATGTTTGATGGCGAGAAACTCGCAAAATGCATTGAGCCAGCTTTTTCGTTAAACACGCTTGATGAAATCGCGCCAAGCAGGATTTTTTTTTATTGGCTCGCACGGTTTGTGTTTCAGCCACGACAGGAAACCAAAAAATTAAAATTATTATCCTGATCAGATCACTCACATTCGTTAGCACGAATGCGCCAACCCGCATATGTGGGACAACATTTGCGAATGCCTTTGCTAAGTTTTCACTACATTCGTGCTTTTCCAAGCTATGTCGGTTTTTTAGCGCACATCAAATACGCAAATTGCTTAGTCTCCCACACATCAGGGGCGTGCCCATGACTTTAGAATAGGGTAAGCCCAAAGCTTCCAAAATTACTATACCTATCTTACTTTCTTGACTTGGCTAACTTAAAAAATTTACGATTTGTTTAAGATTCTTAATTTTATTTTGTGTTATATTACAATGATATTAAATTTCAATTAATCAGTAGTTGACAATTATCTAGAAAGAGAGGCAAGGATTTTATGTAAGTGCATGAGTTACCATTAGGTATACGATTATACCTATATACGTTGGTGTCGATTCTGGCATGAATATCTAAACTTAAAACTAAATTTAACATCAGTCTCTCCTTTTCATTCTGTATAGAGAATTATACAGAAATAATAAAAATAGCTAGAAAGAATTTCGACGCGGTCCGTGAGGGCCGCGGTAGCATAATTGGTCAGTGCATTCGCCCGGATTGCGAAGGGTGCGGGTTCGAGTCCCGTCTGCTGCCTGGTCCGCGTGGAATTTTTTCTAGTTATATTTTCTTTAGATTTAAACATCAAGCAGTTACATGCTTTAAAAATAATAAAAAAATTATAACTATAATTGTTATTTCTTCTTTCAAATGTTTAATACTTGTAAAAGTATTCATTTGACATTGTGGGTTTACCTATAATGCGAAGAGATGGCGCTGCCTTGCAGCTTAAAAATAGCTAGAAAGAATTTCGACGCGGTCCGTGAGGGCCGCGGTAGCATAATTGGTCAGTGCATTCGCCCGGATTGCGAAGGGTGCGGGTTCGAGTCCCGTCTGCTGCCTGGTCCGCGTGGAATTTTTTCTAGTTATATTTTCTTTAGATTTAAACATCAAGCAGTTACATGCTTTAAAAATAATAAAAAAATTATAACTATAATTGCTATTTCTTCTTTCAAATGTTTAATACTTGTAAAAGTATTCATTTGACATTGTGGGTTTACCTATAATGCGAAGAGATGGCGCTGCCTTGCAGCTTAAAAATAGCTAGAAAGAATTTCGACGCGGTCCGCGAGGGCCGCGGTAGCATAATTGGTCAGTGCATTCGCCCGGATTGCGAAGGGTGCGGGTTCGAGTCCCGTCTGCTGCCTGGTCCGCGTGGAATTTTTTTTAGTTATATTTTCTTTAGATTTAAACATCAAGCAGTTACATGCTTTAAAAATAATAAAAAAATTATAACTATTATTGCTATTTCTTCTTTCAAATGTTTAATACTTGTAAAAGTATTCATTTGACATTGTGGGTTTACCTATAATGCGAAGAGATGGCGCTGCCTTGCAGCTTAAAAATAGCTAGAAAGAATTTCGACGCGGTCCGCGAGGGCCGCGGTAGCATAATTGGTCAGTGCATTCGCCCGGATTGCGAAGGGTGCGGGTTCGAGTCCCGTCTGCTGCCTGGTCCGCGTGGAATTTTTTCTAGTTATATTTTCTTTAGATTTAAACATCAAGCAGTTACATGCTTTAAAAATAATAAAAAAATTATAACTATAATTGCTATTTCTTCTTTCAAATGTTTAATACTTGTAAAAGTATTCATTTCACATAGTGGGTTTACCTATAATGCGAAGAGATGGCGCTGCCTTGCAGCTTAAAAATAGCTAGAAAGAATTTCGACGCGGTCCGTGAGGGCCGCGGTAGCATAATTGGTCAGTGCATTCGCCCGGATTGCGAAGGGTGCGAGTTCGCGTCCCGTCTGCTGCCTGGTCCGCGTGGAATTTTTTCTAGTTATATTTTCTTTAGGATACACTGTTGTTAAATTTAATTTTAGGTTTAGAGAATCATGCCATAATCCACACCAGTTTAGTATATTTCTTAGGGTTCAAGATTTTTTTAGTACATCTATAAGCTCTTGCGATTTCAAAGCAATAGTTATTTCGATATTATTCAATTTAGATAGTCATAGCAGGTAAATTAATTGATATTATTGTGTTCAAATTTAGTCTACGAAATATCGATAATTTTGAATTTCCGATATCGATATTATCGATATCAGTGAATTTTAAATATCGATATAAATATCGATATTTTGGTCTCGATATTATCGATATTCCGATATATCGTTGCAACCCTAGTTGTATTGTGATGCCTTCCGATCATATCCCGAAGCTTATGCTAGGAGGCCAGGAATAATGTACCTATATTTCTATTGGAGAGAATTGTTAAAACAGTAGTTCCCGAGATTATTTGCTAAAAAGAAACTTACAAACTATAGCTCTCCCTAACATGAGTATAGATATACCTATAGCACCAACTGTAAAGTTTTAATTGAGAGTAATTTCTTGTTATGCGAATAAATCTACACAAATATGACACATCCAGGGATGTCGGTGATTATGCCGGTTATAGGTTAGACTTGTATATGAAGAAAACATCTAGTGACTTACTTCCATGACGACCTTGACGGGTTGCTGTCCATGAAAAGCCAAATAAAAGATCGGTAACTTCTGGAAGTTGTCTGCGAACTTGTGGAATTCTTGAAGGTTCTGCTCCAGAGAAACGCCCGCGAACTGCTGGAGCATGGTTCGCGCTAAACGGGAGTTTCGAATCTCGAAGCTACCCCAAAGTGTATTTACCTGTTAAACGCATATAATCAACGTCGTCAAGATTCTGTTAGATTTTTATTAATTATAATGAATGACTCCGCCATGTCGTACGAAATCAAGTTATATGATCTCATAAAACACGCAGCGTTTGTATAAGGAAGTTGTTTTGTGATTCTGGTTAATCTGTGGTATATTTTACAGTGTGTACTATTTATAGGTATAGCTAGCTTTACTTACAATTTTCTCTTCTTACTCACCAGCGGCGCCACTATCCTTGGCGAAGGCGCTGTCAGTTTTTCAAATTAGTATAGCTTTATGGCAGTGCAAAAGACTGCTCGGCCGAAGTTGGGACATAAGCCCCAAAATCACCTTCTGGCTATACACAACAGTCATCCGATCAATCACCACATAGCAACCAAACCAACCTAAGCACAGCCCAAAAGGACCTAGAAAAACTAGAGATTTGCCTGCCTAGCAATTACCGGCCTTACAGGTGACCCTGTGGACCATCTTATTGTAAGAGAGGAGGCGACCCTAACGACTTTCAGGCTCGAAATATCCGGCACCCTAAATAGGGATTCCAGAATTAAACATATACGCATAAAGGAGGATGCAATCAAGCCCATGCTGGCATCACCCAATGACAGAATCATGACACACAACACACTGTTTCATAAAACACAACAGCATAGAACTCACAGCCGAGTCACATACTACTACTACTCAGATCTAGAAGAACTAAGGATCTACACTGATGGATCAAAAATTGACCTTGGAACTGGGGTCGGGGTCTTCTCAAATGACATCAGAATAACCAGGCCCCTAGGAATGTTTAACATCTTCTATCGGGCAGTGTGTTGGCCAGGCGACACATGCCATAGAGGCTAGAAAATTCACGGATACCCACATTCGCATTCTCTCCGACAGTGCCTCTGTTCTTTAATCCTTACAAAAGAACCAGATCACGTCAACACTAATACTAGAAAGCCATAAGGCCTTAAACGGCGTAACGGTATTAAATCGAAATACGGTGACGCTAAAATAGCTCAAGGGGCGCAGTGGATCACTTGGTAACGACGCGGCCGATGAACTCGCGAGAAGAAGTTCAACACAAAGACTATCAGAGCCGAACCCATACCCTTCAACCAGCTAAAAAGGTGGCTTACACACAAACACAAGCAAAGAAGTGGTGGACCTCGACACCAGGGTGTATGCCATCTAAGGATGCTCTTCCCCAGGCATAAAGGTGACCAGGTGCCTTCTTTGCCTAGATAGGAACAGCCTGAGAATGGTGGCGGGGATCGTCACCGGACACTGCCCACTGAATAAACACTTTCACGACCTAGGTATCACTGACAGTCACCTATGCAGAGCATGCATGGAGGCAGAAGAAACGGTGGCACATGTGCTCCTCGAGTGCACTGGAGATCCGCGAGGAGACTCTTGGTAAACCGGGATCCCTTGCGGATGCCCTGAGAAGACTGATCTGCTTCTGGAGGGAGGTGGACTGGCTGGAATAACCGGCCGTCATGGCTCACGCACAATGGTCCACTTAAAGGACTTAGTGCGGAAACCAAAACTCCTAACGAGGAACATCACAAGACAGCTTGTTCATCCAAACGCTGTGTGTTTAAATCATTATATAATCTGTGTTTTGTTGTAATGAAAAACAGTTCTATTAGTTATATTTGCTGACTATAAGGTCACGGTCAGAGAAAACAACAGTTAATAAGAAAAGTAAAATTTAGTAAATAGAATAAAGCTATCTTACTCCTTGCTGTGCAAGGTCCAGTGACATTTCGGCGCACAGTGTCGTTTTACCGCAACCAGTGGGGCCCGTGAGGACTGTCAGTTCTCCGCGCCTGTGCCCGCCTAGTAAGCGAGTAAGTGCAGGGAACCTCTTCCATTTTATTCCTCGAACCTGGAATAAGATATACCTACTTTCGACATTCTCGTATTCAAACAAACAATTATTACTTAGCAATGTGGCAAACTATTTAAAATTCTTTTATTGTTCCAAATTCACAATTCTAGTATGTGGAATTATTTCTGGAAAATAATAGGATTATAAAACTAGCTGTACCAGCGACTTTGTTCACTTGGATGTCGGAAAATAACTTTCTTAAAAGTTTTCCTAGCAACCTCTGCTTATGTGCATTGACAAATAAGTAGCATACACTAAAAGATGGGTTGTTTACACGCGAAAGGGCTACACAAAATTGGCTATATATGGAAAGACCAACCAGAAAGATGTATTTTTAAAAAAAGGTGGTAGAAAATGAGATCAGGGCGGACAATGACACAAGTGATATTTGGTTATCTCATGTGTTGTATATCTTTAGCTGGCTACTTACTATCAGGCTGGCTACATGCCGATTTTTCTGCCATTTTTACATAAACAAATATTAAGGTACAATAATGTCTGGCCCTAACTTTATTCTGAATCATGGCACAGTTAATAAAGAATTGAACTTGTTCAAAACACTTCCGTAATATCTCTCTTAAATGTAGCTTACCTTGTCAAGATTGGTGAGTTCAGCATAAACATCATCGCGAAGCGCCGCGAAAGTAGTGATGGATCTATGCGCCGCTGGTTTAGCCTCTGCCACAAGGGCCTTCAATGATAACTGTGCGTGAGCAGCTTCCGTTGCGGTCACCAATCCATCTGTGGGCCTGATTAAGTAAAACGAAATTTTCACAAAATTTATTTCAATAAAATAAATATAAATATTAAGAGGATTTTATGAAAATTTACCTGACAAAACGACAACGCCCATCTCCAAGTTTTTCAGCAACTGATCTCATGTTATTCCAATCGCCCCATAGGCATATTTTCTGATAATTTTCAAGTGATGGTAACAAAATAGGAGGTAAACTACAATTACTTAGCCATACCAAGGTACCTGAAATTAAACCTATATTCACATAAAATAGTACCAAGATACAAAAAATATTTAATTAAATATCTATTTATTGTAATTAAGAAAAAAGTATGAGCAAAGGTACTTTGGCAAGAAGACTTTGGGTTCACCTTAATCTGATATAATATAGTGTCAAAGCTTATTATAATAGCTACCTGCAGTCCATTGAGAGTTAGAGATAATAAAGGTAATTTCATTTTATAAAGAAAAACAGTACAGGGTCATCTGCACATAAACATAGGCCAAACACCACCACACCATTTTTATTAGGTATAACGACTTTATAGGCTTCCAAGAAAAGCTTTCATATTTGTTGGGTGAACTGTGACTATGCCAAAAAAGTGGAAAAAGTAGTTTTTTTTTCACCTGCAATTTTGTGAGCAGCTAAGTGTAGAATATCTTCAATATTTGGCACAAGTATAGCTTGGTCACTACGGTTCACCTTAGGAGCTCGACAAGAGAATAGGCCTGCAGCATGTAACCCATGATTTACAGCCTCATCTTCTTTACCAGCTTGGACTTTACGGTATCCCACTATACAATCCAATGAGTTCTTAAGTGGAAAGTATAATACTGTGCGGTCTGATGATACTCTGACATCAGACAAGGTCTTGTTGACTTCATGATGATACTGAATATAAAATTTACTGTATAAGTAGACACTTTTGGTTGTACTTTGAGCTATATCGATATTTAAAAAGACTCAGTACTTACAGGAAATTCAAATAACCTAAAGAGATCTAACAGCTCTCCTTCATTTAATTCAGATAATAAACTAGTAGTTTTTGAAATATCTAACCAGTCATTCTGAAATTTTTTGAAGCTGTTTTGGCATTTTTCTATAATTTCTTTTTGTGATGCATCCATTTTAGCTTTCTTTAGTAGCCTCTCATAGAAATTCCAATCTCCATGAATATTACATTTTGGACATACAAAATAACCTGTATCAAAAAAAAGTTTATCAAGAAGGCAAATGTTACAGTCATAAAATTATTGTGTTTAGTTTCTGTGTGCAATAATTGAATATCTGAAAATCTTATAGTGGGATAAAAAGTAACCGTTGTATAACGTTTGCTATTTAACTGTGTACAAACTGTTATACATTGTAAATATTATACAAAATATTATAAAATAAAAAAACTTCAGTGTTTGTATTCTATGAAATAGTCATAGAAATAATAGCATACCTGTTGTTTTGTTTATATAAACCTTACTATCCTTCTTTTCTTCACTAGAACATATTGAACACTTTGTCGATAGTGAAGTGAATCCCTCTTGTACGGCAAAGCCTTTTTGTCTCAATAGTTTGCGAATTTCAGTCGCCGTTACTTTGGGAATATCATCAAGTCCCACATTATGAATGCTTTTTCGGATACACCCACAACCTTTCACATTTAAAATAGAATTAATGGAACGAAGATTTAGTGCTCTTAAATATATGTTATACATTATACTTATTGTAATAAGAAAACTGTAAAACAAATCTAAAACATCACGCAATGTGTACTTATCACACTAAACATAACCTAAAAAGTGGCAAAACAATAACAAACAAACGTTCCGTTTCAAGGCTGAAACTGACGTTTCGTAATCATCATTAGCTTTGAGTTCATTTTTTTTTTCAAGTTCTCCCTTTTCAGTGAAGGCAAAGGAAACAATGCCCATACAGCCTAGTCTTAAGTTAAATTATTCTGTTTTTCCTTTTACATTAGAATGTCGGTGTGACGCATTCTTATGTTTCTTGAAGTGTTTGGCACGAAATGTATCGAGCTAGCTGTTTCGATAAGCTTCTGTGAGGTAGTCAATACTACAATAAAATTCTCACATCCACTTGACCGGAATAGCGTATATTTTGACGATTCTACTAATTCTTCAGTTACGCAGACAGTTGTAACACAAAATTACACTAATTTTATTTAACAATATCCACTATGAACGAATTTAAGAATAATTAAAATAAGACGCTAACCACACTCGATGAAATCCCGCCAAAAACTCTCGCTTTGAGTTCATCAAGCTTCAAACTGACAAATATGAACAAATAACTTTCGTTTATTTATTTATTTAGCCAAAAAAATAACTTTCGACGAAAATCCTAGATAAAGGTTTCGTATTTTTTTATGAAAGAGCCTTGACTTTATTACACCAGTTAAGTGACTGTAGACTAGGTATATAGAATAGCAGGCTCAGCAGTTTTGGTGGCTATACAAGCTATCCTCACCTTGCTGGCCTACAAAGTGCTTTTTCACACCTTTTTTACCCTTCAGCCGCTGTAGTGCGGTACTGCAGGGCCGGGTTGTAGGATGGAGAGAACACGAGAGCAGACAAAGCATTCTATTTGTGAGTCACCAAAGTTTATTTGTTTGCGTTGGAATAGTGGCCAACTGACCACCATAGGTAGCCACAGTACCTTAGTCGGTGACAACGTAGACATGCAGCGCATGTGGTCCTTTATGGCATTGGAAGGTAGGATAAGGAAGAAAACTCCTCGGAACGTACCTGACGTAAAAAGAAACTAGCTCTTTCCGCAATATTTGAAAATGATGCGAATAGGGAGCTGTTCAAATTCGTGCTAAAGCTTCAGTAGACCGTCTATGATCTCATACCTACCAGGAAGATATTTATTAGGTAAATTAAATTTGCCTTGAAGCAAACAAAGGTGTTCATGAGGAATAAAACGACAAAATAAAAAGTACGTCATTGTATATTATGTAAATGTATTTATAACAATAATATATTTACATCATTTATTTTTCCATTCCGAAACTTACTTCTAAAATGCACAAGAAATCAAAACAGATGATTAGATAATTATGAAATTGTACTACAACGCGAACACAACATCTAGTTATTGATGTTTATAAATTATTATAAATTACTTGGTGAAATTCACTTATATCTTAAAAACTAAAACGAGTTTATTAATTATCAGGTTAGTTTAATACAATAAAAATTATGAATTTCAGAACTAAATCAATTTTACTATAAAAATTTCATTACATTATGATTTGCTTACAATGCCACATAGCCCGTCGAAAATTACATACACCATGTAACTCAAAAATATTTTTTTGCTATCAGTTTTATATATCTATTAAATTAAATCCTTGACAGTCGTAAAAATGTTTGTGTACCGTTATCAATCATAATATTCACATTTATTTAATAAAAGTACAGTAGAACGCCGATTAAGCATAATATAAAAAATTAAAACCAAGTTATTTTTGTTTTGTTGTAACAAGTTGGAACTAACTGGAGTCCAGATATATTTCAACTGTTATGGTTGAAAGCTAGAGGCAAAACACTACTGCCGCGACGCTGATGCTCTCTCTCCCTCTAGTGCACTACTAACGTAATTTCTTGTATCTTCTTGTTCTTATTTTTGTTTCTTTTTGCTACTATGTACCTCTATTATTGTAGAACTGTGTTTGTTAAACTTAATAGTTTATTATATGTATGCCAGTTCGTTTTTCTTTATTACCAGTCCATGTCCGATAAGCCGAATCGACCCCGGTCTCAATTAATTCGGATAATCGGCGTTCTACTGTACATGAAAAAAGTTGACTAAGTTTTTCTTGCATTAATATCTTTCAATCAATGCTCTAGTTTAACATACTCTGAACACAGTATACTCGAATATTATAATTACGAGAATCTAAGGCTGTGAGATTTCTCCAATTGATTTTCAACCTTAACCCTAAAACTCAAAGTCTACTTACGGCCAGTTTCAATAATCAACCTCCAGTAAAAGGTAATAATAATCTGCCGGCCTATTTGCTAACTTTTTTTACATTTAAAGTGTGTAGCTAGCTGCTCTAGAAATAATTGTATATCCATCGATGCTTTTTCAGAACAAGTATCTTAGTAGCGTTATAATAAAGCAGTAGTGGATCACTAAATAGCTCTGTGAATATCAGTTCTATCTGTCAAAAGAAGTTAGCGAATAGGCCCACTGGTTCCATTTCTTAGTAACAGTTGTTATTCTAACTAAATAATAAAAATATCTAGGCAACAACTGCTGCTCAGAAGCGAAACCAGATTATCCTTACCTTTTACAAAACGTTGATAATTGAAATTAGCCGTTAACGCCTTTAGTACAAGAACATTTGAAGCCTTGTGTGTGTGTGTTTTTTCATAAATAGTTCCAAGCACTATACATTCAATCTGATTTGAAGGTTTCCAGACGTGAAGATTTACGTCCCGTACCACCTACTCTCATTTGACGGCCCGAAAGATGGATGCAAGATGTACCTTGATTAAATTTTACCCCATCCATCACATTTGCTGCCGAATGCAGTTTGTATTGACCGCTCTACTGAGTGAGCATCTGTCATTTTGTGGTGACCATATTACTTCCCAGCACATTTAATTCGGGGGTTGGTACGGTTGCCATTGCTTGTATTTCATTAGTAGCTCTTTATGCTGGCGATTGGCCATTATGCTACTACAAGGTATCTGGATATCGTGATTGCTCTGCTGTGTGAGCATCAACGAATTAGAAATAGTATGGATTACGAACTGCTCTAACAAGTGGTACCACGCAATCTGCCATTAAAGGCGGGGTGAAAAAACTGCGATCAACATGCCGAATATGGGATTGGTTGGGGTTTCCAATTAACATTATCATACCCAATGAATGAATAGCCGAATTCATTTGCAGATATTTGATTTGTCAAAGTATTTTGTTTTGTCTGTGTGCGTGTCGCATTCGTAGTGAGGTTGAGTTGTATGAGTCAATCATGTTTTAGCGGCCATTGCTAGAGAGCAATGCTTCCATAGCATTTCTAATTCGTTGGTTATTGCCGTTGCAAGTGTTGCACCAGCGGCCCCTGCTGTTGTTGCATGGCCAGCATATTCTACTACATGAACTCTGGGTATCTTGATTGGTCTGCAGTGTGAGCATCTAAAGTTTTGAAGTGGTCACACTTCTTATTCCCTAGGCACATTTAGTATGGGGGTTGATACGGTTGCCGCTGCAAGTGTTGTACCAGTGGCCCCTGCTGTTGTTGCATGGCCAGCATCTGTTGCCGCATCCGTTGTTGGTTCATCTGTTGTTGGTACTGGGCGCTTTGTTGGGGCTGCATACCTCGTGGGTAAGGGGGCGCTGGCCCACCCATACCACCCATAGTTACGTTAGGCGCCTGAATAAATAAAAGGATTTAGTAAATATTAGATCGAGGAGCTCGATGGTGCAAGTGGTTGGCGTGTACGTTCGTAACGCTACGATAGTTGAAGTTAAGCAACTTTCGCAGTCATTGGATGGGTGACCAAAATATTTGCAATCTCGAGCTCAGTGCTTCGGAAGGCACGTTTAGCCGTTGGTCCCGGTTGCATCTGCAGTCGTTAGCATCCACCAATACGCATAGAGCCCGCGTGGTGGGTCATGACCCAATCTCCCCGTTGCATCCATAGGGAAGACCTGTGTCCCAGCAGTGGCGACATTAATAGGCTGATGATGAAGTATTAGATATACAGTGCGACAAGGATCTTTATGAATGTGAGTGACAATTCAGGGAGGGCGCTACGATCAACGTTAATAAATAAAAAATATAACGTTTACAAAGACGGCGGCGTTAGTTTAATTTTCGCCACTTTCATAAAGGTCCTTGTCTCACTATAGACCTGTTTGAGTGATGAGGAAGGATCGCAGGAAGTGGAGAACGAATTGTTTTTGCTTGTGTATTTACTATTGGAAACAACTGCAGATAGACTGCAACGGTGCTAATTATTGAACAGATAAAGAAAAACTTATTTAGAAAAAAAAAAAAACTAGCAGTCAAATGTTTGAATAAAAAAAAATATGATAAAATGCATAGAAGCTTCTAGCTTTGGGTAATCTTATCCAAAGCTATAAGCTGATAATCTTATGAGGCAATGTAATTTTTTGGTAAAGGGAAAAGCTTAGCTTTTATTATTTATTAACTGATTTTGTAAAAATTATGAGTTTTGTTTTAAATTAGGACTCTCAATTTGTTGTTGTTCATTATATGGGACATTATTATAATATACACACTTACCTGCATATATTGCGGTCGTGCGTTTTGTCTTTGCTGAGCTAAGTAAGCCTCTTGACTGGCTCTGCCGCCCATCATGTTCTAAATCAAAAAGTAAAAGAATATATTTCTTTATCCTAAAAAAAAAATTCTTTCTTTGTATACCATAAGATATTATCATACCTGTTGGAATGATTGTTGTCCAGGGAATCCTCCCATAGCATTACCCCCCTGCGGGCCCATTGTACCGCCTTGGGTGTTCATCGCCCCCATTCCTCCACTTTGGCCCATTTGACCCATCTGGCCCATGGGCTGCCCCATTTGCGCCATGCCTTGACCCATTTGCCCCATACCCTGAGGTATTTGGGCGGATTGGCCCACACCTTGATTCATTTGGCCAACGTTTTGGCCTATCGTGTTGACACCCTGATTCATCGGATTCACTTGTTGGCCCATTTGGTTTACACCCTGACCCATTCCCTGAAACATTATATGAAAATAATAATCTTTATGTAGAAATTAAACAAAAACCTGGTTACTGACAACTGGATAAGTTTCATAATTTTATGTTAGACTGTGAAGTACTTATATATGAGCCTACGTAGCCAGATCATAATAAAAAAATATATTCATTCGCATTTCGTCAGTCTAATTTATCATAATGATTATCTGTACTTGCGATAAATAAATTTTGATGACGTAATAACACTAGATCCTAGCATATAAATAATTGAAAATATTTTAAAAATTAAACTGAAGTAAAAGGTGTCGGTCGTTCAGCTGATTATATATGTACTTATTAGGGTTAACCTGCTATGTTTTCTGTGTCAGTGTGACTTGTTAATAAAATTTATCCAGATGGACTTCCTACGCAGTCTGAGATATTAAGCTGATGATTTGATTCTATGCAATTTTAGTATTGTCATATATCCCCCAACCTCTATTTTATCTCTTTCAACTATACCTACAGGCACTAAGATATTCGGTGGTGCCATGTGAAGCAGGTCGTTACGTTCCCTAAAATATAGTTGAGCGAAGCGATGGCTAGTTCAGGCGTCATGCTCGTGAACGGGTGCTGCCAGCGGAGATGAGTCTGCTCTGAATAGTTTGCTATTGAAGATGTTATCTAAGTATACCTGATATAAATAAAACTATGCGTATTTATACTGTATGACACAACAATCCAAATGCAATGAGGGTTTTCTGGAATGTCATTCAGCAGGTGGCAACACTGAGACGAATGGTCTACTCATCCTTCAAATCGGGTATGTATTCATAGTCTATGGAACAATTTAAGTGCTCGTTCGATTAGTTCGCGCCAAAAACTTTATACAAAAGACCTCAAATGGCGCCAACTGGCGACTATAAATTATCATAAACACCCTCATTGAACTATTCATATATATTTCACATTATGTAATGAAAGGTGACTTCATGAATCATCTCTGAAGTCATGTTTCAACTTGACTTGATTTTTAATAATACAGGGAAAAAACACTGCTGATTTTCCTGCCGGATTTTATCACTTCTCATTACAAGGTCTCCCGCTGTAAATTTACGAACCGATGGCGTAGCTTCTACACATTCATGAGTGCTTGTAACAGTCTAAACTGAATAAATGATTTTGATTATGAATATTACCTGGTTCATCATCTGCTGCTGTGAGCCTTGCATCATTTGCTGTTGGTACCCGTACCCTTGCTGCATACCGCCGTATTGATTGCCGAACATTTGGCCACCCATGCCGCCCATTTGGCCGGCCCCCATTTGCCCCGCGTTAATTTGGCCTGCTCCCATTTGACTAGCTCCTATTTGTCCCGCGCCCATCTGTCCCGGCATTTGAACACCACCCATCTGACTCATTGGACCCATGCCGGCCATGCCTCCCATAGGATTCATTTGACTGCCAAAAAGTTGGTACTTTGTAGTCAGAGATGATTATATTTTGTGTTGGTAAATGACGTGAACTTAGCAAAGTATGAGGAAAGAAAATTTTTAATATGAATATATGAAATATGAATGAACCAACCAGATTATGTATTAGAAAAAAATGGATATTCAAATTATTTAAAAGATTTATGGTTTATAAAGTCTAATTAGGGTATTCCCGCCTGCCTGTTCCTGTATCTTATTTAAACTTTGTGGAAACAAGACGTGATTTTTTAATTAGATAGTTATTAAAAGGATATTTTTTTGCTACATTAAGATAATAATGGACTATAGGACTTCTAGAGTTATTTTCCATTTATGATATTGAATTAGATAATCGCAATTGTTCTTTACTATTAATATAAATTAAGTGGAATAACATGTTTTTGCTGCTGTAAACCATGAACCAGTCATAACACTATACAATCAGCATCAGCAGTGTTTTGTTCAAAGGAGATTGTACAAAAAATGTACAAAAAACCCAAATGTACAAAAAATATTGACATATACGGTAATTCTTGGCGTAAATTATACTTTCTTTTACAGTCATTAGATTTTAACGGACACCTTTGTATAATATATTCATTTTAAAAAGGACTTTTAATTTTACCGGTTTGGAAAACATACGAATTATTTTTAATGGCTATGGGTGTAGTAACATTCAGCCAAAGAATGATCGAAATTGTTTATATAACATCAAAATAAATATATTTTGTAAAGATCGATAATATAAAACATTTATTTCTATTACACTGTGGTATTAATATCCACAACTATATTATAATTTTCACTACATTCAAATGTGCTAAGACAATTATTATAGATGGTAGGCGACATCATAAAGTCTATTGCCATACATTTTTCGCCATACACCTCCATAAACACATTATAAGGTGTGATACGCTAAAAATCTAAAATATGGTTATAATATAAACATAAAATAAATAATGAAGCTACTGAAGATATGGCTGTATAACCTAAATCTCTTCTCATTGATTAACGAGAGTTTAAAAATTCTTACCTATTTGCAAATATAACCTCAAAATCATTCAGTGCATATGGTTTATAGAAGTTCTCAGGGGTGTCCGTCAATAATATTCGTTTTTACAATAATTTATATATCATTTCGAATCTAGGAAACAATTTTTCATGATTATTGGTCTTTAGGCCAAACATGTATGAAAGCTGAGCAATTTCCTTTGTAAAATATAATTATATTGAGACTCATGGTTACTAACTTTATAGTTATTAGCGGGATTGCTAATATACCTTGATCACGGAATAACAGTTCCAGTTACTTCGTGATAATGACGCTTGCAACAGTGCCGAAATATCGGTGACTCACAAAAAACAAGGTACATGATAACAATTCCGCTAATATTTATAATGGTGAAAAATACTTACGCAGGTTGCATCTGTCCCATCTGGTTAGGTTGCATTTGCCTCATCGCTTGTCGAGGGAATGGGCCTCTAGCGTGCGGTGTACCCGGGTAACCAGCTCCCTATGTTTTGAGAATATAATGTTATTTTTTAGTACTTTGTATCATGAATTATAATATAAAATAACACACACAACATTTGTGTTCTTCACCACATAAGTACGTAATCATTTGGTTGAAGATACTAAAAATCAATATTGCCAAAGAGACAATCATGATATGCGTAACTTATTTCAAGTTACATTTATGTAAGTTGCAAGTTCATATAAAAGTGCCTCACAGACAGACGCAGTCTGTCCTTATTGGTCGCTCGTGTTTGACCACTTGCTTACATTGCAAGCGAATACAACCACGGCCGCGGCTGTATGTGACACACTTAAATCCGATGGCATCCGAGCAAATTGTAAAGAGTTGAAGGATGTAAAAGTATGAATTATGTTAAGCTCAGTTGGGATTGGAATTACCTAGTGAATTATAATAATATGTAAATTAAATAAATACTCAAAGTTGCTTTACATTTGGCTACGCTACGCTCATGAAGAAATAAAACTAGTATTATTGTAATTACCTGCATTTGCGTCATTTGATTAAATGGTAAACGCTGTCGCAACATGTTGCTGAGCGCTTGTTTTGATTGGGTGTTGGCCGGTGGAGCTACTCCTCTAGGACTAACGCCAGCTAAAAATTAAAAACATTATTAATCGTGACATTAATATTATTCAGAAAGAGCTCAAATAAATTCTACAGAACTTAGCATTTAAAGAAGTTAGCAGTAGCGGCCTTAGGAGGTGACAAATCGGGCAAGCGATTCCAGAGGGTGGGTACCCACGAAGTTTGACAGCTCCGTAATCGTATCACATCGTGAAAGTTTCTTTGAAAACTAAGCAGCACCCCTACCGGACGTAAAAGCAAACTGACTCTTTCCATACAAAATTGACGTTGGCGATACGATTACGGATATGTCAAAGTTCGTGCTTGGACCTCAGGATCCATTCGAATAGCCGCTAATAAGGAAAAATGCATTTTGTAATTCAATTGTACAAGATTTAGCTGGTTTATTTTGCATTTCCCGTCAAATATTCATATACCAACTCACGTCATTTCTTAAAGGGGAGCTCGATGGCGTAAGTGGTTAGAGCTTCCGGCCTGTGATCGTGAAAGTTAAGCAAGTTTCACAATGGTCGGTTAATGGATGGGTAACTGAAAATATATTATCACGAGCTCCCCTGCGCTTCGTAAGGCATCTCCGTATTCCATCCAAAGGGAAGGCCTATGTCGTTGCAGTAGATCTGCGCCGGGGGAGAGAACCACTGCTGCTGCTGCATGAACTGCCGACATGCAGACTGTGAGGGATGTAATGTATGTGACACAGGGAGTGAGACTGACCGGGCGGGTTGTAGTAGTTCCGCGCCGGGGGAGGGAACCACTGCTGCTGCTGCATGAACTGCCGATATGCCGTCCGTCAGGGATGTAATGAATGTGACACAGGGCGTAAAAATGATCGGGCGGGTTGTAGTAGTTCTGCGCCGGGGGAGGGTACCACTGCTGCTGCTGCTGCATGAACTGCCTACATGCCGCCCGTGAGGGGTGTACTGAATGTGACACAGGGAATGAGACTAACCGGGCGGGTTGTACTAGTTCTGCGTCGGGGGAGGAGAGCACTGCTGCTGTTGCTGCATGAACTGCCGACATACCGTCCGTGATGACGTCATGAATGTGACACAAGGAGTGTGACTGACCAGGCGGGTTGTAGTAGTTCTGTGCGGGGGGAGGGGAGCACTGCTGCTGCTGCTGCATGAACTGCCGACATGCCTTCCGTGTTGACGTCATGAATGTGACACAGGGATGAGACTGACTAAGGAGGCTAATGGCGAACAATGGGCGTCTGTCGGCTGATATGACGAGTGAGACTGACCGGGCGGGTTGTAGTAGTTCTGCCCCGGGGGAGGGAACCACTGCTGCTGCTGCTGCATGAACTGTGGTTGCTGCGCGGGCGCCGCCGACATGCCGTTCGCACTGCCGTTGCTACCCGGCCCGCTGGTGCTACTTGTCTAAGGGATGATATATTTAATTGATGATTAAAACTTAATGGCAGCTGTGAAGATAGCGAAGAGAGCATCCCCACTAAAGGCCTGTAGAAACCATGTTGTTGCAAACCTGTAGAAACCATGTAGAATGAAGGTTATCTGTAATGCCAGGTGGCAACACTGAGACAAAACGTTCCCTCATCCGTCAAATCACGTATGTCGTCATAGTCTATGGATCAATTTTAACGCTCGTTCGATTAATACCCGCCAAAAACTTCATACAAAAGACTTCTTGTCACAGTAGCGCCAACTGGTGCAACCCTCATTACAGCATAAGCGTGTCACACGCCCTCAAACGTCTGGATACAGGTTTGCACTTAATTTGTCATCTAACCGTGACGCCACATTGACGTGGACATACAAATGCGGCATACCCTCCCCGCACGCCATCAACTTTTGCAATTACCAAACAAATATTGAGTAATGCGGACTTTATAAAACTCTAACATGCGGAATCTATATAGTGGGGGTGTAAGGAAAGTTAGCGCAATTTCTAAATGGAACATAGGATGATATAGGGCGCGCCGTGGATTGCACTCAACTGATGACGGCACTTCACTTGGCAAGCACGAATATGTTTGCTATTTGTAGACTTGACACGAGTCTGTCCTTTTTATTCCCTACAAAGTATTATAAGGACAGACTGTTGTCAAGTTTAGAAATACGAATAGCCAAATAAAGTGCCGGCTTGAAAACTGCGCATATTTGTGCGGCTCATATTAAAAAGGAATCGGAAGCGAAACTAATTTAGATGATTCATAAGATTAGTTAACTTCGACTATAAGCCTCTGCAAATCTTCCCATGGGAACATGACATCCACACACTTTAAGTTGCTCTTGAATGTATACACATCCCTTTTTTTTTTATTACGCAGGTAAAAAATGCTATTTACAGACGACGGCGCCTTTAAGAGGCACACCGCCGAACGGACCTCACACCTGGCTTCCGCAAGTCTTACGGGCGCCCCAGTGGCTGTCCACCGAGGACCCCGCAACTCATGTATACACATCCCTGGAAAAAAACTTATTATTTTCTGAACAATCATATTTGACGTGACACATTTGCTACCTCTCTGTGACGTAATGTTGATGTAACATAATAATGTTACATCAACACTCCTAATAAGGAGTGTTGCCCATAAAATAAAAGAGTTCCAAAATACACTCCCGGACACCTAAATCGAGCCACCTTGATTTTTTTGGTTTGGAGTACTGTAACTTATAAAAGATGTATGTAAAAGAAGTAAAATGTTTTGATGCAGTTTTGGAGCTGGTATACTCATCATTCATTTAGAGTGCCACTGTTCTAAATTTGAACTACAGTTTATTAAAAAAGTCGAGTTACGTTGAAACAAGTCCATATTTGCTTTTTTCAAGGAAAAAAATCTAATCGATTTTTAAATAAAGACATGTTTTACATGAAAAGAAATGTTTATTTAGTAACTTGTTTTGCCTCCCCGTGCATTTATGACAGCTCTCATACGGTTTGGCATAGAATTATTTAATGTCGTTATGAAATGTTGAGGAATGTCCTCCCATTCTTCCAAAATTACATTTTTGAGCTCCTGCATTGTTTGCGGGGCAGGATGATGAGCTCGAACACGCCTCTTCAGCTCATCCCATAGATGCTCTATAGAATTCATATCAGGACTTCGCGCTGGCCATTTCATAACAGTGATACCAATGTCATTTAAGTACTCCCTGACGATTCCCGCAGTATGGGCCCTTGCATTATCATGCATTAAAACGAAATCTTGGCCTTACCTCTAGCTCAGTTTTGCCTTCCATAGAGATTCCTCCCCAGACTGTCCATGATCCTCCACCATAACTCACTTTCTCGTCAATACAGCATTGCGCGAAACACTCGTTCTGTCTTCGGTACACCTTACTCCTTCCGTCATTACCGTATAGCATTATCTTGGACTCATCTGTGAAGAGAACCTGGCTCCATTGATGTCGAGTCCAATTTAGATGGTTGCGCGCAAACTCTAAGCGGGCTATTCGGTGTGCTCGTGTCAATTTGGGTCCATTGGCTGGGTTATGGGGCTTTAAACCATGTTCATCGAGACGCTTTCTAACGGTCCAAGTACTTACAGCCACTCCGTGACAGTCCCTGAGCTGTTCTTGTTCTGAACAGAGTTAAGGTATCGATTTCGTAAGCTAGTAGTGACAATGTATTGATCATGTCTCGCCGTTGTCACTCGGTAACGAGGTCCTCCTGTTCGCCTAACGAAGCCGCCAGTCTCCAGATATCGGTGGTACACTCTTTGAACAGCGGAACGACTTATGTGAAGTTGTGAACTCACATCTCGCTGACTTAGCCCAGATTGAAGAAGTGCTACAGTTGCGCGGCTACTTCAGGTGAAGTATCCATAATTTTATAGCCAAAAACGGTTCAAATTATAGAAAAATAACTAAACTAAACTTTGGTTTACAACAATTGCGAAAATTCAAACCAAATCGACATTAAATTACTTCAAAAGCAACTTTCAACAGTCATTATTTTTTTCAAATCAGTGACCAAGCTCGGCTTTTGTTCTTTATTTTAAATTCTAAAATTCAAATTTGGAATAGTACATACGGGAAAGACGATGAAATATGCCAGCATTAAAAATGCATAAAAACTTTTTTGTTATATTGTATATTTTTTGTGTATTGGGCTTTTAGGACCGGGAATGTAAGGTGGCTCGATTCAAGAGTCCGGGAGTGTAGTTTTATCTATTGCATGGAGAACACAAGTGAAGTTTCAAAGAACTTCTAGTCCAGTCAATGAAGGCTTAACTTTGCCATTTTGAGTTGATCACCTGCAACCAACGCGAAAATTTCCGCAAGGGTTTGTAGATTAATATACTAAAATTGCAGGGTGCTGCATGGACGGCAAAGGGTGAAAAAAAAATGCGAAATGGTGCAAAAACGAGTTTTTCGTCAATATCTCGCGACTGGCTGGAAAAATAGAAAAAGTTCCTAGTACAAAGTTGTAGAAAATTTAATATCCTACAAAAAAGGTATCAACATATTTTCGCGTATCTCCCATAGTTTTTGCACAAAATGCAATTAAAGGTGCAAAATAAAAAAAGAAAATATATTGTTAATGGTTTTTTTTCCATTTTTAAACGATCCTACGGGTCAAATTCAACAATAACCACTTACTGAAATATTTAAGGATGAGTTTTCGGCAGTCCACTGAAATGAAAATTGTCTACCGAAATGGTAAAAAAAATGACCACCGAAATGACACATCCAAGAACATCGCCTTTGTAGTAGAAGGGTTCCCTATTTTGAATTAAAATAAATTTCCTTACTCTTTGTAAATATTTTTGTTCATTAATTATTAATGAAGAATTAATTAATTGTTACTCCTATTAGTTATTATTACTAATTATAATTATTATTTACATTATATGTTCATTTTCAAAATAACGAACAAAGCGCGTTTAGAAAGCGAGAAGTTTATTAGTTAGTAAATCATCCCCTTAGTGCCAAAACCGATTGTCTGCACTTTTCCGCTACTGAACTTTTATAATACCAATCGACCCGTCTCATTAAGCTGCATCTACAGGTAAAACCCATTATGCTCTTCGACGCATATTTCCTGAAATAGCTAATGAATAAACAGAATAACTGCAAATTATTTCCAAAATTCTTGATTAAAAACCGAATAAACCCATTCAAAACACTTAAGTTTTGTAAATGTATTACCGCTGAAACCAAGTTTCGGATTTAAACTCATTTTTCATGTAGACACTTAGAGTAAATATCCTGTGAGTATCCTGTAATTGGCTTTGACTGTTTGAATTTTACCAGATATTTTAATTTTACTAGATGAAGTAAAAATTAACAAATCTAAGCCGTTTTTTTCAAAAACAAATATATATTATATTTGCGTCATATTTGAGGCAACTGAATAACATACCGAATTTCAATTTGTTTTTACTTAATAACTTATATTCAACGCTTTATAAATTACTTTAGCTAAAATCGATTATCGGTGCTTACTCTTTTCTTCCACTATAATTTATTAGCGTTAGACATCATTACTTTAAAATTTATGCTTCAGCTAAAATCAGCTATCCATGTTTAACCGTCTCTTCCGTACACAGATAGCGCGCGGATTGCTCACTTTTATTCATTCATTGTTGAATCGCGCGCTGGGCAACAATGTTATTTTTTTGTTCAATTAATCACTAATAAACATTACTGGTTGAACTATTCTGCGTATTTGGTTTAAAATGTTAACTACTAAGAAAGATAACGAAAAATAAACTTGATAAAAAAATTGATTTCAATTTAACTTTAACATTATTTTTATTTCATCGTATTCAGCGCAAAATTTGCATTTAAAATATATATTTGCAATATGCAATACATATTCATTATCATATAATAAAATTGAAATATATTTTTTGTCAAGATTATTATATGAAAAAGGAAATAAAAAAATGCCCGAAACATATTAATTAAATCCCAATGAAGCATGTAGAGGTGAACTCCCCAAGCAAAAAAAAAATACACGGCATTGCTCAGAGCGGCAGTGAAATGTGCTGATTTATGATTTTGACTTTTTTCTTAGTTAAGTAGGTACTTCTCAACCTTGTCAAAAAGAATTATTGAGTAATGGGCTCTATTCCATAAAATAAAAAAATACGAAGTTCCACTTTGTACTAGGAACTTTTTCTATTTTTCCAGCCAGTCGCGAGATATTGACGAAAAACTCGTTTTTGCACCATTTCGCATTTTTTTTTCACCCTTTGCCGTCCATGCAGCACCCTGCAATTTTAGTATATTAATCTACGAACCCTTGCGGAAATTTTCGCGTTGGTTGCAGGTGATTAACTCAAAATGGCAAAGTTAAGCCTTCATTGACTGGACTATTCGATCCCTTTCAACACAGTTTCCGTACGCCTAACGGATGCATTTGTACCTAGGACTACAAAAGAAAACTTGTCTGTTTTGTCATTTTTACGTGAATTATGTGGGCAAGTGGGCCATGAATCAATTTGTTCGATACATAGTACATAAAGATAATAAATAAAATATAAGAATCTAACATTACTAAAAAAATAAAAACATACGGGAGTAGTGACTTTTTGCTTCTTAATCTTTTTGCATGGCGCGGATCTAGAACGACCCTTCCCTGCTCCCGTTGGACTGGAATCTAAACTGCCATTATCCTGTGAAAATATTGTTTCATATATTTCATATATATGCATTAAATGTATTTACATTAAATTAAGCATATTATAGTGTCGACTCTGGCATGATCTTCTAAACTTAAATCTAAATTTAACATCAGTTTCTCCTTTACATCAGGATGTACCTCTGCACAGGTATAGAGAATGACAAGGATACACTGTTGTTAAATTTAATTTCAGGTTTAGAGAATTATGCTAGAATCGACATCAATGGTACATTGAAAAAGGTTTATATTTTAAGTGATTAATTTGTTCAGTCGTAGTTCTTCAATAAAAAAAACATATTATTCACCTGTTTGTTGTCATTTGTCTCGAGATCTTCAGGCGGTAAGGGCAGAGGTTCCAAGTAGTAGCTCAAAGGTTTCACGAGGCTGTGTGTATGATACTTCAACAACCTGTAGAATGATTGAAGTTTAGTTGAATTTGTAAAGACAGAGAAATAATTTGCTTTAAACCATAACCATAGCGAATGAACCTCTCCTTCTCGAATTATTTGTCAAAAACAGAGAATCCTGTCGGCATAGTATTCTACACATAGGGAGAAAGGACTATTTTCTTGTTAGCTGTCGGATTAATTCGAACGCATAGTACTGGCCATGCGATCGCTTCCTCTTCTACACTTTCCTGCCCGTTGGTAGCACGATATCACTTTCTCTTTTTCTACAGAGTAATCAAACTTCATGCAGGTATTGCTAGAGGAGCTCGATGGTGCAAGTGGTTAGTGCGTAGGGCTGTGATCGTTAAAGTTAAGCAACTTTCGCAATGTCCGACACATTGGATTGGATGACCAAAATTTTGCTATCTCGAGCTCCTGTGTGCTTCGGGAGGTACGTTAAGCCGTTGGTGCAGCTGCAGTCATTAGCACCCACCAACACGTACTGGGCCGCGTGGTGGAACAAGACCCAATCTCTCCGTGGCTTAGTGATTTATACGCCGCTTTTTATGGTGTCGCCGACTCGAGAGGGTTCCCGGATTCCCGGGTTCGAATCCCGGTGGGGGCAGATGTTTGTGTGATGACGAGCGTTTGTATTCCAGTCATGGATGTTTAATATGTATATGTACAATATATGTATTCTATCCGTTATCCTGATATCCCATAACACAAACCTTACAGTGCTTTCTTTGGGGCTAGGCTAATTGGTGTGAGTATTGGAAATATTTATTTATTTATCTCCCTATTCATAAGGACGGATGATGATGATTGCTTAATCCATTCCCTATCCGACGCTATAATGTTTTTACTACCGCATTTATACCTGTGTGCATTTTCGTAAGTGAGCGGTTTCCTCTCAATCTTGGTGGCGGCGAACCACGCCCACGATAAGGGGGCGGGGTTCCGTCCGCCTTCAACTAGTTCCCACGATGACACTCGCTGCTTGTCCGTCAGCCGAAGACCCTGGGATGACAAGAGTTACTTGTTTGATAAACAGTTTTTATTATATACGGCCTTTAAAAGTGTTTGAAAGATACCCGTTCAAAGTTTAGATGGAGATAAAAACTCACGGTGTTACTACAAAAAAGTGGGACTCTCGTTTAAACCTTGTTTAGGGAAATGATGTATGTATTTTTTTCTTAATATTGTTTTGAACGCATGGCTAAGTTTTTTGTGGTAATAGGGTCATTGTTTCTCATTTTTTATGCGGGTCAAACAAATTACCGCAATCCAGTCAATAGTTAGTGTGATTGGAGTTAAATTGCTAATATAGGTAGTTAGTTGCAGAAATATACAAAGTTCTTTAACCGCAAATTTTGAATTACACAATATTTATATAAAACGTACCTGCTTCTTGTCGCTATCAAAGCCTGTGATTTTATTTCCCTTTTGATCGACTAAACAACCAAGGGGTTCGCAAGCAATGACCTGAAAATTTAAATCCACATTAGAAAACACTAAATCAGTGTTCAATTCATAGTTAAGACCCACTTGCAGCAAATTTGCTAAATATCAATTTAATTAAAACAAGATTTAGCCCATACACAAATGTCAAACTGACATTGACGTTTTGACATTATTCTATGGGATAAAACTAGAATTAGTTGAATTGAGATTTAGCAAATTTGTTGCACTGGGTCTTAGACTTGAGAACCTTATTAAATAGCCTTAAAAAATGTATTGGAATCTCGTCAAAGTGTGCGCGATTTACCTCTATAATAGTGTTCTTGGACAACGGCAACAGCTGTCGTACGGCCTGCACCGAGGGCCCGTGTCTATCGCCCAGCTCCTTCTTCAACTTCTTCATTAGATTCTGGTAGTGTTTACGGTTGTTATCGTCGCCGCCGTCGGCCAACGTGGAGTGGATCAGTGTGGCGAGCATGTCGATCAATGTTGTGAACAGGTTGCTGTGACACAAACTATATTAACGTATTGTAGATACACCGCTCTGGCAGCCATAGTACTACGCAACAAGTCTTTATGTATGTGGGAATGCGCGGTGGATAGTACGAGTTGCGAGATAATGGCTCGAATTTGTTTAGGCTGCCATAAAAGTAATGTTTTAAATAAATAAATAAACAGAGTTAAAAAGATAAAGACTGTTGTTATTAGCTTGACGGGTATTCTGTCGAATCGAATTAGAAGTCTGACGTTCCTAAAAAAAGTTCTCATAACAAAAGTGCTGAGGCAGCTTTACAAGTATATATTTTAATTTTATTTCTTTACGGCCATGAAGTCAACCATACAGCCACATTCAGCCAAGTTTCACATAAAGATAAACGTAGGTTCTATACTCTTTGGACATACATTAATAAGAATAAGTCTAGAGTTTTACATAGATTAGCTTTGTTTACGGTTGAATTGAATGAATGGCTCAGCTATCTCCTTTTTGGCAATAAAGAACGAAAGAGACAAAACTAAACAGTGTGAAGTTCGTTTAATCGAGTCATCGAGCATACGATATCGTGAAGACGGGGAGTGAAATTCTATACTCGTACTTCGACACAATTCGAAAACGTATAGTTTGATCGAATCGACAAAGACGATCGTTCGTTTTGTATTAAAAAAACTCATACTAAGGGGACTGTACTGACTCGAATTAAAACGATTTGCATGGTAGACCGTCCACTTCATCAAATATTAAACCAGTTTCAGGATAGAAATAGAAAGTTATGGTATAACCGAAAATTGAGACCGCTCCTTTTATGGTTGAGTGAAAGTTCCTTAATTGTCCCATAAAAAAGAGTTAAAAGAGTTTTTGTTACGTGCAGTGCATTTTAATGGTTTGTAATTAAGTTATTTATGAAATTGAGTACTTCATTTACAATGTGCTTTTAATATAAATGAATATGAATGATTGTTTAAAACAAATATTAGTATCTCGTTTTAGTCATACTATCCACCAGCGCAATAAGTTAAGACTTGGTGTGTAGGTTGCCATATATTATGAGAAGCGATATGACTCTCATGATAAATGCGATTGTATTAAATAAACACAATAGCACAGTTTAACACACATCCAACCCAATAATACAAATGATTATGCAATTTGGTTCTATTTCATAATGAAATCACATGTATCAAACAAATAATGAGACAAACATTTGATTGACTACACTCGACCAATTTACATTTTGTAACAGATAAATGTGACTGTTTTTTTAGAATTGAAAGCTGATGAAGTAAGTCATTATATTTAGTCTTTATATCTGATTCATTTACTTTCAAGTTCTATATATTGCGAAAGTTCAGGCACTTAAGCATCACTAAGGAAATGTAAACATCTTAAAAAGCACTTTAATGAACACTTGTCCTATTCCTAGTTTTTCACCACGTATTCCCAATGTGAAAAACACACCACACCAAGCCAAAAGTCCATCACCAATTAAAAGAGTTGCAGCTTTCGCCACATCGCCGTATGTTGTCGAACACTACTAGCGAGACGTAAGACATAAACTAAAAAAAATGGCAGTGGCACTTAGGAGTACCAACAGAAAATCGTACTTCAGTGAAAAATGAAGTCTCAAAAAAATAAACTATACAGTGTCAAAGAAATACAAAAATTTTAAAATTATAAGCCTGTCGGCTTCAAACTCAAGACATCTTACACAGGAGCGTTTTTTCCTTAGACCAAGCCACTACTAATGACGTTGGGCAAAATTTAAATACACATACTTATATTCCTACATGTCGTCGGTGCCGAACACGCGATCAGGGTGTTGCGAGTTGATTTTTTTTTCCTATCTCAAAAGATGTCCAAAGCACCAAACAAGTTTTCACTTCTCAAATATTTCTCACATTTCTAGGAGTTCCCAATGTGTAACATACACCACACTTTGCCGAAAGTCCGTCACTAATGAAGGGAGCGGCACTACACACACCACACCACACATAACGGTAGCTGCAGGCACTTATCAAAGTTACTTATTATTATACGCGTCGACGACTTGCTGCGCGATCAGATGCGTGAGCAGTACCATCGATTCGGAGATCAGCTGGTATGATTGCCGTAAGGTATCATTAAAAAAAAAAACAAAATTTTTGATACTACAAATAAAGCTAGTTCTATTTCTCAATTTGCAAGTTAAGTTCACCGTGTATTCCCAATGTGTAACACATACCACACCATGCCGAAAGTTAACCACCAATGAAGAGAGCGGCAGCACAGTTGCAGGCACCTATTAAAGTTAATATATTATTATACGCATCGACGACTTGGTGCGCGACCAGTTGCGTGAGCAGCACCGTAGTCGGAGATCAGCTGGTATGATTGCCGTATGATGTCATTAAAAGAATAACATTTTTGATACTATAAATAATACTAGTCCTATTCCTCCATTTCTAAGTTGAGTTCACCGTGTATTCAATCACGGTCGATCACGCCATTACAGTTGGTTGGTTTTTTCCTATCTCAAAAAATGTCCAAAGCACCAAAAAAGTTTTCACTTCATAAATATTTCTCGCATTTCCAGGCATTCTCAATGTGTAACACACACCACACTATGCCGAAAGTCCTTCACCTATGAAGAGAGCTGCAACACAGCTGCAGGCACCTATCAAAGTTACCTATTATTGTACGCGTCGACGACTTGGTGCGCGACCAGTTGCGTGAGCAGCACCGCCCAATCGGAGATCAGCTGGTATGACCTCCGTATGGTGTCAAACATGCCGCCCGCTAGCGAGAAGCGCAGCTGCAGCGCTTCGGGCGCCGCATCGTCTTGCCATGTATCGCTGCAGGCGGAGCGCTCGTGATCCCGCGCGTGAGTTAAGTAATGCTGCAGCTGTGCGTGAATCGAACTGAGGAGGCTCTCTTGCTGTAAAGGACATAATAATTGTATGTTGTATTTATATTTTTGGATTTTAAGCATTTAACTGCTAGATGTTAAAATGTAACGAAAATTTTACTACAAAAAATCCACGCGGACCAGGCAGCAGACGGGACTCGAACCAGCACCTTTCGCTATCCGTGCGAATGCACTGACCATTATGCTACCGCGGCCCTGACGGCCGTGTCGAATTTTTTCTAGACTTTGGCTGCAATGCAGAGCCATCTCCTTGCATTGTAGGTAACCCACATTATCAAATGAATATCTTTACAAGTATTAAACATTTGAAAGAAGAAATAGGAATTATAGTTATATTTTGGATTTTTAAGCTGATATGTGTATGTTGTGTGTTAAAAACAAACAAATCATACAAACTCAAGCAAAGTAGAGTTCGCGTGCGTGTTGATAACTTTTATTATTATTATTGTATCCTTCTAGGCAAGGGCCTGCGGCGCCTGTGAAATCCTACGCGCTACCGAGGTTACTTCAGACACTTAATGACTAAAAATCATAACGCACCTGACGTACGGGTGGCAGTGTTGCCAGGTCCGATTTTAAAAATCGGGAGGCGTTATAGAAAACAGCAGTAGATGTATGGAAAGAGTAACTTTTTCCGGATAGCCCCCCCCCTCCCCCCCTATAATTAGTAAATCAATTCAAGATACAGGAAGTAACGAATGTGTTTCTACGTAATGCAACTCAACATGCAATTTGAAAAAGAAAATGGTATCCTAAGAAAAACGGTAGATTCAAGTAGAAAAAAAAATTTAACAGGAGAAATTTCAGAAAAACAGAAGATCTCCTGTAAAGTCGAGAGGCCTGGCAAGACTGGCGGGTGGTATATAAATCCATACAAAAAATATCAATCGCGCGCGCCCAGGCGGAGCTGGTTGGGTGCCGGTTGGGTCGGGTGCACTATGACCTTAAAAGACACCCCTGGGGAAACGACTTTGGTCATAAGGGTTTTACAGGCTCCGCTGACACAATAACCTTATTTTCTCAGCATCTTCATAGGTTACAGAAATAAAAATTGTACAGAGACAAAAAGGTAATTGTATCTATCTTTGGGACACACTAATTTCGTTTAATGTCGTCTTTAAGATCTTCTCTGTCATCATAAGACGTGGGTCAAAGCTGCATGGCTATGACACAAAACGTGGCCGATGGAAGAAATTGGAGAAGGCCTATGTACAAAAAGATGATGATGGTGTATAACATCTTAGAAATAAGTCTGTTAAAAGTGTTGATATAATTAAGCAGTGATGATTGATTATGCATTAAGTAGTATTTTGCTTGCATATAATTTAATATTAATGAAATATCAGTTATATCAGAAACATTTTTATTTTATCAATTATCATCATCTTAAGTGTCGAGGCAGTCGTACATTTATATATAAATTTAACATTGCATAAATAATGCATGAAAATAACTAGCAGAATATCGCTTGCTCGTTGCTACATTTTGAAATAGTTGCAAGCGGTCGATAATCATTATCTCTGATATAAATCTATTATTAATCCTATTTCAAGTATCCCCCCTACTTCTAGAAATTATCGGCAGAACGTTTTTATTTGTCGAGCAAGTAGTAGCTTCAATTCACTATCAGAACAGGTAAATTTAGATCTTTTTAACACTAGCGAAGCGTCTATTAGACGTATCATTGCTCGTTTGTTTTTTGGAGATTATAATTTAACAAGTGCGTAATTTGTTATTCTGTTATTTATCATAAAAGCCTCATTTATAAAACTATATTCAATAGTTTTGTTTACATTGGTCAGTGCCAATAGTTTCTTTATGACTTTAAGTTATGTCTATATGTGAGGACATGTAATTGGATCTTTGTCGCTATTATTCCTTTCTAGTTTATAAAGATAAGCTGTTGGTCTACCATGTGACCAAAATAAAATAAATAAATAACCTTCTGGTCGTCTTGATGCCTCAGACAGGTCAGCACGAGTGATAACAGCGGCTCGTTGGCCAGCCGCACGTTGCCGCCGCCGCCGCAGTTGCAAGCGGTCGCGCATCCGCTAGAACCGACGCCTCGCTTACCGCTGCCACCGCCGCTGGAGGACCTGAGAAAATTACAATACTTATAACATCATATTTATTAATCACAAGCGGCCGCCCACGACTTCGTGCGCATGGAGTTAGAAATAAAGGTTCACTGCTCGTTCCCCGTAGGTCATAGCGTGATACTATGTAGCCTATATGTTGACCCGACTTCTTAATAATATTCGTGCAAAATTTGAAGTAAATCCATGCAGTACTTTTTAAGTTTATCCCGGACATACAAGCAGACATAAATTCTAAAACCTATATTTTTGGCTTCGGTATCGACTGTAGATCACACCCCAAGTATTCTTAAAAAAAAATCAATGTACAGTTTTGACTTTCCCACCATTTTATTATATGTATAGATGGTTATAACGTAACAACCGCTTACCCTTTGTAACTCGGACTCTGGTGACTTTTGCAGTCACGATGTGAGCCGCCGCTGTTCCCGCTGCCGCTTGAACAGTTGCCACTGCAACCCGCACCCCATCCACTCTCCAAGATCTTCGGTAAATAAATGTTATTTTTTTCTCATCCGGTGTATATCAACAAGTCACAAATTGCTTTAGATTAATAATCAAATTATGTTACTTATGAGAAAATAGTATCATAAGGGTTTTGCATAAATGGTTCATATCACTATCAAAAATGCAAATAACTGCTACATGCTGAATAAAACTCGCAAAAAAATCATCTAACAAGCTACCACAAAATATCAAAATTTATCAATCGATTTCGAAGGGTCAAAAATGATTTCAAAATCTATAGTTTGGTATAGACTGTAAAATTGTGTATCACGTAAATATGTTTGAAACTAAAACTGAAATACAATCACCTGTCCAGCTTGCTTGAGCACGCGGCCTTGCACGGCGGGCGGTAGTTTAGCAACCAGAGGGGCGACCAACCATACCGATTCTGACCACTTGCTCGTGCTTACTACGCTGCGGTCTGTGCCAGTTCTAGATAAGACAAAATAAATAGATGTGATCAATTCTATTTTTAAATTTGAATAGGTATAGCCGACGCGGCTATGAGGAATATGCACACAAATGCAGTCCAACATACTTTCGCATAAACGAAATTGTAATTACGATACACGCATAAAAAATGAAAACGCATTTTTGATCTCTAACATACACGCGCGCGACTTGACTCAGTCTAGTGAAATATCCGAGCTCAACTTAGTTTTGTTTTGAAGCTGGCCCAACAGCGGGGGAAAATCGACAGAGGGGATCGCTGTGAATGCTGATTCCCCTAGTAGCCGCGCCGGCCGCGTTGCTCTATGCCAGGACACCACAACCGAATTAATTACATAGAGAAAATGCGAAATTAATAAAAACCTAAACATTCTCTTTGATCGTAATATAATTTGTATAGACCATTATGGTGTTTTTCCTCTAGAAATAAGACGAACGGTGCGCGAGGAGTTAATACACTAATTGGGTTTCTTTATATCTATGCTACGCTGATAAGCCTGAAAAGCGGTCTCTCAATCAGAGCAATGTTTGAGAAAATCGCCTTTTTGTAAATTGTTATAGAAAGGTGATTTTCTCAAACCTTATTTTGATTTAGATACCGCTTTTCGGCCTATTAGGGTAGTGTAAGTCCTTGCCTGTCTTTATCAGGTGGTGGCGGCGCAGGTTGTTGAAAAACGTTGATAACGGCTCGAGCCACGGTGTCCAACCAAGCACTCAGTTCCGAAGAACCGCTAGGGAATTGCTTGAACATCAGCTGCAAGTCCAGCCACGACATACGCAGCGACCACTGCTCTAGGTTCTGTAAGTGGATTTTAAAGGTTAACATAGATAGACTGGAATGGACAACTTAAAAAATTTCGGGACGCACCTTAAAATTTTGATAATTACGATTTACAACGCAAATATAATAGGGATGATGACTAATTTTTTTTTCTTCGTTTATCAGGTAGATTATCAAAAAGTGTGGGACACGTATTTTTTCTTTTTTCAGATAATATAAACATTGCAGAGATATATTGATTTGAAAAGTCGCATGACGTCACGTTTGAGTACACTTATAAGAGAAAATTCACTCAAAAGTGACGTCACGAGCCCCTACTCCCAAATTTTGACGCGCTATAACTTTGCCATATTTTGGTTCATTGCCGAAAAAAAAATACCTGTCCATTATTTTTTGATCATCTAACTGACGGACTAAATAGAAGTTCGTTTACTGTACCCCGTCATCATCCCTATTAGCGTAATAGTTATAATTTTCACAGTATAGAAAAAACATTCTTGTTTATTTTATTTATTAATTTTTAATTAGTATTTTATAACATAAAGTTTTACACAATTCAATTAAGTAACACTTATTACTTTTCCTTACTTATCATTCTTGTAGTGATTACAGTTACTGGTGTTCGTAAAACACCTTTACGTTGTCACTGGGCTTAATAACGGCATCAGCCTAGAATTTCAAGCCCGAATGAAAAAAAAAATGAGAGAAATCGACACAATTAAAAAGGAATTCAATACTTGTACAGGTAAAGAAGATTCCAATGTAGTACCTCTAAAAGTCGAGTGATCATAGTCTTCTGATCGAGATCGGGATGTGTGTGACTCGCAGAATCAGGATAACATATCATGTGCAGCAATCTAGGCAATACACACAAATAATACTGATAATTAAACATAATAAACGTATCATTTATGTATTGGAGTCATATATTAAAACATTTAGGGGAGAGAAGCTCGATGGCCCAATGGTTAGCGCGTTCAGCTGCGATCGTTGAAGTTAAACAATTTCGCAGTGGCCGGTCATTAGATAGGTGACCAAAAAATTACTATCTCGAACTCCTCCGTGCTTCGAAAGGCACATTAAGCCGTTGGTCCCGGCTGCATCTGCAATCATTAGTACCCACCAATCCAAACTAGGCCCGCATGGTGGGTCATGGCCTAATCTCCCTATTCCATCCTTAGGTAAGGCTTGTGTCCCAGCAGTGGGGATATTAATAGGCTGATGATGATGATTAAACATTTCTGTTACCTTTGTGCTTGTCTGGGTGTCAGCATGGAATCGAGTAGCATATCAGGTTGGTAAAGTTCATCGGGATTCTGTAGACACTTCTGCAGTACCCATTCTTCTGAGCAGATCTCGGCGAGCACGCGACGTGCAAGCGACGACAGCGATTGAGAAGAGTCTAACAGGGTTGACCCTACTCCGCCACATCCTCTGTCATTGTAAGTACATTATAATGATATGTAGTAATTTTTTTTGCTGTGTTTAGAAGGCAGGACAATAGCAAGTATGTTATAATAATGATTATTCATACAAAAATGTATTTAAAAGATATTTAATAGTTTTTATTTTATAACAAAAGAATTGGAAGTGTATTATTCCTTACTTGCTATAGACTAGTCAAATGGTCTTTGACCGTGGGTTAAGGGTTTTATTTTACAGTAACGCCCAATAACCTTTCTTCGGATTAACGAAAACACAGTTAATGCTTTTAACGACATGATGATGGTAATATTTAAAGACTAATAGGGAAAATGCATGATTAATTTTATTATTTTCATTTCATAGTTCACATTCCCATAATTTAGTATAAAAATAATCAAGGTTGAAAAAATAGTGTGAATGTGCATAAAAAAAAGTTAAAATATTTGTTTCTTAGGCTGTGTCCCCAGTAAGCAAACTGTCAGCGGCCGACTGAGTGAGCCGCAAATTTGCAGCGAACTGAAATTTGAGTTAGCTGCAGACTCAAATCAATTTTCGTGCGTCGCAAGCAAACTGTTAAGGCTGTGTCCCCAGTAAGCAAACTGTCAGCGGCCGACTGAGTTAGCGGCGTATCGGTTTAGTACGCCCTTCCATATATTTCAAATGGAGTGTTCACAGTTTGCTAGTTTTGCGCTCACTGTACGCAGTTTGCAGCGTTACGCGCGCCGACTATCTTAGTGAGCGGCCGACTCCCACCAAAACCGGTTCCAGTCGGCGGCGGCGATTGGTTGTTCGCCGGGCGTAGTGACTCAAACTGATTATTCGGATAGTTGGAAAAAAGCTATCATCGTGTTAGGACGTGTTTTTTTGCATCGCACCTAACTAATCTCAACGCACACACACATCACTGAAAATCCAAGATGTCCTTTGATACGGAAAGGTTCATTAGTGAAATACAGAATAGACCATGCATATGGAACATGTCGAGTGAAGAATACAGCAACAGAGTATTAAAGCAGAGCAATTGGAATGAAGTCGCTGAAATTATATACGATGATTGGCAAAACTTAGAAGAAAACACTAAACAAAAAAGAAGTAAGTTCCATTCTAATGAATTTATTATTTATTCAACAATATACTTGTATCACTCACTACATAAAACAAAGTATCATAATTTACATAGTATTTACGGCTTTACACACTCCGTTACACTATTTCTTCCTGTAGCTACAACTTACAAATATTTCTCTTGCCAGGATAGCTTTCCTTCGTTAAGAAAATAGTTTTTAAAGTTTTCTCTTGTTGTTTTTCCAGAATTTGATACAGTAATAATTTGGCTCCTTGAACTTGTAAGAGTTGTTGAGGTACGTCGCGAAATATGTGCATATTGTGCTTGTTCTCTTGCTATGACAAAATTATGTAAAATACAAACGGCTTTTACGATAGCGATGGTTGTATTCACATTAGTAGCGATCGGTGTATGCAGAACTCTCCATTTGCTTGTTAGGATGCCGAATGCACATTCCACGCATCTCCTAGCTCGACTATGACGATAATTGTAAATTCGCTCTTCCTTATTTAAACTTTTATTAGGAAAAGGCCTCAAGATATGCTTTTGTAATCCAAATGCCTCATCTCCAAGAAACACTAAAGGTTGGGGCAATCCATTTGAATTAGGCAATTTAGTTGAGTTAGGAATCTTCAGAGACCCACACGCCAATTTTTTGCCAAAACCACTTTCTTTAAATATATTACTGTCAGCATTTCGTCCGCAAGCACCTACATCAATAGCTATAAAAGAACAGTTTGCATCTGCTACGGCTAACAGAACAATTGAGAAGAACTTCTTATAATTAAAATAGTTAGACCCACTTTTTGGTGGTTTTCTAATACGGATATGCTTGCCATCGATAGATCCTATACAATTAGGATAGTTGGTTTTTTTATAATATCGTTTTGCTATTTCTAGCCACAATTCTTCAGAAGGTTCCGGCATTTCCTGTGGCTGTAAAATATCCCATATAATGCATGCAGTTTCACTTATTATTTTCGATACCGTCGATTTTCCAACAAGAAACTCTTGTGCAATTTTTCTGTAACTTAGTCCACTTGACAAGAATCTGGAAAGAATATTGAACTACCGATTATTTCTGTTTCAGTAAAAGACCTACAAAAAAAATGGAAGGGTTTGCGCGACTATCACACCAGAGAAAAAAATAAGGATTCCTCAGTCAAAAGCGGAAGTGGCGCAACAAAAAAACGCAAGACACCATACTTGGACATGTTACAGTTTTTAAATGTTTCTAGAGCTAGCAACCAGACATCTGGCAATATTAGCGCCGAGACGTCTAGCGACAGTAGCGCTATTTTAGATGAAAATGATTCTACTGACTCGGTAGTTAATGTCAGTAGACCAAAAAAGATGACTGTGTTTCAAGAAGCCCTAATTAACTCGATGGAAAAAAAAAGAGAAAACGATCCAGATATGAACTTTCTACTAAATATTTTACCGGAAATGAAGACAATGTCCCCAACACAGAATTTTGAATTTCGGTTCGAAGTGATGAAAATTATTAAAAATATAAAATATAGTGTACATAATAATTATGACGGTGGTATGATGCAAACTGGATGGACGAATGCCTACCAGTACCCACATCAGTATGGCTATGCGAGTGGAAGCAGCAGTACACCAAATGTGCAAAACTACCCTCGAAACAGTCCATCACATAGCTCTACAGGTTCTTCAGCGGAAATAGAAGACATAGAAGCAATATTGCGAGGCGATTCAAACCACACTGAAGATGAGGAATGACAGGTTACCAACTTAATGTTACCATATATGTTCCTAATTCAATTTAATAATACAGTAACTTTGAAAAGTGATTGTTAAATTAAAAACTATAAATGCGAAAGTGACTTTGTATTACAATAAAAATAACATATTTTTTTAAAATCCTAAAGCGTTAATTATTTACTTACCTCAAAGTTATAGTAAGCCGTTCTTCGGGACATAATGTATCTCTTGTGATATTATTTTTAGCTATGTACTGGGTTATAGATTTCAACAATTCATCAAATGTATGAGAAGTCATATTGAAATAGTCGTAAAATTTTTCTGGATGTTTCCTTAGTTCTGGATAAAGAGTGTGAAATTGTCCAATGCTCAACCTTTTCTTGTATAATGGGTGAACCCAGTGCTTCCTTTTATCCTCTTTCAGCGCTTCTAAGATACCAATTACTTCAAAAATATCCATCGTGACCAACACAACCACTCCCTTCGTACAACAAAAGTAAAGTGATAATTAAGTCGGTCGGCTAAATAAGCGGCTAACTCTTAGGCTGTGTCCCCAGTAAGCAAACTGTCAGCGGCCGACTGAGTGAGCCGCAAATTTGCAGCGAACTGAAATTTGAGTTAGCCGCTTATTTAGCCGACCGACTTAATTATCACTTTACTTTTGTTGTACGAAGGGAGTGGTTGTGTTGGTCACGATGGATATTTTTGAAGTAATTGGTATCTTAGAAGCGCTGAAAGAGGATAAAAGGAAGCACTGGGTTCACCCATTATACAAGAAAAGGTTGAGCATTGGACAATTTCACACTCTTTATCCAGAACTAAGGAAACATCCAGAAAAATTTTACGACTATTTCAATATGACTTCTCATACATTTGATGAATTGTTGAAATCTATAACCCAGTACATAGCTAAAAATAATATCACAAGAGATACATTATGTCCCGAAGAACGGCTTACTATAACTTTGAGGTAAGTAAATAATTAACGCTTTAGGATTTTAAAAAAATATGTTATTTTTATTGTAATACAAAGTCACTTTCGCATTTATAGTTTTTAATTTAACAATCACTTTTCAAAGTTACTGTATTATTAAATTGAATTAGGAACATATATGGTAACATTAAGTTGGTAACCTGTCATTCCTCATCTTCAGTGTGGTTTGAATCGCCTCGCAATATTGCTTCTATGTCTTCTATTTCCGCTGAAGAACCTGTAGAGCTATGTGATGGACTGTTTCGAGGGTAGTTTTGCACATTTGGTGTACTGCTGCTTCCACTCGCATAGCCATACTGATGTGGGTACTGGTAGGCATTCGTCCATCCAGTTTGCATCATACCACCGTCATAATTATTATGTACACTATATTTTATATTTTTAATAATTTTCATCACTTCGAACCGAAATTCAAAATTCTGTGTTGGGGACATTGTCTTCATTTCCGGTAAAATATTTAGTAGAAAGTTCATATCTGGATCGTTTTCTCTTTTTTTTTCCATCGAGTTAATTAGGGCTTCTTGAAACACAGTCATCTTTTTTGGTCTACTGACATTAACTACCGAGTCAGTAGAATCATTTTCATCTAAAATAGCGCTACTGTCGCTAGACGTCTCGGCGCTAATATTGCCAGATGTCTGGTTGCTAGCTCTAGAAACATTTAAAAACTGTAACATGTCCAAGTATGGTGTCTTGCGTTTTTTTGTTGCGCCACTTCCGCTTTTGACTGAGGAATCCTTATTTTTTTCTCTGGTGTGATAGTCGCGCAAACCCTTCCATTTTTTTTGTAGGTCTTTTACTGAAACAGAAATAATCGGTAGTTCAATATTCTTTCCAGATTCTTGTCAAGTGGACTAAGTTACAGAAAAATTGCACAAGAGTTTCTTGTTGGAAAATCGACGGTATCGAAAATAATAAGTGAAACTGCATGCATTATATGGGATATTTTACAGCCACAGGAAATGCCGGAACCTTCTGAAGAATTGTGGCTAGAAATAGCAAAACGATATTATAAAAAAACCAACTATCCTAATTGTATAGGATCTATCGATGGCAAGCATATCCGTATTAGAAAACCACCAAAAAGTGGGTCTAACTATTTTAATTATAAGAAGTTCTTCTCAATTGTTCTGTTAGCCGTAGCAGATGCAAACTGTTCTTTTATAGCTATTGATGTAGGTGCTTGCGGACGAAATGCTGACAGTAATATATTTAAAGAAAGTGGTTTTGGCAAAAAATTGGCGTGTGGGTCTCTGAAGATTCCTAACTCAACTAAATTGCCTAATTCAAATGGATTGCCCCAACCTTTAGTGTTTCTTGGAGATGAGGCATTTGGATTACAAAAGCATATCTTGAGGCCTTTTCCTAATAAAAGTTTAAATAAGGAAGAGCGAATTTACAATTATCGTCATAGTCGAGCTAGGAGATGCGTGGAATGTGCATTCGGCATCCTAACAAGCAAATGGAGAGTTCTGCATACACCGATCGCTACTAATGTGAATACAACCATCGCTATCGTAAAAGCCGTTTGTATTTTACATAATTTTGTCATAGCAAGAGAACAAGCACAATATGCACATATTTCGCGACGTACCTCAACAACTCTTACAAGTTCAAGGAGCCAAATTATTACTGTATCAAATTCTGGAAAAACAACAAGAGAAAACTTTAAAAACTATTTTCTTAACGAAGGAAAGCTATCCTGGCAAGAGAAATATTTGTAAGTTGTAGCTACAGGAAGAAATAGTGTAACGGAGTGTGTAAAGCCGTAAATACTATGTAAATTATGATACTTTGTTTTATGTAGTGAGTGATACAAGTATATTGTTGAATAAATAATAAATTCATTAGAATGGAACTTACTTCTTTTTTGTTTAGTGTTTTCTTCTAAGTTTTGCCAATCATCGTATATAATTTCAGCGACTTCATTCCAATTGCTCTGCTTTAATACTCTGTTGCTGTATTCTTCACTCGACATGTTCCATATGCATGGTCTATTCTGTATTTCACTAATGAACCTTTCCGTATCAAAGGACATCTTGGATTTTCAGTGATGTGTGTGTGCGTTGAGATTAGTTAGGTGCGATGCAAAAAAACACGTCCTAACACGATGATAGCTTTTTTCCAACTATCCGAATAATCAGTTTGAGTCACTACGCCCGGCGAACAACCAATCGCCGCCGCCGACTGGAACCGGTTTTGGTGGGAGTCGGCCGCTCACTAAGATAGTCGGCGCGCGTAACGCTGCAAACTGCGTACAGTGAGCGCAAAACTAGCAAACTGTGAACACTCCATTTGAAATATATGGAAGGGCGTACTAAACCGATACGCCGCTAACTCAGTCGGCCGCTGACAGTTTGCTTACTGGGGACACAGCCTTAGGTTTTCACGCACATCACTCATTAAATAAAACTAGTTTTTACGGGTCAATGCACGAAACTTTATTTATTTATTTATTGACGTTTCGCAGCCTTTTCAGGTCTGCATCGTCAGAATATTCTACCAACCAAAACCCACTAAAGTGCCACTTTTCACGGGCATTTAAAAACGATTGCTATTTTAAACTCTAGGTGTGACGTCACAGTCCAAAGCAACCTAGCAACAAAACAAACAAGTCCGCAGTTACATTAGGAGGTTATATGCACTCGCACTTGGTCTCGTTGATTGAGACATATCCTGTGAACGAGGCGCTTCTTCGTTGATTTGTTGTTATGTATTTCTTATGTCACAACCGCTCTGTCGTCACAACCACGTTTCAGATATTTCAATTTCCTACAAGTTTCAGTTTAAACTTTCTATTTAGAAAGCAAGAAATTATTAGTGCGAAAACTTTTCAATAATTAATGTTTTCCTCAAAAACATTTTTATGGCAAAATATTGATGAAGCGACAAATCAAAAGTAATAGAGTTAATATAAAACAAGAGCCTTATTTGAATTACATGCATATTCCCTATTGTTAAAATACGGATGTCCAGGAGAGTTACTTTAGTAAAAATGGATTGGAACATTAAAATAATAAATAAGCCAATATTTTTGTTCGTTATGTACAATTTTTAGTTATCTTAAAAAAATTAAGAAGATTGATTCAAATGGAAGTTTATGACAATAATACAATCACAACAATCTGATGCCGGCACTTCACCTGGTTATTCATTTTTGCTACTTGTATATTTGACATCAGTCTGTCCTTTTCATTCCTTACGATGTATGATAAAGACAGATTGTTGTCAAGGGGAAATAGTAAATATGAATAGACTTGGTTTGGCGGAAGGGTCGGCATGAAATAACATAGAACAATGATAATGTTATCCCAAAGTATAATTAATTATATTGAAGCTGGAAAGTAACATGTACACAAGAAAAGCAAACACATAGTTATGGCAGTGCTGAATGTTTCGAAGTAATAATATTAGTTATTTATGACGGAGACCACATGAAGTAGCATTAAGGGAGAGAGAGTGACTGGTATTTTAAAATGAGATGAATGGAAAAGCCAGTGACAATTACATTTTCAAATTATACAGTAAAAATAAAACAAAATGACCATTCGTATTTATCATTGCGAAAGTCACGGTTTTTCTGCCTATCAATACTGTGGAAGATTTAGTATTTTTATTTATTTACAAACCATTTACTTCTCTAAAAACAGCAAACGTAATCATTATGATTATTCGTTTATATTTAACTGCATGTCTTGGTTATATTTACTTTATATCCTCAAGCTTTCGCTTTACTTTTTCTTAAAGTTTCGCCAAATATGCGAAAACTTACACGAAAGCTAACTTCAGAAGGGAACTGAAACCAGTAATTTTCTGACAACTTATATAAACAAAATTGACCTGCTCCATCGACAAAGTTTGTTTATTAACATATAAAATGGCAAACAACAAGTATAGAAGCAAAGCAGGTGACTATGGTTGTGAAATTATGACTCAATCCATTGGCCCGGTGATGCAAGGGGACGGTGACAAGTGCATCCATGTGTAACTCAATAGTAAAAAAACAAACCTAGGCGTTCTATGGCCCCCACTTAACTCTGACTCTACCATCCTAAGAATGAAAAAAATACGTTTAAAAGAATAATTGATGAAAAAGTCAACAATAGAGTAAAAACAATATTTTAACATAATAAAACGGTAATTCAATTTAGGTAATTATTACAGTACCTCAAAATTTGCAAAACAATAATAATGACTAATAAAAAATAAAATCACAATTAAGTTAATATTATAATTAAGATATTTGTTTCTTAGGTTTTCACGCACATCACTCATTAAATAAAACTAGTTTTTACGGGTTAATGCACGAAATTTTATTTATTTATTGAGTTTATTCTGACGATGCAGACCTGAAAAGGCTGCGAAACGTCAATAAATAAATAAAGTTTCGTGCATTAACCCGTAAAAACTAGTTTTATTTAATTGTAATTAAGACTTTGACGGTTAAGGAACAAGTTTATGTACGTTCGATAATAATTTTGGAAAGTACTTACGACATGAGATCAAGTTGAGCATCTGTAGGCACTGTATCGCTGGTTCCCAATATGTGGGAAAGTTCACATGATTTTTTTCCGCCAGATTTACCACCGTCTCGTGCAGTAGAATCACCCACCACTAGCAAAACAATCAAGGCATTTATTTTAAGTCGACGCATGCCCATATATTTAACACTTCCGTAAGAAGTTTGAATCGCTTGTAATTAAAGCAAGATTTGAGAAAAATCGCCAATCTCGATTTTCTCTATTCAACTCCTGCAAATTCTCGCGAATTAACGAAAATTTTGTATAGAAAATAAATAGATTAGGTTCGAGTCCCGTCCGCTGCCTGGTCCGCGTGGATTTTTTTCTAGTAAACTTTTCTTTAGATTTAAACATCTAGCAGTTAAATGCTTAAAAAATAAATAAAATCATAACTATAATTGCTATTTCTTCTTTCAAATGTTTAGTACTTGAAAAAGTATTCATTGACATTGTGGGTTACCTACAATGCGAAGAGATGGCGCTGCCTTGCAGCTTAAGGCTAGGAAAATTTCGACGCGGCTAATAGGGCCGTGGTAGCATAATGGTCAGTGCATTCGCCCGGATAGCGAAGGATGCGGGTTCGAGTCCCGTCCGCTGCCTGGTCCGCGTGGATTTTTTTTCTAGTAAACTTTTCTTTAGATTTAAACATCTAGCAGTTAAATGCTTAAAAAATAAATAAAATCTTAAATAAATAGATGGTTCAAATTTGTATGGAGGGTGGTAGTGAGTCTCCGACAGACTCCAGTTTTTATGAGATGTAGTGCACTTAATTGTAAATAGTTTAACAAAAAACTAGAATTTATTTTACCTCCGTATTTTTTTAAATAATTACATAATTATTGATTGGCAAATGGCAAGTTTATTTATCTATTTTTTATTGGCAAAGCATCAAAGATATTCTATTTAATAAGTAACTAAAGTGATTATTATTCTGTTCACCTTTCATTACATTAGGCGTTTTGTAGGGATTATATTTCAGGAAAACTCAATCATAAATTGGTATAATAAATTCACCACGATATCATGAATATCATGCATAACTGGACTGATTGATTTTTGCCATGGTGATTGAGTTGACTTTATAAGCTGCCTCACACTAAAAATATAACGTTACTAATGACAGGGTGACCAGTAAGTTTTTAAAGACGATTTGTAATTAATCGGGGTGTACGAGCAAGCGCGTACATTGCCGACGCAGCGTTTCTTTATTAACCTAATTTACGTATAATTCATAATTTATTTTGCATCGTTCAGTTCGCATTCCGTCATCAATCATACCACGCGTCCTCATTAGTTTAATCAGTTTATAGTAAATCAAATATATCCTAGTTTCAAAGTTATTTACAGTTTTATTATTTCATCAGTTTTATCAGTTTTTATGTTACGGGCTCCCCGTACACGGGGATAAAATTAAAAGTATCTGTATATGTGTTTATGTTATAATATAAAACAAGCTTTCAAATGATATATGTTTCGTCACTGCCGGAAACCGACTTCCATTATTGAACAATCTCATTTAAAATCTCCCTCTGATATGAGAACTTTTTGGAGAAAAATATTAAGGTATACATATAACTAGCAAACCAGTGAACCAAATGTTCACCAAAAAAAAAAATGTATTTACTTAATTGATAACTGCGGAGATTTTGTGTGGTTTCGTTTGAAATAGAAATCACGTGATTTCTCGAAAACCGGAACTGCTACGTTACTCACATCCGGTTTGTAGTCTTATCAGACTATTCTTAACTTATAACTTAAATATTCTCTATATCTATCTCTTACGGTTTGGCCGCTGAAACAGCACCACGGACGGACGGACGGACGGACTTGTTTAATAGATAAGAGATACTCGTAGGTTGACTTAACATTAGCACAGAAAAAATACTTACTGAGTATTGCTTTGAGAGTGGCTAGTACCGGTCCAACGCCGATGTTTTTGTGGGCGGCGGCTAACAAATGTCTGTCACAAGACAAGCGAACTCCCGCGGCCCCACCTCCGGGACCAGGCGATGTGGAGACTGAATATAGGCCTAAAGCACAAGGATTTAAGTAGAATAATAAAATAGACTTTGTTTGTATGAAATTCCCGGATATTATTTTCTTGAAATATGTAAAGCTTGCGCTTCTGAAATGGCAATTATTCATATTTGCTATTAATTTTATATTTGACACCAATCTTTTGTTTACTTTACCTATAGAACATATAAGAATATACTGCTATAAAATTTACAAATAGCAAATACGAATACCTGAAGTCCTAGCATAATAGTTATCTCAAAATAAATTTTCCTGCTAAATTTACGTTAGTCAAATTAATTTCGTCGAATAAAGCAAAACAATGTTGCAATATCAACTTTGGCATTTAGATTTGTCCCCGGTATCTGGAAGGCGCGTTCGCTGGATTGCCGCTGACGCCGGTTTTATCAGTAACTATAAGGTTCCGTAATAGATGAAGTCTTTCAGCAAGAAGCAATGCCGATGTGTTAGGTAATTGTTACTTACCGGGTTGTGGCGTGTCTATAATCGCAGTCGCAGAAGCTGGTGGCACATGAACCTTGCTCCGATATCGGGAGGGGGCCAGCTTTAACCAAGCCTTTATCAGTGTATATTAGGTTCCGCGATGGACCAAGTCTTTCAACGTAAAGCAATGGCGATTGTTCTGTACTTAGTAACGATTACTCACCGGGTTGTGCCGTGTCTACAGTCTTGAAGAGTCGCAGTAGTAAATAGCACGTGAGCCTCGAGCCGGTGTCTGGGGACGGCTGGCATTAAACAAGCCTTTTAGCTTCCGTGATGGACCAAGTCTTTCACCGTAAAAAGATTAGGGGCGATTGTTCTGTAGTAAGTAACCATTACTCACCGGGCTACGGCGCACAGTGATCAATAATGAGATATTAGGTGGATAATATTCAAATTTGACATTGTGAGGGTAGTTCAAACAAATCATCGCGATGTGATTGGGTGTACTTACCTCATATTCTTGTTTAATATGAACGGTTGAAGGTAAGTCATTACTGAGATTATCACCGAAAAGAGGAAGAGCGATTGTTCTGTAGTTAGTAACTATTACTCACCGGGCTGCGGCGAGTCTACAGTCTTGAAGAGTCGCAGTAGTAAATGGCACGTGAGCCACTCGCCGGTGTATGGGGAGGGCTGACTTTAAACAAGCCTTTTAGGTTCCGTGATGGACCAATTCTTTCCCTGTAAAAAGAGAAAGGGCGATTGTTCTGTAGTTAGTAACTATTACTCACCGGGCTGCGGCGTGTCTACAGTCTTGAAGAGACGCAGTAGTAAATGGCACGTGAGCCTCGCGCCGGTGTCTGGGGAGGGCGCGTTCGCCGGATTGCCGCTAACGCCGGCTCCGCCGCACGCCTTCACCAAAGACGGCAAGGCCGCGTGCCGGACGAAGTCTTCCAAAGAAAAGCAATGACGAGCTGCGAATGAACGATTCTGTTTGGATCAACCCATAATGCCTACATTTATAAGATCACTCCTGTTTGTCAGAGCTAAAAATACTGATTCCATTTCAAGATGCCATTAACATCATATTTTAAAGTCATTAAGTTTTTAAGATTTTTAAACAAAAGTTTTGCGTCACAAAAGCATGTATAATACGTAAAATTTTAAAGATAGATAATATTAAACTTCTTAATTCAAGGCATTAAGCGTCATTATTTAAAAAGAAGTCCATTTTGCTGTTTCTTTCTATATTATCATGACTTTTCTATATTATCATGTTATTTCCTTAATAAAGTGGTTAAAGTAAATAAAATGACGTTAAAATAAATAAATATCCAAGTATAAATTAATACGCTTTACAGATGTTTCAACGTCTATGGTTTTTAATCGAACAATATACTAATTTTGATTTGATTAAGTTTAAACATTTTTTGGGGAATGAGGACTAACCTGCTAACAAACAATCATCGTGCGCATGCATAATAATCTTTCGCATGCGCACCGAGGCACAAAGAATGACATTTCGCTGACATATCGTGAGCGTAAGATACAAAATTCGCGTGTTTGGTTTTGAGTGTCAAACACAAAAATATATAAAACCTGGCCTTTTTTATCGCAGTGTTTATAAGGCGACTCTATCTAGAGTAAATAATTAAAGGAGCGGACATATTATATGCATATAAAAAAAACGAGCGAGCCTTACAGTAGTCATGTATGATGTGCATTTGAAACCTCACCTTAAATTATTAAAAAAATAAATAAAACCTACTACAAAAGGAATAAGCCATTTGAACATTATGTTCTAAAATCAAATCAAATTGCGCGCGCTTCCCAAACCTCCTGTTACACACTTCCGTCCCACTTCACGTAATCATTCCCACAAATTGCAGGAAAGCAAGAGGAAAGATGTTACACATCAAAAAGTGAATATTGAAAAATCTAGACACGTGTCAAGAATGTAACAAGTTAATGTCAATGCTAATAGGGTATTTGACAGTATTAAAAATAAAGTGCTAATTGTTAGCATCTGTGTTTAGAATGTATATCGGCAGGGGATTTTACTATTTTTCCAAAAAAAATCATAATTTTACTAAAACCCATGAAAAAGATAATAGTTTTCTTATCTATTGTTACGTGATCCAAAACGCTTGGGATTGGCGGAGCCTAAAATGACGTCACACGCAAGTAAACGTCCGGTTAAAGTGACATTACATTGTATCGTTTAACGTTTTAATAACAGTCGTGGGATGTCACATACTAGTAAGATGCTATATTATCCAGAAAAACGTTTTCGCGGCAACTTGAACATGGAGTTTTTGATTTGGTTTTTTTACTGAAATACGCAACAGAATGATAAATATCTAGAGTAAATAATTAAAGGAGCGGACATATTATATGCATATAAAAAAAACGAGCGAGCCTTACAGTAGTCATGTATGATGTGCATTTGAAACCTCACCTTAAATTATTAAAAAAATAAATAAAACCTACTACAAAAGGAATAAGCCATTTGAACATTATGTTCTAAAATCAAATCAAATTGCGCGCGCTTCCCAAACCTCCTGTTACACACTTCCGTCCCACTTCACGTAATCATTCCCACAAATTGCAGGAAAGCAAGAGGAAAGATGTTACACATCAAAAAGTGAATATTGAAAAATCTAGACACGTGTCAAGAATGTAACAAGTTAATGTCAATGCTAATAGGGTATTTGACAGTATTAAAAATAAAGTGCTAATTGTTAGCATCTGTGTTTAGAATGTATATCGGCAGGGGATTTTACTATTTTTCCAAAAAAAATCATAATTTTACTAAAACCCATGAAAAAGATAATAGTTTTCTTATCTATTGTTACGTGATCCAAAACGCTTGGGATTGGCGGAGCCTAAAATGACGTCACACGCAAGTAAACGTCCGGTTAAAGTGACATTACATTGTATCGTTTAACGTTTTAATAACAGTCGTGGGATGTCACATACTAGTAAGATGCTATATTATCCAGAAAAACGTTTTCGCGGCAACTTGAACATGGAGTTTTTGATTTGGTTTTTTTACTGAAATACGCAACAGAATGATAAATATCCATTTTTTACGGCCTTCATAAACATTAGTCAATAACGTGAGATCGTTTTATAAAACTTGACAAATACCCTATTGCTAGGGCACGCACCGACTAGGATGCAGGTGAAGACGGCGAGCGCGTCGTGCGCGGCGGCGTCGTGCAAGTCGCGGTGATGCAGCAGGTCGGGGTAGTAGGGTGGGGGCGCGGCGTGCGGCGCCTGAGGGTAGTGCTGAGCGCCGCATAGAGCCACTAAAGCCCCGAGCCATTCGGCCGCCAATCCGCTACACCAGGCAGTCATCTCCGCGCACAGCACGCCCAGCTCGTTCACCCTACGATTGGCTATATTGAAAGGCTGACATCCTACTAACATTATAAATGAGAAAATGTGTTTGTACTTTGCGATTCAAATAAGAATAGGAAAGACCTCCATCTGTCAAAAGTACGGTTTGCAAAAAAATCTTTGATCACTTTTTAGCACTGAGCTAATCTTAGAATAACAACCAAACATTTGTAAACAAAAAGAAAATGAGTACCGAGTAACTGCGGGTTACTTTGACCTAAAATGTGCTCTTGTTTTTCAAATAAAACTGTAGCTTCTCTTTCTGATGAATATGTCACGTTTATATCTTGCCATTGTGAACTTTAAAGTATAAGTTACAAAGTTAACATACGAAAATAGGAAAAAATTATATTTAAGGGTTAATATATATTTTTTTAATTTTGGGCCAAAGTTGGCCTTCAAGAGGGTTACTTTAGCTCGTTGAGTTTTCTCTGTGAAAAAAAACTAATTTTAAGCCATGTTGGGGTTAAGTAACCCTTATAACAGATCACCATTAGCATACTGAATACACAAATTAAGTTAAATAAAAAATATAACTCGAAATTTAGAAAAAATAGTAAACTTACCGAAAGCCACAGTTTTGAGAAAGTTTGCGCATGAACTTGCGAACTATTTCAGTTACAAAAAATCCCGCGTTACAATGACAACTTGATACAGGAACGATGGCGGTAAAACAACATCACACTACGCGCCTATATGGCTGTCTGTGATTTTCAACTGGAACTATTACGGTCACCCAAGAGATACTGATGGAGCGGCAACTTCAATATTTTTTCTGATTTGGGACAAAGTTACCCGTCCGAGCTAAAGTAACCCTCACTTACGGTACAGGAAAAGGTAAATATAAAAACTTCAGTTTTATTATAAATACAGGTAATAAAAAGACCGTTTTTATTTTAAATAAAGTAGTTGTTTTAAAACCTAAAATAATCGATATTTTATAGCCGAAAGCAGCAGTGATGATGATGTCTACTCCGACGGTAGTGCAGAAATGACCGATATTAAAGAGCTAGATTCCGATTAATGTTTTTTCTCACACTGACTTAATAAATAAATATTATTAAAAATTGATTTCATTTCTCTCAATATTAGTCAAAAATAATATTTAAAAATCTGATGGTTTTTTTCTCAGTTAATCTTGGTAAATAACAGTTATTACAGAAAATCTTTTTTGCTCACTCTACCTAACCTGGTTGAATTGACAGCTATGACGTTATAATATGGCGCACAGTCGGTCCTATTCTTAGTTGAATCGCACTGTATGTCTGTTACCTCTTCACGCTTAAACAGCTGAACCGATTCAAATGAAATTTGGTATGAAGATAATTCGAGCGCCGGGAAAGGACGGGAAAGGAGTTTTTATCATAGAAACTACCATTTAATGGGGTGAAAATGGAGGTGGAAGTTGGTATGAGAAATTTACAACGCAGATGAAGCCGCGGGCGTCCCGCTAGTAAGAAATATACGGAATATAGTACGATTCAAACTTAATGACGGATGTGAAAATAATAGCGAACGCAACTATGAGCAGGTTTCAGTTCAATGATTTCCCGAGCGCACCTAAATCACTGCCGACATTAAGTTTAAATCGCACTGTACAACATATTTTCCCAAAAGAAATTGGAATTTAATTTATAAATAAACATCTCAAGTTGAGCGTTGTAGCAGGGACGATATAATGTAATTTCATCAGTGTCTAATTTGTGATCACTCGATCGGCTTAAACGAAAATTAGAAATAAGGACGTATATTTCCAAATTTGTTTCGTAAATCCAAACGGTTTTGCGAAACAGTAAGTTTTTGTGTGATAGTAGTTGGATAATTTAATATAGTAATATCTAATATTAATCCAGAAATGGGTCTGAGCCATCAAATTATTTGTAAGAACTGATATTTAAAAACAATTTCTAATGAAATGTATGTCAAACGACTTACCTGTCATTGTCCACTTCTCGGCAAACGGCTAACATAGCCGAGCACACGAAACTGTATCTGTTAGCAGGCGACTCGGCCACTTGACGGGCCCAAGCTATTTCTATTTTACCTTCAAAACAAATCAAAGCAATCTGAAAATTTTGTTTACTGACTAAACGTCCTTATATTATAGAAATTATTACGAATATACTAGATTTTCTAATCAAATAGATAACTGTATAAAAGTAGTCTGTTATAATTCGCAGAAAAGTATAGTTTGGGTTTTAGTAGAGAAAAGTCACATACCTTTTCGAGGATTAGTGAAAAATTCACTAAGAAACTGTGGGTTATATGAGTAGTTCGAAGGCGTCGGCTGCAGTGGAGAATAGAGAGCTTGTCTGAAACAAATTTAAAGAATAACTTTATTATCAATAAAGTCTAAATTATGTTAAAATATGTTGATTTTTTTTTCAAAAAATTTTCCGCCTCTTTTTAAAATGTAGTTTTGTTCAAGTTTATTATGTGGGAAGGTTTTATACATTACATTTATTTTGTTATCAATGTGATTAGTATCTATACTTATATTAGAAAGAGGAAAGATTTGATTGTTTGTTTGTTTGTTTGCATTGAATAGGCTCCGAAACTACAGGACCGATTTGAAAAATTCTTTCACATTTAGAGTCCTACATTATCCCTAATGAACATTGGCTATAGAGTATTTTCAAAAAAGGCAAAAACGGTTAGGGTTCCGTATGAAAAATTCGATAATGTATCCCAGGATGTGAAGAAAATACCATAAAAATCCTTATATCGCTTATGCTGCGAAAGTCAGTGACAATAGAGCAAAGTGATGTAATAAAGTTTTATAGAGGACATCAATATCTACAAAAAAGTCCGCGATACCATATCTCTAACTATTACAGTTATGTCACAAGTAAAGGTTCCCTGCGGTTTCACGCTCGTTAATTTGAGGAAAAAGGTTATAGTAAGACAAACTTAAAAGATGGACATATGCTAACACTGACATTTTTATAGAACTTTTAAAGTGAAACAATTTCGCCATACGTAATTTTTGTGTAAATTTAATTATTTACGTAGCGCACGCAACAGAATCGACCAAATGGAATATTTTTTCCCGTTTTTACAACATTTTACATCGATACTCCACTCCTACTGGTCGTAACGTAATATTATATAGCCTTAAAGCCTTATTAGTTCCTGAGATTTGCGCGTTTAACCAAAAAAATGGTGCATTCGGTACAACGTGTCCTAAACCACGCAACAAAATTTTCACTATCAGTTAAATAAATTTTCATGGAAGGTTTATAATTATATAAAGAAATTCATTGTGTTTTATATAAGCCTGAGAATAAAAACTATAGTCTACACTACAGTTCTACGTTGTGAAGTTAGCCGCAAGCGCAACTATGCGCAGATTTCAGTTCAGTTTCATCGCGCCTACTTTAGCCTTGTGCATCAAGGATCTATATGAATGTGAGTGACAGTTCAGGGAGAGCACCACTGTCTACGTAATTGACCATGAACGACATACAAAATGTGACGTTGGCAAAGAAAGACGTTAGTTCTAATTTTCGCCACATACATAAAGACCCTCTTCGCACTATATTTCATTTACTGTGCCGCGTTTTGCGCTAACTTCACAGTTACCATTAACTTTAACAAATTCTATAGGTCGTGCAGTTGCGCCAGCACGCATCTCTCCGCCGAGCCGCATTCGCCGAGTACAAACACTGTCAGTCTGTCTCCTATTGACTCAAGCACTCACTTAATCTTAGGGTAGGCAACGCGAAGGTGTCTGCGTGAGGGGCGTGGCAGAGTTGCGCGGCCGCCTTGTACAAGTCGTGCAGTTGCGTTAGTACGCATCTCTCCGCCGAGCCGCAGTCGCTGGGTTCCTACAGTGTCACTGTCAGTCTGTCTCCTATCTACACAAGCACTCACTTGATCTTAGGGTAGGCGTTGGCGAAGGTGCGCGGCCGCCTTTTAAAGGTCGTGCAGTTGCGCCAGCATGCATTTTCTCGTCGTGCCGCACTCGCCGGGTACATACACTGTCAGTCTGTCTCCTATCGACACAAGCACTCACTTGATCTTAGGATAGGCATTGGCGAAGGTGTCCGCGTGCGGGGCGTGGCAGAGGTGCGCGGCCGCCTTGTAAAGGTCGTGCAGTTGCGCCAGCACGCATCTCTCCGCCGAGCCGCAGTCGCCGGGGTTCACGACGCACTTCACCAGACGGCACAGTTGCTCGAACACCGCGGACGTCTGCTCCATGGATACTGTGCAAGGAAGAAAATAAACATACAGTGAAATAACACAAAGGACTTAACCGCCGCGATCATTTACCCCCTTATTAATAAACAAAGAATAAGCTTGGATAAGTTACTCCATATATTGTCTCTGTTCATTGAATGACAAATGGCATTTCAGTGATATGAACAAAATACAGCGTGACTAGTCTAACCTTGTTTCTCGTATATTAATAAGAGGGGTAGGGAGTAAGCTCAGAATATAAAGTCTCTGTTAAGCACACATTGATGTTACTTTTGCCCCACGCGTTAGCAACGCCTCTTCCACTTTAGACATTAACTCATTCTTTAATTTAATACACATTATATTCACGGAGTAGACACGAGTGATATCTCCCCAGTGCCCCGACGGTGAAGAGCGCGAGTGCTGACGTATACGCTCGTGGGGCCACGAGCCCATGCTGGGCGCGCCGCTCGTTGTCAACGCCATTTCCACTTCAGACAACTCCTTCAGTGTCTAATACACGTTGTTAAACTGAACAGGTACTCACGCAGTAGACACGAGTGATATCTCCTCAGTGCCCCGACGGTGTAGAGAGCTAGTGCTGACGTATAAGCGCGTGGGGCCGCGAGCCCACTACTGGGCGCGCCGCGGGTTATCAACGCTCCTTCCACTTCAGACAACTCCTTCAGTATCTAATGGCACAAAACAAAAAACAATTTTTAATAGAAAATATAAAGATGCTCGCAACTTCACCTGCGTGGATGAAATGGTTTCCCATACAAACTTCTACCCGCATTTTCATCCCCTTAAAGGATGATTTCTGGAACAAAAACCATGCTATGTCCTTTCACGGGATTCAAACAAAAAAAAAACATGGAAATCGGTTCCGTGGTGAAGAGACACAGATAGATAATCACTTTCCTATTGATTGAAAAGTTGAATTCAAAGTTGCTTCACAGTTACTTATTTAATTTTATATATAATTATATTTATTTGGAGTCTAATTTCTTATAATTGACAGTGTTCTTTATTCTGCAAGGAAAAACATCTTTTCGTATTTCGTGTGAAATTGTGAGTTACTGAAATAACGTGATGTGCAAAAATGGCACTGCCTTGCAGCTTACCTAATAATGCTAGACGAAATTCGTCATGAGCGTTAAGGTCGCGGTAGCATATTTGGTCAGTGCATCCGCTCGAATAGCGGAGGGTACGGGTTCAAGTCCCGACTGCTGCCTGGACGGCGTGGAATATTTTTAGTAAAATTTTCTTTAGATTTAATCATATTATAATCACCTGTATACATGTATCGATGAGTCCGTGCACATTTAAAGCGATTTCCATGAGGTCCAGCGCGAAGGCCACGTGTTCTGGTTGCGGTAAGTAAGTGGTCGCTCCGGCAGCGTAAGCAGCTAAAGCTTCGCATACGGCCCCGCCTACCGCCCACGAGACTGCGCCTTGTTCGTACATAGACATCGCCTGCGAAAATCATTTATTTCGTAATTAATTTTTTGAAATGAAAACTTTTTGAGCCATTTTTAGATGGGGATCTAGAGCATGTACTGCGTCAAGCGGGCCCGTCCGTTCGGCGTGTTTTTCATGTTATTTCATAGAAGCAGCGTTGCGTGAGGCGGGTCTTACGCGCGGCGCGCCTATATGAAATTACATAAAAATTGCGCGCCGAGCTCAGTGACCTGCTTAGCGGTAGGCAACGCAGGCTCTAATTAAACAGGCCTTTGACCGCGCGTGATAGTCATACTAAGATACTTATATATGTATTGTATATGCGTAGAATTATATTACAATTTAATATAATTCTACTAATATTTATTCTGTTTTATATGTATAGGTGACTTTATTATTACCTACTAAAAATAAAAAAGATGCCAATCAAATTTATTGGTCCACATAGCATAGCACTGGTGGAAACGGGTTCAACTTAGCTATGTTTTTTATATGGAAGGATGCGTACTCTGGATGCGGGCTATGATGGCCGCGAGTGGTGTAGCTATATCAAGGGAAGAGTGCCCGCGTTTGTCATTGAAAGTAAGACATGCTATCGTGGAAGCAAAAAGTTATTTTGTATCTCGCAGTGTGCGAAGAAGAACTTGTTCCTCTGTTTATTCCAACGAAGAAATCATAGCACATCTTACTCGTCCCGCTACACAGCTTAGCATCAGTGAAAACGGTCACGTAGTTTCGTAGCTTAGTTTCGAGTAAATAATGAGAATGTGAACAGTGGTACGGGTATCAAAAGCAATAAAAGACTTCGTCGAAGGGTAGACCGATATGTCTGCCTACCCGCAATTACTTCAGTTAGTCCGTGATCATGGCGCTTGCAACAGAGCCGAAATATCCGAAACTCGCTAAAAACAAAGTACCATGGTAACAATCTCGTACATAAATTACTGTAATGTTACTGACCATGAAAGTTTAAAACAATATTATTTTGTCTATTTGCTTTTAAGGAAAAGTTAGATGTAGCCCATTCTTCAGCATTACTTTACCTGGAATTTGTGCGTGACGGCTTCGAAATTAAATTCGCTGCGAGAGTGCTTCTTAATTTTACCACCTTCCGCCACATCGATGGAGAATTTCTTGGAGAACAATTTGCAAATTTCTGTAAGGCAAAAAAAAAACACTGTGTCAATATTTACTGATGGTAGAGATGTAAAATTTTCACAGCATCATCTTTTGTATCATTATTATATACATATTATTGTCTTGTGTTACTGACTCTTTCGTTGTTTTCTATGTCAGTGTCACATTTAAATATCTTCATACTTATTTTTATGTTTATTTTTACTTGTCACTTTTTTGCTCTTGTAAATTTAACACGTTTATTGAAAACCTGGATATTTTTGTAAACCTCAGCAAACAGCCCCTACCATCCGTTAAACCTGTTTGAAAGAAAAACCTGGAATTTGAAGATCGGTTGATGAAATATACCTTTAGTCATTTTCTTGACGGCGTGTTTCGCTTCGTCTCGTTGCCTGCCCACTCCATACAGCAATATATGGCGTTGATTGGCGTCGTGAGGCGTATGCTCGGGCTCCGCGGGCGGCAAAGGGAAGTGCATCGTGTAGTGGTAGTGGCGGGACACCAGCGGAGGCGCCGCGCAAACGCTGGAGGGGCCCGCGCTTGTCGTACGCATGCCTAGACAATGACAGTTGTCTAAAGATAATTTTTACTAAAAATATCTTCGAAGGTAGCTCGACAAATTAAATAAAAGTTTGATTCTGACGACGTAGCCTGTAAAGGCTACGAAACGTCATAAATAAAGTTTCGTGCATGTTACACGTAAAAACTATTATGAGTGATGTGCGTGAAAACCTAAGAAACAAATATAATATCTTTATTATATTTTTACTAGCTGTCCCAGCGAACTTCGTATCACCATAAAAAAATAGGGGTTGGTGGTAGAAGGGTGAAAATTTAGGGTTGTATGTATTTTTGTATGATGTATCATTAAAAAATAAAAACAAAAATTTTGTCCAAAAATAATTTTTTTAGGGTGGATCACCCTGAACATTTAGGAGGATGAAGAATAAATGTTGACTGATTCTCAGACCTACTGAATATGCATATAAAATTTCACGAAAATCGGTCGTACCGTTTCGGAATAGTTCAATTACGCACACCGTGACACGAGAATTTAATATAATAGATTTTAAGCATTTAATTGCTTAGATGTTTATCTCTAAAGAAAATATTACTACAAAAAGTTACATGCGGCCAGGAAGCAGACGGGACTCGAATCAGCACCCTCCGCTATCCGGGCGGATGCACTGACCGTTTATGCTTCCGCGACTTTAATGGCAATGCCAAATTTCTTCTAGTAGTTCTTAGGCTGCAAGGCAGCGCCATCACTTCGCATTTTGGTAACGCACAATGTATTTTTTTAATTTCAAAGTATTTTTATGTATATTATATAGCATGAAAATTAAATTTAAAATTTTCTTAAGAAAACTCTTTATTAAATCTTATAAATATAGCAGTTAAATGCTTAAAATGACAACATACTAAATAACCATTATATCAAAACGCGAAAGATAAACTTTAAGAGGGCTCTGCCGGCGGCAGAGGGATAAGTGCATCGTGAAGGCACCGCGCAAACTATTGCATCAATACTAGTGTAAATATGAATAGTAGAAGAGGAAGAGGTTGAGATATAGAATATAGAAAACAAATTACCTGGAACAGACATTGGTCCCATAGACATGGAAGGCATGCCAGGAATACTCATACCGCTTGGACCCATCATAGGCGAAGTGACACTGAAAAATAATTTACTCTTTAGAATTGTTTCGCGAGCTTCTCGTTTAGGTTTTCAGTTTGGTCTAAAAATTACGTGTTTGTAGATACGATCGATTTGGAAAACTTATACTAAGCACTCAGGAATGTTATAATATGTTACCGGTTTCAGTCTCACACAATCTTGACTATGGAAAGAAAAAACAAATAACTCTGAAATATAAAATTAACAATTTTAATAATAATGGCATTAAATGTATCACTTACCTATGTGATGTTTCACCAGGATCTTTAGGGCTGTCGGGAGCATCCATTGAATTTTGTTGGTCCACTTTGATATGTTGCAAAAGTTTATCCAAGTCATCGTCGATTTTTGAATCGTCCAAATCCATTCTGACATTTTCCTGCAATATAAATTGGTGTTTAAAGTTAATCCTTTGTTTGATTTAAGCTTTTCATTTATACTTGATTTAAAAAATTCAAAGCGCCTATGTTTATACGAAACGGGAGTGTAAAAAAATGTGTTGGTGAGCGCGTACAGAAAGGAAAAAAATATGTTATAACGAAAAAAAAACCTGTCTACCATCCGTTAAACCTGTTTGAAAGAAAAACCTGGAATTTGAAGATCGGTTGATGAAATATACCTTAAGTCATTTTCTTGACGGCGTGTTTCGCTTCGTCTCGTTGCCTGAAAAAAATATGTTATAACGAAAAAAAAAACTGTTATAAAGAAAAAGAAACATAAAATTACCTCCATTTTCGGAGGTTTGAGATCAATTCCTGCGAAGATATCGTCATCCATATTATGGTTGGTTCCTGTGCTATTCGCTGGGGGCGCTACTGTGTGTCCATTTCCGGAGTTGCTCGTGGAGGTTGGTTCCGTGGGAGATATTAAGTCGCCTGTACAAGCCAACAAGAAGTATTAAATATTTTGTAAAAGTCATAGCACGATCATATTTTAACGGTATACACTCTCAGTTTCTAATAATTGCGTGCAGACAGGGTTAATGTTATAATCGGTTTATGTATTGACTGTCATGAGTCAATTCATTAGCACTAAGATTATCGCACTGAATGATGATGATGAATTATTATAATCGACTTGTTTTAATTTTACGGCGAATGTGGCGTGATTACAAAAGTACTCAGTGAATTATGCGGCTACGTTGTTAAGACATAAGCACTGAACTATTATAAATAATTTCAATTTCTTATATTAAAGAGACATATCAATTTTGTTCATAGTTTCACCAAACTGACTATAAGTATAAAATGAAGCTTTACCTCTAGAGATGAGAGTGCACATGTAAGCGTCGTGTGAAAATACATCTCGCCTAATGAGTTCGCCAAAGAGATGTACCAAATTGGCGAATTGCTGCCTGTTACCGGGCGGCGCGTTCGGACTCTCATCTGTAATAAAAAAAATATAAAAAATAGGTGGCATTATATTTTGAACCTTATTATTCATTCAATATGGTCGTACTATACGTCTAAATAATATGCTCAAAACAAATTGATTTCAAAGCCTTTCATTCATTTCTATCGCGTGATATATTACATCTAATGGCGAACGGATTCAAAGACGTCTGCATTAGCAACGAGTAGTTTTATTGTGAAACTTATCAGCAATATCATAGGGGAACAAAAATTTATAGATAAATAAAAAATACATTGATATTGATATATACATATATATTACAGTCAGTGACTGTACATTTTGATATATATACAGGTTATTGTAATATATAATTTATAGTCAATATGTAATTTATATTTATCATTGGTACGATAAGACTATAAGTGTTGTTGAGAGAATATTGTGCCTCTGTGTTTTGATTCTCATGTAAAAACAGCCGGACAAGCTGTTCTTTTGTGTGCCGAAAGGAACCAAAACCAGAAAGAAATGGATGACCGCGATAAGAAGTTCCGTTTTCAGCTTAATCTACAGCGTTTTGCTTTGAAGTTCATTTTGATGTAAGTACCCACCGTTTACTCTACTCTTTGACATGGGCATCAAATTAAAGGGCAAAACGATTTAAAATAATAAAAACCTGAAAGCCCCTTTATGGCAAAACTAAAGACTTGCTAAAATTAAAATAAAGCTTCTCAAGATTATGTGCCCGCTTTCACAAGATCTTGAACAACTATATATTGTGGATGATATAAAGACTTGAAGATCCAGTTGAAATGGACCCTTTAGAAGATACGTGTACAAACACAACAACGGAAGAACAAACAAATAAGAAGAATCACAAACATATTCAAGTCAATATAAGAGATTTGTCATAAAGATATACAGACTGAGAGTAAATATTATAGTTTGTCACCTAGAATTAAAAAAATGTGAACAAAAAGAAACAGATTTAATAAAAAAGTTAATACCCATTTAAAAAGTTTATTTATTTTTTATCAAAAGGCTAGCAACCATATTGGTCAACGGATCAGCCTTGCCATCCAACGTGGCAATGCTGCCAGCCTATTGGGCACTATTCCTGACGGCGGCGCTGGGGGTGAAATATTTTTTATTTTGTAAAGTATTTATTTAAATAGGTTAAGGTAATTTGGATACTGAATAGTTTTTAAGTTTGTGTTATTTAAATGTTTCAAAGTTATAATAATAATAAAGGCAAACCCAATTTCGCCAGTACTCGTTTTGACGAAAATTATTTGGTACTAAAAGATAATTTCAGCAATTGTAGGTTTGGTAAATTTTGAGGACAACGGGTTCCTTGATTTGCTGGTAAAAATGGAGCAATAATGGCTGATCAAGTTATCAAATCAAAATGTGTCCGATTTTTAGCAGCAATAATAATACTTTTTGATATGGCAGCCCAGTGTCAGTAGGTCTGTACTAAAGTTACTCCCACAAAGTACACGAAACAAAACAAAAAACTTTGCGCCAACCATGTCCAAAGGACTATTGATAGATAAATTTGTTCTTGTATTCTTTTTATCGTATGATTATGGAATTATTTTACAATGTTAGGATACGGTAATGTATGTTTCTGCCTGCGGTAATGTAATGTTACAAAATTCCATTTTAAAAATTTTTTTAGTTATGTTTTTATTTTTTAAGCATTTAACTGCTAGATGTTTAAATCTTAAGAAAAGTTTTATTTTTTGCAAAAACTGTGAAAAGACTCTTAACTGTTAGCAGCTGGCACATTACATATTAAATTCATTATTGACTCTTGAAAAATAAAAAAAAAAGCTATATTTACCTAAAACGGGCGCATCATTGTCCAAGAATCGCAGCAAGAGGTTTTGAAAGATGGGTGGTCCACTGTAAAGGCCAGTACCAGAACTCACAGACTCTTTATCATCGGAACCTAAAAAAAAAACTAAGAATAACTTATTTCCTTAAATTTCAGATAAGACGGATGATGAGCCGAGAGTATGGATTATGCTTCAAGTTGTGAATCATATAATTAGACCTTGTCGGGTCGGCGTTGTAGATACTTCTTCAAATTAAAACTTCTTAAGGCGCGTAGATACGCCTTTTGAGATAACACAAAAGAGTTAAATTTTGTCATAAGAAAATAAATAGATGTCACGACAATACCGTGTTCATGGTAATGACAACAAGCGCTTACTTTAACAGACAATTGTTTACAAAAGGCATGGTTGGAAAAAAAAATCACACGAGAAAGTTAACAGTCCATTGCACAAAACAAATAGAAATGGAGCGGGCCGAAATAAAATATATTATATGGTATACAGACCTGTGGTGTGATGTTTATGGTGTTGATGCAGCGGCTTTTGCCTCTTGTCCAGTAACGCGGCGGTACCTGAGCGCGGTGCTATGGAACCTGGCGTGTTCACCCATTTTATACATATTGCAAACGGACCCGTGGAATGATGTTCATGGTGTTTATGCAGCACCTGTTGCCTCTCGTCCAGTAACACGGCGGTACCTGAGCGCGGTGCTATGGAACCTGGTGCGTTCATCCATTCATACATATTATATACAGACCCGTGGTGTGATGGTCGTGGTGTTGATGCAGCAGCTGTTGCCTCTTGTCCAGTAACACGGCGGTACCTGAGCGCAGTGCTATGGAACCTGGTGCGTTCATCCATTCATACATATTATATACAGACCCGTGGTGTGATGGTCGTGGTGTTGATGCAGCAGCTGTTGCCTCTTGTCCAGTGACGCGGCGGTACCTGAGCGCGGTGCTATGGAACCTGGCGCGTTCACCCATTCAAACATATTATATACAGACCCGTGGTGTGATGGTCGTGGTGTTGATGCAGCAGCTGTTGCCTCTTGTCCAGTGACGCGGCGGTACCTGAGCGCGGTGCTATGGAACCTGGCGCGTTCACCCATTCAAACATATTGTGTACAGACCCGTGGCGTGATGGTCGTGGTGTTGATGCAGCAGCTGTTGCCTCTTGTCCAGTAACGCGGCTGTACCTGAACGCGGTGTTATGGAACCTGGCGCGTTCACCCATTCATACATATTGTGTACAGACCCGTGGCGTGATGGTCGTGGTGTTGATGCAGCAGCTGTTGCCTCTTGTCCAGTAACGCGGCTGCGGCCTGAGCGCGGTGCTCGCCGAATCTTGCGCCACAAACCGCCCATTCGCAAAGAACTTTCACCACTGCGTATGAGCACGCCCATTCCTGTTCCCCGAGTATACTTGTTTTATTAATTTAGAGGAGATATTATTGAAGTGAAACTTCCATATATACCGGAGGTATTAGGATTTTGCTGTCTCGAAAAAGCCTTACTACGTTGGAAAGGGTAGACGATATATCGCGCGGTGTGAGGCGGCAGTCTGTTGAAGTTTCATTTTTATTATGTGTCCCAGAACACATTTCGGTTTTTTTTCTATCGAGGAGATACATAGCTAAGTTGTCGGCGCATACGGTTTGCAATCGTTTAAGTTAAGCAGCTTTCGTAATGGCCGACCATCGGATGATTGACCAAAAATTATAATATTTTGAGATCCTCTGTACTTTTTATGGTACGTTAAGTCGTTAGTCACGGCTGCATCTTCTACCACTCTGAGTAACTTCACTTGATTTCTTAGAGCAGACCTCCAATGCAACATCTTCTCTTTGTATTTGTTCTAGGGAATAGCCTTGTTGGTGTGGCACACTAGTCATTAAAAATTAAGCAATATGAAGAAATCAGTGATACATACAAATACGTAAGACTATCTTTACAAATACTTCATTAGTTTTTTCATACAAAATATAGCCAAGGAATGGTAAATTAATATTTACATTATAACGAAAAGATTTTGAGCACTCACCGGATCCTTGGTGTCTATTGTCGAGTCTTTGGTAGGTGACGCGCAATTAGCAAAAACTTCTTTGTACAACGTATCCAAGTTATTGTTAGTGTCGACGCGATCGAAGCAGTGTCTGTCCAGTGCTTCTAACACGGCGAGTACGCGTGCTGTAGGTATAAGTAAAATTCTATATGTTGAATACAGAGATGTTTAATTATATTTATTAGCCTTTCATAGGGCGAATTTCGGTTCACCAATTTACTACCTTGAGAACTTGTTTGCCATTTGTCCGTGCACCATTTACTTTCAGCTTTCTTACTTCTGGCAGCGATTTCTTGTTCAGCTTCATAAACCTATAAATAATATTGGATGTGTAAAATCCAAGAAGTACAAAATAAACTCTTATCAAAAAGTGATAAGGAACATTTTTTTTTTTTTGGTGTTGTGTTTCTTTTGGTAAGGAACCCTGAAAGCTATATGGGGTATTGCATTCGGTTCAGGCCGAAAAGTTGAGAATGTCTGAAGCACTAATACCCCTAGCACGAACCATTATCGAATTCGAATTGTTGAATTCGTACTATTTTATACGTCAAATGTGTTCTAATTTTTAGTTCTCCTTACGTCCGTTGTGGCGCTGCGGTTCAATTTTTCATGCAAATTTTGACATTGATAATTCGCACTCGCAGACTATTCGAATTCGATGTTGGTTCGTGTTGGGGGTACAATACACATTAACGCTCTTCGTGAGTGGAATTCAATTACGCTTAACATCAGATGAGGTGTGGTGAATGGCTGTGCGTTGCATAAAAGAATATGAATAATATAAAAAAACATTAAGTATTATATAAGTTCCAATTAGAACCCTTTTTTTAATATGTTACCGAGAACCTATAAAACACCACATTCATTATCTGTAAGCTTTAAAAACTTTTCGCAAATCCAGAAATACATGTAGTCAGATATTGTCCGAAGCAAACAATTAGCACTATGTTTGAGAGCAAGGTACACAGGTTTTAACAATACATCTTATAAACAAACATACCATCCTTCGATGATCTTCAGTAACAGCACTGTCCATGTGTGGCATCGGCAGAGCTGACGGTGGCAATGGTAGCAGATCTAGAGGGGAGCCTTGGAGTGAAGATCCGCACCCAGACCAGACCATAGCAGTAGGACACTCGATGCTGATGATCTAATGAACAATTAGCAATTTAATTTGTGAAACTTTCACTCTGCAACCAGTGACACAGCGTAGGGCCTCTACAACTGCATACTATTACGAGATGAGAAACAAAATTTGCCTCTACCTTCACACAAATGGAGCATATTAACTCTCGATAGTGAATACGAAACTTTAATTTTAATATGGTGCCTACCTACTTGGCTTCATGATTATTAATTACTAGTGGCTACTAGCTAAAATATTCATGTACACTTTTGACTTTATACCATTTAATTATATGTATAGATGTTTTTTATTTTATTTAAATATTGTTAGATAATTATTTAACACTGTGAAGCTGTTTTCGCCAGTTTTTCTACACAGCTAAAAAAATGTCCTTATCTGGTAGTAGGGACAAAATGGACGATTCAAAAGAGTTGTATTTTGCATGCATATTTGCAAGATATTTCGACTTTTGACATACACAATATAACATTGTCAACTAACGACTAGTTTTAATAATCCATCTCCAGTAAAAGGTAAGGATAATCTGGATCCGTAACTTAGCAACAGTAGTTATTATAGTCTTATTAATATAAAAACGAGCGAGCCTTACAGTAGTCGCGTATGATGTGTAACATTTGAAACGTCACCTTATATTAGTAAAAAAAGAAATAAAACCTACTACAAAAGGAATAAGTCATTTGAAAATTATGTTCTAAAATCAAATCAAATAGCGCGCTTTCGCGACTTCCTCTTGCACACTTCCGTCCCATTTCACAAAGTCACTCCCAAAATTGCAGGAAAGCGAGAGGAAAGATGTTACACATCGAAAAAGAAATAAAACCTACTACAAAAGGAATAAGTCATTTAAAAATTATGTTCTAAAATCAAATCAAATAGCGCGCTTTCGCGACTTCCTCTTGCACACTTCCGTCCCATTTCACAAAATCACTCCCAAAATTGCAGGAAAGCGAGAGGAAAGATGTTACACATCGAAAAAGAAATAAAACCTACTACAAAAGGAATAGCTAAGCCATTTGAACATTATGTTCTAAAATCAAATCAAATAGCGAGCGCTTTCGCGACTTCCTGTTACACACTTTCGTCCCGTTTCACGAAATCACTCCCACAAATTGCAGGAAAGCGAGAGGATAAATGTTACACATCAAAAATGTTGGCAACAAAGCTCGAGTACCTTACTGGAGTTTTGTGTTTATTGAAAATAAGTAAATTAAAATTATATTATACTCACTTGTAGAATAGTTGCCAGTTGTATGATCACATCTCTATGGTACTGACAGTTGAGGATTTCCCCGAAGCCAACTTGCACGGGATTCAATGCTGCCGTTATGACAGTGGTCAGAATAGTTTTCTGGTCCCTAGGTGGAGTCTCAATCTCTTCTTTCACTTGTACGTCCATCGGTTGTTGAGGATTCGGGGTTCCTATGGGGTTCGGAGTTCCCAAGGGGTTCGGGGTGCCAATTGAGTGGTTCGGATTGGGCGTGCCCATAGAATGGTTGGGATTCGGTGTGCCCTGACTCTGTTCTGCTGGCGTGGCCGATCTCTTTATCTGTGATATGTTGGGTTTCACGTCGCCGTTGGTGTCGGGTGCTGGCGACATTGGAGATATATTTTCTGGGGAAAATTTTTCTTTGTTATAAATAGGCATATTGAGGAGCTCGATGGCGCAAACGGTTAGCGCGTTCGTCTGCGATCGTTGAAGTTAAGCAACTTTCGCAGTAGTCGGTCATGGGGTTACCAAAAATTTACTATCTCGGGCTCCTCCGTGCTTCGGAAGGCACGTTAAGCCGTTGGTCTCGGCTGCATCTGCAGTCGTTAGCACACACAAATCTGCACTGGGCCCGCGTGGTCGGTCATGTCCCAATATCCCTATTCCATACATAGTGAAGACCTGTGCCCCAGCAGTGGGGACATTAATAGGCTGATAATGATGATGATGATGAATAGGCATATTATTCGTCATATCAGATTTGATAATTACCTGCTAACATAATTTATCTAACTCAAACTTTTTTTTTAATATTGATTAAGTATATTGTCTTTATAAAAAAAACAAATAATACTTCGTAAGCGGCCGCCATAGCCTAAAGACGCTTGCATCGCGATCGCGATTCTAGTATCACTCTTGAAGATTTCTAGAAATCGTAATCAGCGACAATAAGACAATACCATCGAAAGGTGTTATTCAACCTTACAAAGCTTAAAGGTAACTTCATCTAATGATCGCTCCAATGCGGTCGGAATATTCGTTATGTTCTACGATTCTTATATTACACAAACATTTTTTTCGAGCAAATGACCGTAGACAAGGAAGCCTTCGCATTAGCAATTTATACATACAAAAACCGCCTACTACTCGAGTTTATTTGTCTGTGGTTTTACTCAAGAAGTTTGCCGATACTAGGGTTACCATTTAGGAATTGAAAAGTCCTGTCAAAAATCCTGACATTTCGAAAAAAGTCAGGGCTTTTTAGTCGCAAAATGGTACCATTACTCACTTAGTTACAATGATATGATATTTAAATCAATATGTACTTTAATTATTCATATACAATGTAAATTAAAAAATCCGGTCAATTTAAAGATCCATACAAAGTCTGGACTATAGTCTAAAAGTCTGAACATGTCCGGACTAATCAGGATGGATGGTAACCCTAGCCGCGACCTGCATTTTATTAATAATACCTCCCGATCTATCCACAGCCTTGGTGAACACTGCGGGTTGGTTCAAAGTCCGCAGTGTACTCTCTGACAGCACCGAACAGATTGACGCAGCCTTCTTGGCGCACGACGTCGCGAGACGACGTGACAAACCCTCGCAGCATACGAACTCTCCCATGTGTTGAAGTGCAAGCGGTAGGAACAACCTGAAACGGTTGTTGCTTTTGTATTTACTTTTAGAAACCTTTAGAGAATACTAGCTCCCCAGCGAACTTCGTACCGCCATAAAAAAAATAGGGGTTGGTGGTAGAAGGGTGAAAATTTAGGGTTGTGTGTATTTTTGTATGATTAATCATAAAAAAATAAAAAACAGAAAAAATAGTCCAAAAAAAAATTTAAGGACCATCCTTAACATTTATGGGGATGAAAAATAGATGTTGTCCAATTCTCAGACATACTGAATATGCATATTAAATTTCACAAAAATCGGTCGAGCCGTTTCGAAGTAGTTTAATTAAATTTCCCATACAAACTTCCACCCCCCAACCCCAGCTTAAAGGATGATCTCTGTGTTAAAAACCTTTTCCCGGGTTTCAAACAAATTAAAGATAGGATAGAGGATGAAAGATAATTTGATGTTCAAAACATATGTTCTTATATAATAATTAAATAAACAAATCAATATTACTTAATAACGTTTCAGTAATTATAGTTTGTAACAATGTTTTTCATGCCAAGTTTTTATAAACAAAGTAAAACCATAAATGACTAAGTAGTACCTACCTTAGCAAACCATCTTCAGGTGCTCTCTTGTCAAGTAATTCAATGATCCAGGTGAGAAAGTCATGGCGGTCTAGTAAACCCTCATCAAGCAAATATTTGGCTAATCTACAGCAATAGTTCCATAGCTTGAGGGCCTGTCGCCAATCAGTGCTATCTGTGGAATTCGGAGTTGATGACCCTAAGGCTAAATATAAATAGACAAAATTGAAAGGTAGGATTAATAAACATGTTTAGGTTAAAAATACAAAATCAAAAGAATAATAACAATAAGGGATATTTCAATCTAAAGAAAATATTACTAGAAAAAAAACCATGCAGACCAGGTAGCAGACGGGACTCGATATATTATTTTCTAGTAACATTTTCTTTAGATTTAAACATCGAGCAGTTACATACTTAAAAAATAAAAATTATACTTATGGAAAATTTTGTCTTTGCCTGTTTATGAAGCAGATTGAAAAATATAAACTAAAAATAATTGTGTAATATCGTACCACTTGATGCCCCAGGAGAATGCATTGAGTTGGGGACAGTTGAATTAGGAGTGGAGCCTCCTGGTGGATTACCAGATGAATTGTGACTTGGAGTACCTTGTCCTGTAACATATTCCAAGAATTTGTAAATGAGAGTTGTCATTTTAAGGAAATGCTAGCTCAAATATCAAAGCAATATCAGTAATGTATATTATTTACAACTGCAGCACACAACTTTTTTCTTTTAGGTTAAGATAATCACACAAGACAAACACAACTTAAGGAAATAAAAGTTAATATTTAATAGAATACCTGACTGTGAAGGTGGGGTTTTATCAGATATACTTCCAGGCACAGCATTTTGATAGTGCTCAGCTAACTTTGGTATTTGGTCCTTCAGAAATTTGATTAAAGTTGTTGTCCATTCTGCAGAAAAGGTAAATGTATTATTATACATTTTAATTTATGCATTTTACTCTTAAAATATTTGGTATTATTTTATGTTTCTCACCTGTGGTGGGATCTAGTAGCTGCCTCTTTTTTATCTTTGCTTCTGACACAGCCACAGTATAGGCTGAACTTAGCTTTATAAACCAGGCAGCTCTTGGCATAGAAACTTGAAATTCTGTGAGAGTTATAAATATCTCTTCTTTCTTGTTAAAGTTTGGTGCTTTCTTTGCAAGCTGTGATAATGGTTTGTTACCTAAAAGAAGTGATGTATAATCGAGGATAAAGTAGCATATTAATTCTTATAGAGATGGTTCTTCTATGAAAGTATTAATAATAATAATAATTTATCTTTCCAATTTGTGTTACAATTGACATACTTAAGAATATAGGTAGTATATAGGGAACATCGGTAAAAGAATTTCCTGGCTCTTGAACTAGGAAAAAACCAGTATCATAAGGGACAGTGACTCTGGCAATAAACTATGGGTAAAAAGAATACCAAACATCAATATTAGTGGATACTGTATGCAACACAGGTTACAGTTCAATACAATACATCACTTCACAAGTTGCTTTACTTGGATGCATTGTTTCATACTTTGTTAATGTTTTCAATACTAATTCGAGGATATTTTATGAAATATTAAATTGTTTATTTAAATATGGAACATAATTACCTAGTCTGAAATTGAAGAATCCTTATGTAAAACATATTAAGATGTTACATAAAATGTCTCCATTATAGATCCCAGGTCATATCAGTGGATTTTAATAATATGATAGATATAATGTTATTTATTTGCAAGAATAGGAATTTTATAACTTACCAGCTAAATCTTTGAACCAAGCCTCTATTTGAGGTTTAGTACGTGCTGTGGCAGGCCAGAAGTTGTCTTTGGGATTAACTTGTTGTTTTTTTCGTCCACAGTCAGGTAGAGTATTTAGTTCCTCTTTTTTAGATAATATTGAGGAGAAAAATTGTCCTATCTAAAATTAAAAACACCAATACAACATTATAAACAAACACTAAGTTAGTGTTTGTTAATAAATCTTACTTTATTTTACATATAATTTTATGAAAGGCTTTATATCTGGAAAAACAAATTTATTTTACTCAGTCAAGCAAAGAGCTACTTTCAGTTTGACTCTTGTTATTGATACTTGGTTAAATAAAATTCATCAAATTTTTGTTTGAACTAAGCATACAATATAATCAAATTATTACAGCTTTAAAGGTAAGAAAGTCAAGATATAGGCCCTTATTTGACTTGACATTTTGTATGTTCCAACTTACTTTAATTTGTATTAAAATAAAAAATTACCTTAGTTGCAGAATAGTTAAAGTTTCTTGCAGTTCCGAATTCGTCACTTGACTGTGGTGTTGTTGAGAACCCATGTTTTACATTGGTGGACGTGAGTTCGTCCTCCTTTTGTTGTGGTTCTTGAGGATACACGTCAGGAGGCCCTAAACGGGACCTTTTCAGCGGTCGCTTCTCATACATAATCCCCATCGTGTCAGGTTGAAACGATCTATCTGTTATCCACAGTTAAAGTATGTGTAAAATAGTAGTGCCATGATTTACTAACAAATCATAACTAAGATCAGCAGTTGCTGCAAACAAAACTATTTGTCCATCACTTACCTTTCATCTAAAGAGCGTCAAGAATATACATGTTTTATATCACGATTTATTTAAAAATTTTCGTCTAAAACATTCAATCTAGCAAATAGACATAACATTAATTTAGAACATTGGATTGGAAATAGAAAATAAATAAAATACGAATTTGTGACACTTGTCGCAGTGTTGCCAACTACTAGCATTGCCCAGTTGCTAAACATCTTACAAAATGTTGCTAGATAGTCAGTTTTTATTACCCCAAAAAGTTGCTAGAAGTAGCTAAATGTTACACTAGGTAAAAAGGATACTACATTACCTTTATTTTAATAAGAAAAACTTGTAAACTAAAATTATCATATTAATTTTTCCCGTCGAAAAAGTCTGCTTGAACTCTACTTTCTGTCTAAGTTTTTATGTCCTGACATGTTTCTTTATGTCAAATAGTCAAGCCAGAATTTCCGTAGAACAATTAGCACAAAACGCTTTGTTTGAGTCTCTACTTGCTGCTTTTAACGAACCTGTCTATATTTCTGAGCTTATGTTTTATTTTCTCAAAATCAATTTTCACATTAAATTAAAACAGCGAACATTAGTTTTATATGGATAAAACAAAAACAAACACTGGGTCCAATACGTACGTACGAGTGGTGCGTACCATTTTAGTTTAGTAAATAAGTACCCACGGTCTGTCATAGCGCATTCTGTCGTAGCGCAATATTTAAATGGGGAATTCCCGGCCAAAGACGACTTATACCATAGTATCCTTAATTTATGACCATAGAGCCGCGTTCAGTTTTTATTTTTTCTTTAAAGATTTGGTATTATATGAATCTTTCATGAAATAAAAAGTTGCTAGAAAAAATAGCTAAAAAGTTTAGCTACAAAATTCATCAAATTGTAGCTGTGTGACACCAAATAATAGCTAGGTCTAACTATAAAGTTGCTAAGGTGGCATCAATGACTTGTCTACTGTGTTACCAGAAATCCTTTTCGCCTTCCCCCTAAAATACAGGTTTTTGAAGAAAAGAACCCCCAACATGCAAAATATTTATTAAAAATTCAATATTTACTACAAAATCTGTATTTTTGGAACAGCATCTATTACTGCATCAACATCTTCGCACGCGTCCTCTTTCCCACTCCTTTAATTAATCTTCTCTAGCCTTAGGCTGCAAGGCAGCGCCATTTCTTTGCATTGTAGGTAACCCACAATTAATTATCATCAATTTATGAAGTGGTTTTGTTTTTATATAAGAAATGTAATTAAAAACTCCCTTTTCCCCCAAACCAAATTTTCCAATTATCCCCCTTTCGCTATAAAAACCCCCCAGATTTGGGGGGAGTCTTCCTAATCTGGCATCAGTGCTTGTCGACCTCTCTAATGGGCATAAGGACAATGTATCCATTGCCGTCAAATAAAAAAAACTCGTTAATGATATTTTTTTTAAGATTCTCTCTTGTTATGGAAGGCAAAGGAAACAATGCCCATACAGCCTAGGATTGAGTTTTAATAATCTTTTTTTTAACATTAGAATGTCGGTGTGACGTATTGTAATGTTTCTAGGAGTGTTTGGCACGAAATCTATCGAGTTGGCTTTTTCGATTAGCTTCTGTGAGGTAGTCAACACTACAATAAAGTTCTCACGCACGCTATCCCGGTCAATTTCGGTAACTTGACCGGAATAGCGTGCGTGAGAACTTAGATTTAGGATAGCGTATATTATAAAGATTCCAATAATTCTTCAGATGCGCAGACGGTTGCTTCACAAAATCACACCAATTTTATTTCACAATATCCACTATGAAGGAATTTAAGAATAATTAAAAATAAGACGCCAATCGCACACGATGAAATCCCGCCAAAAACTATATGGCGGAAGCGCTGCTAGGTTGTGTACTACGTATTGAAATAAATGGCATGAATACCAAGAACATGGTGTCAAAAAAAACGCAAGAATGCCAGAAAAACAATATTTGCCAAAGCGTTTTTTTAATTTCGGTAAAGAACGGGTTTTGTCGGTCTTCGTACAACACTATTGAATAGTATTTTTTTTTATATATAATTTTTACGGCCTTGGAGATTATTGAATAGTGTGAAGTGTATCATAGACAAATAAAAAGCATTCATTCGTTCTCATATGATCACAATCACATTTTTTATATCATTCATTCAATTTTCCACTTGTTGTGTTTTGTTGAAGTCAAATTTTAAAGTTTGGTTAAAATTTCTGTTCCTTTTCTTAGGTTATTGAACTGCATATTTTGATAATGCCACCAAAAAAACAACCGGAAAAAGGAGGAAAGGCAGCAGGAAGTAGTGGAAAATCAGCCGGTGATGCAAAAGGTTAAAAATTGTAATGTGTTATTTTGGCATTTAAACATTATTTATTCATGATTTTTTAAAAAGGGATAATAATAATAAAACTTTCTTTTAATGGTGTGCAGGTAGCAGTGGTACTAAAGGTGGTAGTGGTAGTAAGAGTGCTGCTAAATCTGCTAACGACTCGAAAGGTTAGAGGTTAGAATATTGGAAACGTTTTTGAGATCTTTGATTTAATCGGTTTAAACAACATTTTTTAAACAACCTCATTTCTTTTGATTTGAAGAATCTGCTGCGAAAGAGAAAAAAGGCGGGACAGCTGTCAAAGTACGTCATATTTTGTGTGAGAAACAGTCAAAATGTTTAGAAGCTCTGGAAAAATTGAAAGCTGGTCAAAAATTCCCTGATGTAGCGGCTGCCTACAGTGAAGATAAGGCACGGCAAGGTGGAGATCTGGGTTGGATGACAAGAGGTTCCATGGTAGGGCCCTTTCAGGATGCAGCTTTTGCCTTGCCAATATCATCAGTCACAAATCCTATTTATACAGACCCTCCAGTGAAAACTAAATTTGGCTATCACATTATCATGGTAGAAGGGAAAAAATGAGTTTCATGGTGTTTGAGTTTGAGTATTTCTGGGCGATACTTTTGCTTTTCATAATGGAAAGGATATGCTGTCTGCAGGAACAATTTGATAGAGATTACACAAAATTACCTGATCCTGAAAGATCAAGAGAATCCATAAACTCTGATATTGAAGACTTTTCTAGCAGAGAGTAAGTTCATTAAAATAATTTATTTGTCAACACATTTACACCACAGGTGCCATAACCTGTGATGTAAATGTATTGATATAACTTCTATTAAAACTGAATAGTCTATCAATTGGATAATATACCATATATAGACAATGCTATATTTGTCATTGAAACATCATAAATAAGTAAATATATTATTAGCTTTTAATTTTTATTATACTTTTTCTAGTGTTGGATTGAAGCTGAGCTTTTTGCGCCTGTGTCATCTGATGCATGTTACTATGCTCTTAAGTCTTGTTTATTTCTGCAACATTTGCCTTTGGTTTGTAATGACCAAGAATTCTTCGCCCAGAACACTTAGATATACTTTTAAAATTGCTATTCCAACTTCATAAGATATGATAAATTCTTGTTAAGTTTCAATGAAATAAATTATGTTTGTACAGTTATTATAAATGAGTTTTATTGGATTTTTTAATAATGGTTTTTACAGATAAATTACTAATATCCATAGGGGTAAATACCTCTAGCATGGTAAATTTGAGTGCTCTCTTTACTGCGGGGAAGGAGAAAATTCTAATTCTGGTCCCACCGTTTCCTGCTGTCCTGATTGTACTCTTGTCCCAGAAATAACTCACAATGGATCATGGTGTCATATTAACATTACCTTTTAGTGCTGTTGTGTATCTTTTGATGATTCAAGGTTCCAGACCTCTGGAACTAGGGGAGTATTTTATAATCTGCTTCCGCTCTTTCTCTTGGTCTTAGGGAAGTACACCCTGTCTGGAACCTTACTGATATAAGGTCAAATAAGATAATGGTGCGATATTTGGTATCAAGAGAGATTAAAAAGCTATGGAGGTTGCTTACCATTAGATCAGGCGGGCTATAAAGTTTGTATGACCTCCCATTAGTATTATAGGTATTATCTAACTAATTTTCTGCTGTTCTCTAAGCTCTTTATTATATCGTGTATACTTGTGTCTCTCCACTACCTTTGCTGTTTCCCTAGTAATATCAAAGTTTGTTGGAAGTTTTTCATAGCCATGGATAGGGTAAAATCAACAATATTTATAGGAGTCTTAAAACTTTTATAAACTGTTTATGGTTTTTTCAATCTTTGGGGCTCCCCCTTTCATACATTTACTTTTTATCTATTTAATTGAGAATGAGACAAGTGGTCATAGATAGTTAAAATGTCGTATTATAAACAATATTTGTAACATTAATTTATCTAGTTAGCTAATGATAATACAGAGTATTTATTATCCAAAAATAAAATAACAAGATACAAATTAAAACCAGTCTTTAATGACAGATCTTACATTTAAAGAAAACAGATGTAACGTTTTTCAAATTATTATGACTACAATAAGAGAATACTGTAATAAATATGTTATTTTGAGGTAATCGTAAAGCTAGCACCGCTTAGTTAATTTCGAAGAGTTACATATTAAATTAAAATTGACTTTTGGGCAGTGTTTGTTTTCATAATATCTTAATCTTATAGTAGGTAGACTTTGGGAATGCTGCGTTTTCACACCCTGAGATTAGGGTTGGTGTAGCGGACGTATTTGAGCAGGGCATCGTTCTCCTCGCAAACGAAGGGTTTCCTGTGATGGCAAGCCACATCATGCCAATGGACACCGTCGTTGTAGAAGTTGTTCAGTATCGCCAGGCAGTGCTCCGACGCGCCACCTTGGATCAATTCCTGTTGACAAATTGTTGGAATCAGTAAAGTCTTTATTCCCAGTAACCCCTGGGGATTGCCACCGGAGGCAAATGAAATTAAAAATTCCGCCGGTTTAAAAAATACCTCCGGTGGCGTTAACTGGGGATTAACAGTCATTGCCCCCACTTCAGTTCCGCTATATAGTACGCGCCACGAATGATGAGACTTGACGAGCGTTGTGCCGCGCCTCACGTTCTTGCCGCCACCCCGATGTCGCCCGGTCCTTTTCCTTCTCAGACCTCATACCGTTAAAGAGACCTTCAAGATCGTCTGCTGCGCATGTCAAACCACGTGGCGCGTCAAGTCTCACCTTTCCTAGCGCGTATTGTACATTGCTTTCTTCAAAACAAAATGCTGAGGCAACTTATTCTAAACTGTCATATTTATTAATCTATATTATCATTTATGAAAAGTTTGCAACATAGTGGTTATTTTACCTTATAGGATTAAAAATTCGTGACAATACGCACGGGACTGCGAAAAAGGCTCCTACGCCGATGGAGCTTGATAGGTAAGAATTAATTTAAAGACTGACCGATTTGCAACCGGTTGACACTGAGTTTGTAACATCGGGAGCTTCCAAAGCACGGAGATCAAAATTATAAAATGGTTTTTGGTCTACTATCCTATGAATGACTATTGTAAAACTTCCATGGGCGCAGACCGAACGTCCTAACCACTGCGCCATCAAGTTCTTTTTTGACGCCTGATATAACAACCTGAGATAATAATTTTCTTTCTCCTCCTCCAAATTCGATATTTTTTTTTTATTTATACCACAAACAAGGTTGAAAAGTGATTGGAATAGGTTTTAATTTCTTAATTTTGATTAAAAAAAATCTCGATTAGATGAGTGTAACTTTACATGACTGGCCATTAATGGCCACTTGGCCTTGGAGTACAAAAATATACCGAATTGACAGATAAAAAACTTGAAAGATTATTATCAAAGTATAATCGTTTTAAGCCAAATTAAAATACATAACTTCAAATAACTTATTACCTACCAATGCTAAAAATATAGAGTTTCCTCAATTACATCGTTTATTCCAAATACATATCATTACAGGTAAGTCGCGATGATTTGTTACCTTATTAAATACATTTATTGTAAACATGTTCAACAAATGACATCATTCGGGTTATGTCAGTCAGTCGGTTCGCCTTGAACGTAAATCTCTACAAAAAGCGGATACGATCATATGACCGATCCACGGAAGACCGCGAAAGGCACGAAGGTTTACGTGGTGTAATAAGGAGGCTGAAAGTACCCATTTCGCATTTCTTACCTGCGCCTGCGCACGCGCACACGGCGAAAGTGTCGCTCAAACAATGCGCTGGTTGCAAGCGTGGGTCGCATAAAGATGAGCTTTTGTTGTAGCCGGTTGTTTGTAGAAAGTTGTGACGCGCATACGGGTATGCCCTTCGGGCGGCGGAGGCTACACTGACGTGACGTCCCATAAATATTCCGCGGCGCTTTCGTTTTCATTGCGCGACATTCATTGCATTGCATCGGCCGCCAGAACGGGCGTGTTTTATGACAAATATTACTTAACTGTTCGCGGTATCGGCCGTTGCGTCACTTGCGTATGGCTGATTTCGTAATGCGTAACAATCCATTGTTTGTCTCCAATGAGGAAGTGTAGGGTTAATCGTGGTTGTTAGGTGGATAGATTAACTAGGTAATATTATTGTAAGTGACAAGCACTAGCTAATTTAGTTTTACACCCTTAATTGTTTAAAGCCCTTTTAACCTACTTATGGAATAAAAGGTTTACACACTGATAAAGATTCTCCTGTATGTTTAGGAATGTTAGAAGTTGGTGTAGGTATTTTATGTTTATCTTATTCTAGTCTAGGGCAAGGAATAACATAAGCATAAAATTAGACATTTAACAGTATGCACCTATGTATGCGCAGCTCATACTTTCGGGAGGCTAAATTCGTAATAAGAGCAAGATTTGTCCTTTCAGCTATGATATGGCGGTCTTCAAATAGCGGGTAAATATTTTCCTTCAGAACCGACATGAGTAGTACCCTTGATGCTGCAAGTGTCTGGGCGGCAACGAACACTTTCCAGCAGATGAGCTGTCAGATCGTTTGCCTGCATAAACATAAAAAAAAATTACCCGATTGTCAGGTTGAGGTTTTCCGATGCCGCCGCCCTCTGACCAGTCGTTCTGCTGTCTGTTGGTGGTGGGCGCCAGTTTCTGCAGCTCGGCCGTCCAGAACCAGCCGTTGACATCGTTGGGCAGCAAGTCGGGACGATTGCAGCCCTTGAAGTCACAGAGACGGCCCGATGTCCAGATGTATTTCACCTGGAAATGATAAATATAGAAATTCTTAAAAGGAAATTTTAATTCGAATAATTAACGGCATACGTCACGTCGTATCAGACAATAGGACTCAAACCGGCACATTTAGCTTTCCGGTCGAACAGAACTAGTGGGAATGAAGGGTCCCTGTCAAGTTCAGTAGGTACCTCTACCAACCAATACCAAGGCCATACGAGAATAGGGATGATGACTATTTTTTTTTTCTTCATTTATCAGGTAGATTATCAAAAAGTATTGGACACGTATTTTTTCTTTTTTCACATAATATAAACATTGCAGAGATATATTGATTTGAAAAGTCGCATGACGTCACGTTTGAGTACACTTATAAGTGAAATTTCACTCAAAAGTGACGTCACGAGCCCCTACTCCCAAACTTTGACGCGCTATAACTTTGTCATTTTTTGGTTGATTGCCCATAGAAAAAATACGTGTCCATTATTTTTTGATCATCTAAGTGACGGACTAAATAGAATTTCGTTTACTGTACCCCGTCATCACCCCTATTGTCACTCCAGATCACTCCAGATCTGTGGAGTCCTGTTAAGAGATAGTTTTGCCAGAAGTCTCTCTCTCACTCAGGGAAGATTGTAACGATATCCTAAAGGTAAAGGTATATCCAAATCTGTTCTGACATATATAGAGAAGGTAGAATAAAGAAACGTACACAACTACATACATGAACTATTAAAACATTGCACTATTTTTTTTTTCAGTCGTATAAAAAAATTATAAATACGTTACAAATAAAATACGTGTATTGTAAGTATTGTTACTATTTCATTTATAAGATCCTGAAATTGTGATTTCAGGATCTTATAAATCAAAAGATCTGATAGATTGATCGTAGCACAAACCAGTCGTCATAAAAAATATTTACCTATTAAATTTAAAAACATGAATTTAAACTTTGGTACACTGTCAGTGACGACTGACGAGTAAACAATTTTATTAGATTGTTTTAATAGCACTTATAAAAGCAACACGTTTTCCGCACGAACGCGATCGCTATCTAGGCAAGTACCTACTATCCTCTTCTTTACAAATAACCAATAATACTAAGTAGTTACGCTTAATACGCTACCTACATAGTGGAATAGAGTTATAGCAAGAAGCAAGAGGCCTTATAAACTACTGTAAAAACATTTAATACTAAAAGAACCCGAGATAACCTGTAAGCATCCGTACCAAATAATAAAGAGTCCCTACTACCTGCCTACAAAAATCACAGTTTTGAGATGTTTAAGTTATTGACTTCAGAATCACCTGTCTGGCGTTATTATGCCATTCCATTCCTTTACATTTACATCACAAGTGTTCATTATGGAAGTTGACTAATTAGTTCCTCTACTAAAACATGATTGTGGTAGATAACAAATAACGAACTACGCTTTAATGATAGGTCTCGAGCGATGCTAGATAACTACGTAAAGGGAGACGATAAACCTTATTAAAAACGCAAAGACCATTAGGCTAGACAATAAAGCAGGGCCAGGACTGTAGATGGTAACACAATAGGAACGATAAGAGGGGAACGTGGAACACCACAATTTGTCAGAGTTATTTTACTTTAAAGTATGTGTTTTGAGACTTAGGATACGATTTGATATCACATGACAGTCATCATCAGAAAGCTAAAGGTACATCGGTAAGTAAGGTATTGTATGCATAAGTAATAGCAAAACATCTCTTCCAAGAGTGGGTTCAAATATTTCTTACATAGTCTCTACATTGGAAGCGATTAGTATTTCTGTTTCTTACAATACCTATGTAATAATAACATAATTATAACACATAATTTTTGTGAATGTGAAATCGTTTTCCACTTCCCACATTTTCTTTTAGAGTCGATGAAGCTGTATCGACAGTGTTTAAAAACAATATAAGACGCTTCCCACCGAACAACAAGTAGGTAGGTGAAACTTGGGGAAATTGATTTGTTATTCCGCGTGGTGTATGTATGTTTGTATGTGACGAATCGACTATGTCAAATTCTAATCGGATTGTTGCCTAATTGGTGTCTCATATGGAGACAATAGCTCGGCTGGCTAAAGACGTGTTATGAATACCTCAACAAAATGCAACACTGACTTTCTCTTTGAATTTTTCAAAAGGTCTTTTTTTCCTTTTCGCAATACGCAATCCTTTGCTATGCGCTACAGCTATAGCTGTCCACTTTGTTCTCACTAATTTGTGATATCCGTGAATGTTTTGCTAATTCTACTTAAATACTTTGCATGCTAACGGGTCAAGGATGCGTTTAGATTGACATCTTTACAAATAAATGCCAGACTTATCTGTACATATTGTTTTAAACTTAATCTGTACATGCAGCGATTTCAGCCATCTCCGTATTACAGTTATTCACCTACTCAAGATACTAATTACAAATAAGAAATAGTTTAGAAGTAAGGATTCATGATTAATATTTACTAAGTTCCATTTGAAAGCTCATGGAATGTGATGTGATTCACTAATTGTCATAGTTACCTAACTTTATTGCCTAAACTTTGTTACTAAAGAAAATATCTTGAAGAGAGGTAGAGTGACAGTGGAATTACAGAGCCTACCTTAAGAAGAACCTAGTTCTTATGTTCTACCTTACAGACTGCTGCCAGCTTACAACATTCTATAGTGTTGCAGTGGGTAAGATTGCCAGGGCTCATCTTGTATTATCTACAGGAAAGCTCTCTAAGCTAAAACGTGCTAGCAAAATCAACACAATTCTGTTGCAATAACAAAATACAACATCGGTCCTCACCTTGTCTTGAGCGATGCGTGCTTTGACCCACTCGTTCTCATCGCTGGTCTCCAACGACACGAGGTCCATGCAACGCTGCCTGCAGTAGTTCCTGGCGCTGAGCCAATCCTCCTCCACACCTCTTAGGGCGGGGTCTCTCCAAGAGAAGAAGTAGCCTTTGTCTGGAAATAAAATACACATTACTTGTTTGTTTGTTGTGACACTTTCCCGATAATTTGATGAAAAAAGAAGTGACCAATTCGGTGTAATTTTAAATTAAAAAACCGGAAGTCGTAGCCATTGGTACTCGCGGTAGCGTTGTCGAAATAACGATATTTTATTGTGGATTTTCAATAGTTTTTTTTATTTTGTTGCAATGCAAGGTTTTACGCTGCAATAACTTCATCTACCTATGTCTATGTCACTATTAATGTTTTCTTCTAAGAAATTGTAAAGAATTTTTACTTCCCAATTTTTATTTTCGCGGCAAATACTTAGTTGCACTTGGCTTTGCTAAAAGAAAATAATAAACTCTGGATTTCTTGTATTGCGTTTGTTATTGACTGGTAATTAAAATGTGAGTAAGTAATGTCAAGACAAAAGTCAGAAATTCGAAATTATTCAGGTCCCTTTGTCCATATCATTTGTACACCGTTTTTGTGTGGAAGCGTACCTAACAAATAGATGAATTTCCTTTCCCATATTCTCGTATTAGTATGAAACGTCAGTATGGATTTTCTACATGCGAGAAAGAGTATTGTGTCTGATTTTCTACTCCTTTGTTTGAGTTAATTCCTAGCAAGTACTTTGGTTCCATGGCGTATTATGAAAGTGAGAGATAGTCTCGGGGAATGGTCGCTGTGAAATAGCAGTTACACTACACTGGGAAAGAAAAATCCTAAAGAATGTCTAAGTACCTACTTACTTTCAATGGTGCGCTAGCTGCTATTCTAGCAGAGTTGTTAATTTAATAATTGCATAAATATGTAAGATTCATGACAGGAAGTTCTCTATATGGGTATGTTAGAGCGACAAATTGCTAGGAGTTTATATTTGCGTGTAATCTCATTGCTGTTATTCGTATGGTTTGTGGTTGTCAGAATTATTTGAATATACTGACTGACATGCACTTCAAGTTTTGGTTGTTACTTGCTTAGATACGTTGTTTGTACTCATGTGTTCTATTTTGTTTGTAAATATATATTAAGTCAATATTAGCTGGCATTCTTTATTTATTATATATGATCGAGGTTATCTAGTCCTCGATCAGGTTATGGGCCGCATATGATAAATATAAGAAGACTTAAAATATGGCTACACAAGGAAATAGTATGAAGGTAAATTCGAGCAGCGATGGATCGGAGAGATCTCAGCCTTCACACGACACAGGTATGAGCATAGAGAAACTCGATGGAAATTCGAATTATAGTACTTGGAAATTTTTGGTAGAATTATATCTAATTCACGATGATTTATGGGAGTACACACAAACAACGCCAGATAAAACTGATGTAGTAGGCTGTAGGAAAGACCAAAAAGCGAGAGCAAAAATATGCTTGATGGTAAAGCCCCACTGTCTGATTCACGTTCGAAACGCTAAGACAGCTAAAGAAGCGTGGGACGCTTTGAGATCGGCTTTTGAAGATAAGGGTCTTAACAACCGTTGCAGACTTTTGACCAAGTTAGTTAGCCTAAAACTTGAACAATTTACATCAGTTAGGAGTTATGTAACAGAAATAATGTTAGTAGCGCAGCAATTACGGGACATCGGTAAAGAAGTTGACGATGAGATGCTAGCTGCTCTCATGTTACAAGGTTTGACCGAAACTTTTCAACCAATGAGGCTTGCGATTGAAAACTCAGGAGTAGAGTTGACCACAGATTACATAAAAACCAAATTACTTCAAATGGAAGATTCGTATAACACTAGTAGTTCAAGCAGTAATGATATAGCATTGCGTGTTGATACACATAACAAGACTAGGAGATTTCCATACAAGAAGTCACAGAAGATAAAATGCTTTATTTGTAATGGACCACATAAAGCGAGAGATTGTCCAGAGAACTCAAAAAATAAGAAGGCTTCGTTAGCATTGGGACTTGCAACTTCAGGAAAACCAGACGAGTGGATTTTAGATTCTGGGGCATCAAGCCATATGACTAACAGCAAAGAGTATTTAATGGACGTTAGAATGTATGACAAAAAAGTGGAAATCGGATGTGCGAATGGTAGTAAAGTATATGGTATTGGAGAAGGTTCTGTGGTATGTAAGGAGAATGTTGCAGGCGTAAGTGAAGTGATGTATGTACCACACTTAGCAACTAACTTGTTGAGCGTGAGTGCTATTGTAAAGAAGAATGTAGTTGTTGTATTTTCAGCGAAAGGCTATGAACTGTTGAAAGCGGATGGATGTAAGGTTACTGGTGATGTCTTATATACAGGTGTGGAGGATAATGGTGTTTATAAACTTAAGCTCTGTTCACAGGAGAAAGCACTAGCCTCGACTGTCAGTACCATAGACATAGAGTTGTGGCATAGACGTATGGGACATCTTGGTGTACGGAACCTTAAGCTGCTGAGAGACAAATTGGCTACAGGGGTAAGTTTTACTAATAATCCAGTTAACTTACAGTGTAGAGCTTGTTTGATGGGAAAGCAGACCAAACAACCGTTTAAAAAGGGTTTAGCAAACAGAGCTGATGATATTTTAGGTTTGGTTCATACTGATGTATGTGGACCAATGAGTAAAGACTCAATGTCGGGCTGTAAATATTTTCTAACGTTTATTGATGATTTTACAAGAAAAACTTTTGTATATTTTATCAAAAACAAAAGTGAAGTCTTTCAAAAATTTTTAGATTTCAAGACATTTGCTGAGAACCAGTCTGGAAAGAAATTAAAAATTCTTCGATCGGATAATGGCAAGGAGTATGTCAATGAGCAGATGAAGAAATTTTTGAAGCAGTGTGGTATACAACAGCAATTAACGGTTGAGTATACACCCGAGCAGAATGGAGTTGCAGAACGTGCAAACCGCACAATAACAGAAAAAGCTAGAAGTATGCTTCAGGAAGCAGAGCTAGATGAAAAGTTCTGGGCAGAGGCGGTGAACTACGCTGTGTATTTAAAGAATAGATCACCGACCATTGCAGTTAAAGGTAAAACGCCAGAGGAAGCGTGGACTGGAAGGAAGCAAGACTTAAGCATGCTACGAATTTTCGGATGCAAAGCGTTTATTCACGTACCAAAAGTAAAACGGACGAAATGGGACGCTAAATCTAAAGAAATGATTCATGTAGGCATCTGTGAAGAATCGAAAGGCTACCGCTTAATAGACCCAATAACTAATCATTTAAGCAAGGCCAGAGATGTTGTGTTTTTCGAGAACGAGAATATAAACTGTAAGCAAACAGTTGAAAGAGTTGAGAAGTCAGCACCGCTTAGTTTTAAGGATAACGTCACAGAATATGAAGATCACATAGAAGTTCAAGATTTTCAAAGAGATCAAATTGAATCGGAAAATGAACCTGTAAATATTGTAAGTAGTAATGATGATGATATTCTGCATGAGAATTTAGAAACAGAAACAAATGAAGAGAGTTCTGTTACAAGAAGATATCCTTTAAGAGATAGAAAGAAGAAAGCGATACCTGACTGCATTACATATCACACAATAGCTGATTGTGATGATCCGCAGAGTGTGGATGAGGCATTGTCTAGAAGAGACAAACACTTATGGAAAGCTGCGATCGACGAGGAGCTTAATGCACTCAAGAAAAATAAAACATGGAAATTGACGTTACCTCCAGAATCTTGCAACGTCGTTGATTCTAAATGGATATTTAAAATCAAAGAAGAGGCAGGGGGAAATAAGAGATACAAAGCACGCCTAGTTGCAAGAGGTTTCAGCCAGAGGCATGGAATAGATTATTTTGAGACATTTTCTCCAGTTATTAGACATAGCTCTTTGAGGACATTGATTGCATTGGCAGCTCATATGAATCTTAATATAGACCACATGGACGTGAAAACCGCATTCTTGAATGGTAACTTGGACGAGGTGGTTTATATGAAGCAACCAGAGGGTTTCGTTGAAAAGGGAAAGGAGAATTATGTGTGCCAGTTGCAAAGATCATTGTACGGACTTAAACAAGCTCCCAGAGCATGGAATAAAAAACTTCATTTGGAATTGCTGAAACTTAAATTCAAGAGGTCTGAGTATGAACCATGCGTTTATATTAGATCTACAGGAGATAAAGTAATTATTCTTGCCATATATGTAGATGACATTTTATTGTTCTGGAATAATGTTGAGGAATTAAGGAAGGTTAAAACCGATCTCACAAACAAATTTGAGATGAAGGACCTTGGCACAGCGAAGTTGATGTTGGGAATACGAATAGCACAAGATAGTGAAGGGATCAAACTGGATCAGAAGGGATACATAGAGAAGGTTATTCGTACATTTGGAATGGAGAACTGTAAACCAGTTGCTACTCCAGCAGTACCAGGACAAAGGCTAGAGAGGCCACAGCTTGATCAAGAACTTGATGAAAAAGTACCGTATCGCGCATTGATTGGTTCACTGATGTACCTTGCTGTTTGTACGCGCCCTGACATAGCACACACAGTAAGTCAGCTCAGTCAGTTTAACAACAGCTACGGAGACGAGCATTGGATAGCTGCAAAGAGAGTGCTCCGCTATTTGATGGGAACCAAGGATCTAGCATTATTCTATAGAAGGGGAAACCAAAATGAGTTTGTATTAGGTTATGCTGATGCAGATCACGCCGGAGACTTTGATAGAAGATCAAATTCAGGTTGGGTATTTTTATCTCAAGGAGGAGCTATTTCTTGGGAGAGCAAGAAACAACGTACAGTGGCAATATCGTCTGCAGAAGCTGAGTATGTAGCGTTATCAGAGGCTGCAAAAGAGGCAATTTTCATTCGCAGGTTTATTGCAGAATTAAGAGATGGACCCAATCCCGCAATCTCAATTTTCACTCATAGTCAGTCGGCTATGGCAATTGCTAAGAATCCTGTACATCACCAGCGTACGAAGCATGTGGATGTAAGATATCACTTTGTACGTGAGGCGATTGAGAATGGTGACATTCATTTGAGGTACAAGGAAACTAATAGAATGACAGCTGATGTTTTGACAAAGTGTTTGTTGAGAGG